TGTTACAACTAACCAGTAGGACATGAATGTTACAACTAATCAGTAGGACATGAGTGTTACAACTAACCAGTAGGACATGAATGTTACAACTAACCAGTAAGACATGAACATTACAACTAACCAGTAGGACATGAATGTTACAACTAACCAGTAGGACATGAATGTTACAACTAACCAGTAGGACATGAATGTTACAACTAACCAGTAGGACATGAATGTTACAACTAACCAGTAGGACATGAAACTGTTACAGCCAGTAGGACATGAAACTGTTACAGCCAGTAGGACATGAACATTACAACTAACCAGTAGGACATGAATGTTACAACTAACCAGTAGGACATGAATGTTACAACTAACCAGTAGGACATGAAACTGTTACAGCCAGTAGGACATGAAACTGTTACAGCCAGTAGGACATGAACATTACAACTAACCAGTAGGACATGAATGTTACAACTAACCAGTAGGACATGAATGTTACAACTAACCAGTAGGACATGAAACTGTTACAGCCAGTAGGACATGAACATTACAACTAACCAGTAGGACATGAATGTTACAACTAACCAGTAGGACATGAAACTGTTACAACTAACCAGTAGGACATGAATGTTACAACTAACCAGTAGGACATGAATGTTACAACTAACCAGTAGGACATGAATGTTACAACTAACCAGTAGGACATGAATGTTACAACTAACCAGTAGGACATGAAACTGTTACAGCCAGTAGGACATGAAACTGTTACAGCCAGTAGGACATGAACATTACAACTAACCAGTAGGACATGAATGTTACAACTAACCAGTAGGACATGAATGTTACAACTAACCAGTAGGACATGAAACTGTTACAGCCAGTAGGACATGAAACTGTTACAGCCAGTAGGACATGAACATTACAACTAACCAGTAGGACATGAATGTTACAACTAACCAGTAGGACATGAATGTTACAACTAACCAGTAGGACATGAAACTGTTACAGCCAGTAGGACATGAAACTGTTACAGCCAGTAGGACATGAACATTACAACTAACCAGTAGGACATGAATGTTACAACTAACCAGTAGGACATGAATGTTACAACTAACCAGTAGGACATGAAACTGTTACAGCCAGTAGGACATGAAACTGTTACAGCCAGTAGGACATGAACATTACAACTAACCAGTAGGACATGAATGTTACAACTAACCAGTAGGACATGAAACTGTTACAACTAACCAGTAGGACATGAATGTTACAACTAACCAGTAGGACATGAACATAACTAACCAGTAGGACATGAAACTGTTACAACTACCCAGTATGACATGAATGTTACAACTAACCAGTAGGACATGAATGTTACAACTAACCAGTAGGACATGAGTGTTACAACTAACCAGTAGGACATGAATGTTACAACTAACCAGTAGGACATGAACATTACAACTAACCAGTAGGACATGAATGTTACAACTAACCAGTAGGACATGAATGTTACAACTAACCAGTAGGACATGAATGTTACAACTAACCAGTAGGACATGAATGTTACAACTAACCAGTAGGACATGAAACTGTTACAGCCAGTAGGACATGAAACTGTTACAGCCAGTAGGACATGAACATTACAACTAACCAGTAGGACATGAATGTTACAACTAACCAGTAGGACATGAATGTTACAACTAACCAGTAGGACATGAAACTGTTACAGCCAGTAGGACATGAAACTGTTACAGCCAGTAGGACATGAACATTACAACTAACCAGTAGGACATGAATGTTACAACTAACCAGTAGGACATGAATGTTACAACTAACCAGTAGGACATGAAACTGTTACAGCCAGTAGGACATGAAACTGTTACAGCCAGTAGGACATGAACATTACAACTAACCAGTAGGACATGAATGTTACAACTAACCAGTAGGACATGAAACTGTTACAACTAACCAGTAGGACATGAATGTTACAACTAACCAGTAGGACATGAACATAACTAACCAGTAGGACATGAAACTGTTACAACTACCCAGTATGACATGAATGTTACAACTAACCAGTAGGACATGAATGTTACAACTAACCAGTAGGACATGAGTGTTACAACTAACCAGTAGGACATGAATGTTACAACTAACCAGTAGGACATGAACATTACAACTAACCAGTAGGACATGAATGTTACAACTAACCAGTAGGACATGAATGTTACAACTAACCAGTAGGACATGAATGTTACAACTAACCAGTAGGACATGAAACTGTTACAGCCAGTAGGACATGAAACTGTTACAGCCAGTAGGACATGAACATTACAACTAACCAGTAGGACATGAATGTTACAACTAACCAGTAGGACATGAATGTTACAACTAACCAGTAGGACATGAAACTGTTACAGCCAGTAGGACATGAAACTGTTACAGCCAGTAGGACATGAACATTACAACTAACCAGTAGGACATGAATGTTACAACTAACCAGTAGGACATGAAACTGTTACAGCCAGTAGGACATGAAACTGTTACAGCCAGTAGGACATGAACATTACAACTAACCAGTAGGACATGAATGTTACAACTAACCAGTAGGACATGAATGTTACAACTAACCAGTAGGACATGAATGTTACAACTAACCAGTAGGACATGAATGTTACAACTAACCAGTAGGACATGAATGTTACAACTAACCAGTAGGACATGAATGTTACAACTAACCAGTAAGACATGAAACTATTAGAGACAGCAAATATGCTAAATAAAAAAATTAAATGTCTTTAATTTTATGATTCCAAATCATTTTCCTGATTGTAATGTTTTCTTATGTAGTGATGTTGGTTATGTTTCTTCTACATTCACTTACCTACACTGCTGTTGGTTATAACTTGCTGGGAAATTAATAATTACATACAGGTACAATTTTTAACACCAATTTTTTAGTCACTGAAGGTTAAAACTCTGATTAGGTGTAATAATAAAAATAAAATTAATAAACAGAGCATAAAAAAACAACATGTATTTTGTTTTATTTTTTATGACATCCTTGTGGTAACAGGTAAAAAAATAGATGAAATGTATATACAAGATAACAACAAGTGGCATGTTCTGATACACCAAACTACATACAAAACACTTGTAAAACTTCTGTAAACACTGTCATTCTATGTTTGGGTCAACTAACTTATTTACTCAAGTACAAAGTTTGAACATGGTTTTCTTTGGTGACCTTTGAACCCCAAAGTACAAAGTTAAACTCTATACACTGGGGCTTTACATGATACAGACAAGGGAAGTAATTGAAGTGGACAGAGGGAGCACAATCCCAGACACAATAACTGGGATATTTTCAGTCAGATAAACCACTTGTAATTAAAACTAAGACCTCAGCACACAAGCTCCCCAAACATAGATTTATTTATACGCCAGTTCTAGCAGTTTAGCTTCATTTTACAAAGGCACAGAAGAAAAATGTCTTGTTTTTAAAGGCAATTTGTTATTGTCAAAGCCAAAATTTTACTTTATAAACTCATCAACCTTTTAGATGATTTACAGAACCATCTTGAGTTAGAAGGTTGAGAGGAAGTTTATTTAGTGACTGCTATTACAAAGACACACAAAACTAGTTAGGGATTCTAATGTTGCTACAAATACAAGGTCAATATAGTAGTGATTGTACAAAGAATGTTTTATCATATGAGATACATTATTATATAGCCAGCAGGTACATTTACAATCTATCATACAGCAACACAAACATAACAAATGAACTATCATACAGCAACACAAACATAATAAATGAACTATCATACAGCAACACAAACATAATAAATGAACTATCATACAGCAACAAACATAATAAATGAACTATCATACAGCAACACAAACATAATAAATGAACTATCATACAGCAACACAAACATATTGGATGAACTATCATTAAGCAACAAACTTACAATAATAACATAAAGAATTCTAAGGAAAGTTTCAGACTATTTTCCAGCCTAGTAGTAGTTATATTAATTTTTAAAGGCATAACAAAGAGGGTTAGGTTTACCCAACAGAAACAAAGTGTACATTCAATAAAGCTGTGAATTGTAAAAATTGGCTGGACTGTTTTGAAAGCAAAAGAACTCTAAAATATCTTGAGCACTATGAAAATAAAACTTAAAACAAAAACAGTGCGTAGTAGAACAAATATTCAGCCTTCTTAAAATAAAATAAGGTTCTATGCATTTTTCCTACCATCATTTGCTTTTGGACCAATTATTCAAGAACAAAATGAAGTTTTAAACTACCTAAAATTCAGTAATATAATCTATATCATGATAAGAATGGACGAATTTCTGTATAAAAATGTACAACTAAATTGTATCGGTTTTTAGAGTCTTAAAGAGTGAAAAATAACACAACTTATTAACACCCTGAAATACTGGGACAAAAGGGCTAAAAGCTCTTGACAGATCAAAGTTCCTTGAAATCTTTTAAAACTTTAATGTTATTTTGTCATACCACAAATGTAACAATAGAATGTAACAATTTCATGTTTAGGAAAAAAATTAATAATAAAATTTTGACTCTCATTATTTTTGTTTAAAAAAATACAAATCTAAACCAAATATACATGCTAAGATACAATTATTTCAAATTATTCTAAATTGTTTTTTTTTTGTGTGATTTGGTTTGATAAGTCATTAAAAAAATGTAAGATTACATCAAGATTTACATGCATACAATTTTCATAACAATTAAATTATTATTAGAATAATAACTAAATTATAATATATATATAACAATTAAGTTATCATCTGTATAACAACTTCAGTATATTTATAACTACTAAAGTATCGTATTTATAACTAATAAAGTATTATATTTATAACAACTTAATCATCATATTTATAACAACTAAATTATCACATTTATAACAACTAAATTATCATATTTATAACAACTAAATCTTTAAGTTTTTAAACAAAAATATTTTTTTTAAATCCAGCTTCAACACTGAAGATTAATGTAAGAAATGCAACAAAAATAATTAAATAATGAATTTTTATATTGGTACCTCATGTATCAAATGTGTTTAACTGAACTGAAGAGAAAGCTTTGCCATAAACATTTTACTATTAATTAATGATGACTGTTATGTGTCAAGAATAGCTATGTCATGATGCTAGATGTTAAAACAAAATTTTAATCTATCAAATACAATTTTTAATGTATAAAGGGCAGATAATACAACACCAAGAAGAATAACTTTCAGCAGCAGTACAAGACACTAAATTTAAAACCAGATCAATGAATCTTCAAATTGTTTAAAAAACTAAATTAGTATCAGCTCTATCAAGTGGTCAGAGACTTGGCAGCCATTATAAGAAATTTGACAGCCTTGATTTTTTTAGCATCTCCCCCATGGGCATCTGTTGTCTGGAGGCGCTGGACTAGCCCAGCCAGAACATGAGGTATGTGTTCCGAGGTAGTTGGCTGATCTGCGTCTAGGCTTAAAACAGCTCCTTTTAAATACCTGAAACGGTAAAGTATGAAAATTTAAGATATGGACAATTTAATTCATTTTAAAATAAAAATTCTTTTCTAAATTGGCAGACTTGAAACTTACTTTAATTTCAAATCAAAATTCTTTTCTAGATTGGCAGACTTGAAACTTACTTTAATTTCAAATCAAAATTCTTTTCTAGATTGGCAGACTTGAAACTTACTTTAATTTCAAATCAAAATTCTTTTCTAAATTGGCAGACTTGAAACTTATTTTAATTTCAAATCAAAATTCTTTTCTAGATTGGCAGACTTGAAACTTACTTTAATTTCAAATCAAAATTCCTTTCTAAATTGGCAGACTTGAAACTTACTTTAATTTCAAATCAAAATTCTTTTCTAGATTGGCAGACTTGAAACTTACTTTAATTTCAAATCAAAATTCTTTTCTAAATTGGCAGACTTGAAACTTACTTTAATTTCAAATCAAAATTCTTTTCTAGATTGGCAGACTTGAAACTTACTTTAATTTCAAATCAAAATTCTTTTCTAGATTGGCAGACTTGAAACTTACTTTAATTTCAAATCAAAATTCTTTTCTAGATTGGCAGACTTGAAACTTACTTTAATTTCAAATCAAAATTCTTTTCTAGATTGGCAGACTTGAAACTTACTTTAATTTCAAATCAAAATTCTTTTCTAAATTGGCAGACTTGAAACTTACTTTAATTTCAAATCAAAATTCTTTTCTAGATTGGCAGACTTGAAACTTACTTTAATTTCAAATCAAAATTCTTTTCTAGATTGGCAGACTTGAAACTTACTTTAATTTCAAATCAAAATTCTTTTCTAGATTGGCAGACTTGAAACTTACTTTAATTTCAAATCAAAATTCTTTTCTAGATTGGCAGACTTGAAACTTACTTTAATTTCAAATCAAAATTCCTTTCTAAATTGGCAGACTTGAAACTTACTTTAATTTCAAATCAAAATTCTTTTCTAGATTGGCAGACTTGAAACTTACTTTAATTTCAAATCAAAATTCTTTTCTAAATTGGCAGACTTGAAACTTACTTTAATTTCAAATCAAAATTCTTTTCTAGATTGGCAGACTTGAAACTTACTTTAATTTCAAATCAAAATTCTTTTCTAAATTGGCAGACTTGAAACTTACTTTAATTTCAAATCAAAATTCTTTTCTAGATTGGCAGACTTGAAACTTACTTTAATTTCAAATCAAAATTCTTTTCTAGATTGGCAGACTTGAAACTTACTTTAATTTCAAATCAAAATTCTTTTCTAGATTGGCAGACTTGAAACTTACTTTAATTTCAAATCAAAATTCTTTTCTAGATTGGCAGACTTGAAACTTACTTTAATTTCAAATCAAAATTCTTTTCTAGATTGGCAGACTTGAAACTTACTTTAATTTCAAATCAAAATTCTTTTCTAGATTGGCAGACTTGAAACTTACTTTAATTTCAAATCAAAATTCTTTTCTAGATTGGCAGACTTGAAACTTACTTTAATTTCAAATCAAAATTCTTTTCTAGATTGGCAGACTTGAAACTTACTTTAATTTCAAATCAAAATTCTTTTCTAGATTGGCAGACTTGAAACTTACTTTAATTTCAAATCAAAATTCTTTTCTAGATTGGCAGACTTGAAACTTACTTTAATTTCAAATCAAAATTCTTTTCTAGATTGGCAGACAGTTGGCTGATGAGTGAGAGGAGTACTGGCTGGGTGAGAGGGCATTTCTTCTGTGAAAATATCTCCAGAGGTTTGGCTACCTCACATGTATACACCACAAGTTCAAGGTTACTGGCTGACAATGCCTGGTAGAAAAGGAAGTTTGGTTAACATAGGAAGGGAAACAAAAGGCTCACTTCATATGATTATTCCTTGCATTGTTTATGGTAAAATTGAAAAAATAAATTGCAACTAAATTTGGTCTTTGTTCATATAAATGGACTTTGAAATGAAGAGTCAAGTATTGTGTGTTCTTATAACTTTTACACATATGACTGCAAGTAAACTATTTGATATTTTACTAAGCTTGTATTAGCCAGTGCCTTTTAAGGATGAAGAAGAACTGTTTTGTATGGTTGTCTGAAATAATAGAAACTCTTACACATTGAAAAGCTTCATTGACTCTACCAGCACGCAGCTCCCTCATGATCTTATCCTTGCTACTTTCTTCTTCAACAGTTAACGGCACAGGTGTCGCTGCTGTAGATCTCAGATAGGAAGAAAGTTGATTGCTTATTGTAGCTCCATGTTCACGCAGTGATGAACCCACTTCCTCTTTCACTATCTTTTTAACTTCCTTCAGGATATCATCCTTGAAGCTGGAGAAAAAAATGTTTTCACATTGTACCAATATTAACCTTTTATAGATGACATGATCAATGCCAAAAGAGTTTCTTACATCTCAGACACTAACAGTAGATCATTGTCTATTTATTTGTTCAGGGCCCTTAAGAGAACTGATGGTTAATTTGTGCACATTGAGAACAACTATTTCTATAGCATTAGAAGTGTGTGGGTGATACAAACCAATCACACAATTTTTTACAACCAATATTTAATCAACCATATAAGTTTTAAACCCAACTATATAAAAAAAAATGGGCTCCTAGCAGAAGGATATAAAATATCTACACTAAGCCCAATTTTAAAGTATATAATTTTCCTAACCTGCTTCAGTCCACTAGTAGTATTATAAATCCATCTTACCCACTTGAGTACAGATATAAAATCCATCTTACCCACTTGAGTACAAATATAAAATCCATCTTACCCACTTGAGTACAGATATAAAATCCATCTTACCCACTTGAGTACAGATATAAAATCCATCTTACCCACTTGAGTACAAATATAAAATCCATCTTACCCACTTGAGCACAGATATAAAATCCATCTTACCCACTTGAGTACAAATATAAAATCAATCTTACCCACTTGAGTACAAATATAAAATCCATCTTACCCACTTGAGTACAGATATAAAATCCATCTTACCCACTTGAGTACAGATATAAAATCCATCTTACCCACTTGAGTACAAATATAAAATCCATCTTACCCACTTGAGTACAGATATAAAATCCATCTTACCCACTTGAGTACAGATATAAAATCCATCTTACCCACTTGAGTACAAATATAAAATCAATCTTACCCACTTGAGTACAAATATAAAATCCATCTTACCCACTTGAGTACAGATATAAAATCCATCTTACCCACTTGAGTACAAATATAAAATCCATCTTACCCACTTGAGTACAGATATAAAATCCATCTAACCCACTGAGTACAGATATAAAATCCATCTTACCCACTTAATGCATCATTGACCTGGCCGCCCAGTTCATTCCTTACACTGGTCACAACTAAATTCTTCATCTGGTCAATGCTCTGCACAAATCTTTGTTCAGCCCCTTCCATCCTGCTAACAATATCTTGTGCAGCCACACGTTCCTTCAGCATCTGATCTACATTTTGACGCATGTACAGCTGGTCTATAAAATGGACACAATACTATAAGTAAACAATATGAAAATTTTCAAGTTTAATTAATGAGATAATAAGGAATAAATAATAATAACAAGAACAATAATAATAAATAAACTGCAATTTGTTAAATATTTACAAATTAGATTGTCAGAATCTAAAAAAAAACTTACATTCTTTGGTGCCCTGCTGAAATATCCCATGTACATCCCTGACTGTTTTTTCCATGGTGGCTTTAAATGCAGGTAACATGGAGACCTTGAATGTGTCAGTGTAGGCCTGTTGCATCTGTTGGTAGATGGCGTCTCCCACAGAGGTGGCTAGTACATCCATGGTGGACTGGTGGGTGAAGGCAAATATAATAGAGGTCAATGGGGAGCAGAGGGCAAAGGTCATACAGGTCAATGGGGAGCAGAGGGCAAAGGTCATGCATACAGGTCAATGGTGAATATAGGGCAAAGGTCATGCACACAGGTCAATGGGGAGCAGAGGGCAAACTTTATACACACAGGTCAATGGGCAGTAGAAGGTAAATGTCATACTGGTCAATAGGAGAGCAATCCTATTTCTCAAATGAAAATATCTACCTTTGATTTGACTGCTTTAGCTATGTTGTCTTTGAGCAGGGAGTCACATGCAGTAAGTCTGTGGGCAACTTCCTGATGGATCTTCTCTTTCATTGGCTCAATGAACCTGTGTAAAGCTAATAGTAACAAAAAATTAGAGTATTAATGCAACATTATGGTGTAATGATGACAACTCTGTACTTCTGGTACAATCAACCTACCTGGGTTGACAGTTTGTTTAATTTCAGATCTTAAAACAGAAGCAACGTTGTCCTTAACACTGCGAGACATTTGCTCAATGACAGCAGTTTGTAGTGCATCATCTCTCTGTTTACGTACAACATCACTTTGTTTTAAGGAGTCCTGCAATCTCTGAGGTAATCTAGTTAAGAAAAACTTCTAGTTATTCAAACTGAGAAATAATTTTTTTTTTAAAAACAAAGCACAAACTGTCATTTCTGATATCCCTTAAAACAAAGGGAATACATCAAAGTTGTCGCAAAAACAAAAGGCTTATTGTGTCCTACTGAGGAGTCAAGTTTTTAAGACACGACCTCCGCCATAGGCTAGAGCCTACAACTCATGAAATGGGTGGTATTATTTTTGCCTCCAGTACATACACAAATAAATGTTTTAGGAAACAAAATATCTTATCTAAATAAACAAGTTTGTTCATCTACAATTAAATAAAATATAATTTAAGACTAAACTTGAATAGATAAAGGATATTTTCTCTCTGCATATGTTGGGCCAGAGAATGTTCCATGCGTGTGACAAGAATGTCTTCCAACTTGCTGATATCTTTCTCTAAAGATGGCTGCTGGGCTGCCATCTGCTGTATCTGCTGCTGCTCCATCTGGTGGCGGTGCAGCTGTAGCTGAATCTCTCTCTGCCTGTTCAGCTCTGACTGCATATCCTGCATTAGCTTCTGCTGCTGGCGGAGTTGGGATGCTAAGTTGGCTATACTGGAATCTATCTGTAACAACATCATCAAGATGATTCTTAGGTTGGCTTCATTTTACATTTTGTAAGCAGAAAAAGGTATAACATTTATTTTAGGAGAAGCTACACATTTTAAGATAGATTTAAAAATAAAAACTTACACTTGTTAAGACATTGACTGGGGTCTCAAAATGATTTCGTCTGCAATAAAAAAAATTATTCTGACTTATGAACAAGGCTTAATTTTATATTACGTACTATGCTTAAAATCTACCAGCAAAAATTCACCAGTAAAATGTGTTTGTTATTTCTATATTTAAAAAAAAAATTGGCTATCTTAATTCTTCAACATAAATGGCCAGCAAATAGATATGTGTTACATCATAGACTTACCTGTGTCATCTCTAGATAAGTGTTACACCCATGTTAGACTTACCTGTGTGATCTCTAGATAATTGTTACATCTATCTTAGACTTACCTATGTGACCTCTAGATAAGTGTTACATCCATCTTAGACTTACCTGTGTGATCTCTAGATAATTGTTACATCTATCTTAGACTTACCTATGTGACCTCTAGATAAGTGTTACATCCATCTTAGACTTACCTGTGTGATCTCTAGATAATTGTTACATCCATCTTAGACTTACCTGTGTGATCTCTAGATAAGTGTTACATCCATCTTAGACTTACCTATGTGATCTCTAGATAATTGTTACATCCATCTTAGACTTACCTGTGTGATCTCTAGATAATTGTTACATCCATCTTAGACTTACCTATGTGATCTCTAGATAATTGTTACATCCATCTTAGACTTACCTGTGTGATCTCTAGACAAATATTACACCCATCTTAGACTTACCTGTGTGATCTCTAGATAATTGTTACATCCATCTTAGACTTACCTGTGTGATCTCTAGATAATTGTTACATCCATCTTAGACTTACCTATGTGATCTCTAGATAATTGTTACATCCATCTTAGACTTACCTGTGTGATCTCTAGACAAATATTACACCCATCTTAGACTTACCTGTGTGATCTCTAGATAATTGTTACATCCATCTTAGACTTACCTGTGTGATCTCTAGACAAATATTACACCCATCTTAGACTTACCTGTGTGATCTCTTGACAAATATTACACCCATCTTAGACTTACCTGTGTGATCTCTAGACAAATATTACACCCATCTTAGACTTACCTGTGTGATCTCTAGATAAGTGTTACATCCATCTTAGACTTACCTGTGTGATCTCTAGACAAATATTACACCCATCTTAGACTTACCTGTGTGATCTCTAGACAAATATTACACCCATCTTAGACTTACATGTGTGATCTCTAGATAAGTGTTACATCCATCTTAGACTTACCTGTGTGATCTCTAGATAACTGTTACATCTATCTTAAGACTTACCTGTGTGATCTCTTGTTGTAGCCAACCTCCAGTGCTGTGTTGTTTTCATCTGTTTCTTCATCTACATGTCTCTGGATAATTTCCTCTACTTCCGCTTCATCATTTTCATCATCAAAAAAATCTTTCTCATCCTCCTCTTGAGTGCTGTGTGATTCAAATTACATTTCTCTTACAGTTGTACCAATTTTGAATCACAGTGTGTGGTAGTGTGTGGGGTTAGGGAAGTATATAATCATTAGTATTTTGCTAGATACCCTTCCCATTGAAATGCAGTATCCCTCAAAGCATAACCACCCCTAAAGACAACTCTTGGTTGTTTTCACATTTTATTAGTTATTGTCCATATTAAATATTTTACATGATTCTTGTAAAAGATAAGACAAACAATTTTACATCTAATCCCAGTAGGTTGAAATTTTTTTTTAAACAGGTTAGTTTTTATCCCGCCTCTTACAGAACATTAGAATATATTACTGTTGTAAATATATTTAAGAATACAACATTGTATCTTATAAATGTCTCTGTAATTCAAAAGAATGCTAACCTTTGTTCAATGGCAGCACTGACAAGCCTTTTAGCTTCTGTGGAGACATCAGGAGGTTCAGGCCATAAAACTTCTTTTTTCTCTTCATGTTCTTCTAGGCCTATTGTTTCTATCTCCTCCTCAACATCTTCCTGCAAGCCAAGAGCTTCAGCCACTTCTTTATCATTTTCATCATAGCCATCTTCTTCCTTACCATGGTTACTCTGAAAGAATAGTGTATCATGAACCATAAAATGTGAGACAGTAAAGACTAAACTATGAAAAATTGTGCAATAGCACAGAATCATCTCATCAATATGGACCATAAAATGTAGGACAGTAAAGACTAAACTATGTGACATGGTTTACCAGCACAGAATCACCTCACTAACAAAAACAACAGCTACTGTAATAAACACTAATTATTAAAAAAATTATTAAAAATTTATTTTACCATTAAACAGCTGACAGGAAACTGTCCAGTGCTGAATTCTGGTTCTTTAGAACTGGCAAGCGCTTGTGTGCCAGAGAACAACTCATCCAGGATGTCCTGGTTAGAGCGGGTCGAGGCATTAAGGGACTGATTGGCAGAGCCTGGGATTCTGGGATTTCTTGGGGTGGCCAGCTCATCTTCTTCCACTGATGTCACAGGTGGTAGTGGAACATCTGACAGACTCACATGACCAGGGGATGGCTTGCTAGTCGGGGTCTACAATAGGAAAACAATGAGTTTACAATAAGCTTGAAAAGTCTATGTCATTATACTAAATTTAAAAAAAATATCATTTAAAAAATACGACAAGCAATAAAGTTATAATTTATAATGATTTTTAATTTTAGAAAATTAAAGCAGTTTGGGAACCATACTTTGATTTTCATACTTGTACATTGAAGATAAGCAGTTGAAAAGAATTTTAGAACTATTTTATCAATTCAAATATTTTTAACCCCCCCCCCCCCCTCCTCAACCTCTCCTTGAAGTAAACCAGTGGCCAGGGAAAGTAAAACAATGAAAGTCACAACAATTGTTTTCTATTATAAATATGCAATGGCGGTCATTGGGTATAGCCTAGTAGTTTATGTAGAATAATCTAACATCCCCTATTACCACAACACCCTGACTCTACTAATCCAAATAAAAAATAAAAGTGTTAGCTAAATTGCTATTATATTACTAGTTATTATTTGTTTGACTATTTCTGAAACCGAAAGTGTTTTTGCACTTATTTCTCAAATGTTATGAAATATTCAATTTTGGTTGAAAAATATACTTTCTAGCAACAACTATTTGGAACAATTTATTTGACCTGTATGAGGATGCTATTTGGTGTCATGATTGATGAAGGATCAAAAGAAACAATTTATTTGACCTGTATGAGGATGCTATTTGGTGTCATGATTGATGAAGGATCAAAAGAACTGCGGGGTGAATGCAGGCCTAAAATGTCATCATTCATGGCTGTCACGTTGGTAAAGCTACTTGTGCTGGACATGCTGACCTGGCTCACATCCATCTGAGGGTTGCCTTTAACAGCACTGAAAAGATAAAAATTACACAAGGGTTGCCTTTAACAGCACTGAAAAGATAAAAATTACATGAGGGTTGCCTTTAACAGCACTGAAAAGATAAAAATTACACGAGGGTTGCCTTTAACAGCACTGAAAAGATAAAAATTACACAAGGGTTGCCTTTAACAGCACTGAAAAGATAAAAATTACACGAGGGTTGCCTTTAACAGCACTGAAAAGATAAAAATTACACAAGGGTTGCCTTTAACAGCACTGAAAAGATAAAAATTACACAAGGGTTGCCTTTAACAGCACTGAAAAGATAAAAATTACATGAGGGTTGCCTTTAACAGCACTGAAAAGATAAAAATTACACGAGGGTTGCCTTTAACAGCACTAAAAGATAAAAATTACATGAGGGTTGCCTTTAACAGCACTGAAAAGATAAAAATTACACGAGGGTTGCCTTTAACAGCACTGAAAAGATAAAAATTACACGAGGGTTGCCTTTAACAGCACAGAAAAGATAAAAATTACACGAGGGTTGCCTTTAACAGCACTAAAAGATAAAAATTACATGAGGGTTGCCTTTAACAGCACTGAAAAGAAAAATTACACGAGGATTGCCTTTAACAGCACTGAAAAGATAAAAATTACACAAGGGTTGCCTTTAACAGTACTGAAAAAATAAAAATTACACTTGCAAACACATCTAGTAATCTGATCTATAGACTAAAAAATTTGATCCACTAAAGCTCACCAAACAATTGAATATTTATAAAAAAGGTTCTGCACCTGTGAGAGGTAATAGAAGAATTATCTATCGTAGTTTTAAACAGGTCATGAAAATGTAAATGCCAGGACAGTGCTGTAGTCTACTGCATTAATTAGTCAACAGTGTAAAATATTGGCATATTTTTCAATGCGCTCTATTTGTGAACAATTCTCACAATATAATAAAGAATCCTAATCTATTCTTAACATCAGTTTGTTTAAAATTTTGATCTTTAAAGATACATGTTGAAAAACACTTTTGGAACTATAAATGGTGTCTATAAGTTAGTTTTTTCAAGAAAATCCATCAGAATTTTTTTTTTCTTTCTAATCTTTGTTTAAGCATTCTCTAAAATAAATATTTTACTAAACAAAATATCCTATCTAAATAAACTGCTAACATACCTAGGACTTGAGACAGCAAATGCTTGAGGGGTCATGAGAACAGGCTGAGAATTGATTTGGTTACTGGATACATCATTGCTAACTTCACTCTGGTCAATGCTCAGGTCAGAAAGCATGTCTCGCAAGCCTCAACAAAAACATATAAATCCAATTAGATAACAGCAAACAAGGGTCAAAACAATACATGCTAAAGGCAACAAACTACAGCAGCATAAATAGAAATAAAATGTCTACCTATCTCTTCCTGAGAAATGGAGCTTATACTTTGAGTGTAGAGATGTTGTACACTGGTTTCTGGGCGGTAGCGAATCAACAGTTCCTGCAAGGTCCTGTGAGAATTGACCATTTATCATGTAATATAGTTAATCTTGAAGGGAAATATGTTACCATTGAAAAATGTGTGGTACAGCTTCAACCTACTTTGTGTGTATCCCATACATCTTGATCTGTACACCTGTGGTGACTTTCCCTTCCATGTCAGCTACATTTCTGCCTTCTTGGACATCTTCATCCCCATCATTTTCATCTAGCTCTCCTGAAATAATTTTTTTATAATTACAATAAGTTAAAATGGAAAATTACATTTAAAAAAAAATAATTGTAAAAAGAAGAAGTGCAATAAGGGAAGTAAGTAAATCTTTACAATTGTGGATTCTAGTTACACAATGTCATTTGTAATTTAGTTGTAGTTACTTTAGCAGGGTTCATGTACCTTAGTTGTTAACAAATTTCAGGAGTTTATTTAAGGAGAAAAAAGATAAAAGTGCAGGACTTTTCAAAGCTTAGTTGATAAGACTTCACTTGCTGATAAATTGTTAACTGGCATACTAATGTAATTTTCCTTGGTACAATAAAACAATCAGGCTCTATGACTGTGTTTTACCATTTTTTAAACTAGTTTTTCAGGTTTCTGGGTCTGCTATATAAGGAATGTAGGTATTAAATAGACTACATCACCTCAATGTTAATCAACATAGGGCAAGCCTTGCAGTTTATAAGGCCTTACAGAAAGAAAGTTAATACATTATTGCCCATTCTAAAAATTATGTCCCTATTTTGCCTAAAAAGAGATACAATTTTTTTTCTCAATTTAAAATTGGAATTGTTTAAATTTCAGGAAATTTGTTTAAATTTCAGAAGATTTTAAGTTACTCCAGGAGAACCACAGGAGGGTGCATGATCCATGAATAACTACATTTGCAATTTACATCTCCATTTACAATATATCTAGAGATGTATGGTACATATTAAAATATAAAATGACAAATACTATAATAATATGAAATACTATATGTCAGCCACCTGCACTGGCACATTTCCAATCCCTTATACAATCATGTTTTACAATCATAGTAGTGTGAGCCAGGGGACATATAACAATCTCAAGCAAGAACTGCACTTGATAAACTGTGCCAACCCATATCTTTTACCAAACTTAAACTAAGTTACCTGTTGTGATTTCATCCAAATGGGAATCATTTGCAGAATGTTTGAACTTTTTCATGCCGGCCTCAAAAATGGCAAAGCTAAGACAAGACTGAGCTAAAGTGAACTGAGATATGGAGCTAACATGGGAAGTGCTATTGCTGTAGTTTTGATAGATCTGAAGGATGTACAGTTTCTGGAATGATGGCAAACAATTATAAATAAGTTTCAGTGTCACTGAAAAACAATACTGATATAAAAAGAAAGTAAATTTAATACACAATGAAAAATCTAACCAATATAAAAAAAAAGCCTTGATATTCTATGTGGAATACAGTGTCCAGTAAAGGAATAAAACCACTCTCTTACCTGAGCATTTATGTCTGATAAAGCCAGGTATTTTGAAGTTAAGTCAATTTCTGACTTCAAATGAAGAACTTGATCAGGATCACCAAGAGGGGAATGGAATCTATCCCAACAAAGGAGAAATGTAAAACAATATTAAAACAGCAAGTACTACTCGTTTTGTTTTTAAAAGAACATATTAAGAAGTAGCTTAAATATGAATTGATTGAAGCCAAACTGACGTGATTGTCTGAACACAAGCCCAGGTCTCACAGCTCCAAAGTTTAATCTCTGTGTTATGACGGGCTCCAGTAAGAGCAAACTTCCACAGCTGTAAGCTGTAACACAAAGATGAATAGAAATCAAATACAAATATGAAGTAATCTTATTTTAAAAATTAAAATTTAAACAAAATACATAATTCTTAAATTTCTTACAAGTTTTTTTTTGTTAGTGTTTAATTTAAATCAATTCTAATCCGATCACATTGCTAATACTCACTCTGAAACAGGATGCTTGTGGTCATCTAGAAAATAGAGACTTGTGACAGGCTGTCCATCATGTGGGTTCCAGTCATACATGCACCTGTTGTATTTGAAACATTCAACAGCATTAAGAATGGTTCTAACAAGACTTTTAATTAAGTTCTATGGAAAGGACAATTTAAATGTTATTAAAATAGAAGACTTCTACACATCTGAATCCTTATGCTATTTTTACAAAGTTACATCTACAAGACAAACAATACTAAACATAAGAAAAAAAATTCTCTACTCACTCTGTCTCAGAGCTTTCCCCTTCTAAATCAACCAAGAAGAACTTTACTATCCCAGAAAGGTATGCCACTGCAATAGCGGACCCATCTGGTGCAAATGCTGCATTTACTACAGGCTGCAGATGGAGACAAAGTAATGGGATATATCTAGGTGACTTAGCTTTAACATTAAAATTTTTAAAATATCTTTGTAAAATTTCCACGTTATATTTATTAATAGCATAACTCAGTTTTAAAAACAAGATTACTGTTTCTATATTTACTAATCAGAATGACATGAACTAGCCACTTACCATCATCTTTTCAAATGGTTCCACACACATAACACCTGATGCCACTTTCTTGGATGACAAAGGTCCAGGGCCATATTGTCTAGCTACAAGATCCACATTCCAGACTTCAGCCTGAAACATGATCATCCTTTTACATTGGGTATTATACATTTATGCAGTAGAAGCGATGTGTTCTTTCTTTATCAGTTTGTTTGTTTTTTATTTAGTCAGTGGTATTGTAATTATAAAGCAATTTCAATTATATATGCATATATATTTTTAATATTTATTCTTCAGTAAAATATCTAAAACTTATTTTCAAAAGATTTTAAAAATTATTTTATAACTTTTTACATAAATGCTTATAAGCGTAACCCCTTTAAATTAAAACTTCAAAGGAAATAAATTCATATAGAATAGCTGAAATACTGTAATATCATTCTAAAATTGTCCTCTGAGAGGAAATATCATATTTTTATATACATGTATTTAAAGCTGTAGATTTTCATTTATACGATCTCACATTTCTAGTCTATGCCTCAACAAAGTTTGAAAATGTGATTCATAAAAAAAAAATGTATGCAAAAATTATGCCTTACCTCTGTTCCATGTAAGAAGACTAACATTTTAGCAGGGTCAATAGAATCAGTGTCAGCTTCATCTTCTGGCATATATGGACACCAAATGACCCGCGTCAACAGGCGATACTTTGATTCAATACCATAAATCTCTTTCTCAACATGGAGTATTAAAGTATGACTTAATTGGTTAAGGAATTTTTTTTTTTGTTTTTAATTTTCATTCATCAATAATTAGTAAAACATAATTAAGTGGGTCTAAATACAGAGGGAAAAATAAGGATACGAAATTTTGTCCCCCTCCTCAGTGAGGGAGTAAACAAACAAATTTCCACCCTCATCAGCAGCAGCCAGGTATACATCGTCAGACAATGCAAATGAGATGTCCATAACTGTACCACTGAAAAACTTTAACAGGACTCTGTCAGCAGACTTCCTGGATATTACTCGAACATTACCACTTTCTTTTCCTATGTATGAAATAAAGTTCATAATAAAACTCAAAACAATATTTTTAAAATCCGAAATGGATGTAAAAGAATTTCTAAAAAACGTTTTTCGCTAATGTACAGATGAAATTAATTAGCAACCACATTTTAATAAAACTTAGGGAACTCTATCTTGTGTGATATATGACTGAATAAGGTGATTTGTTATGAAAAAATTAGAGAAACTAAATCAGCCAATCAAATACAAGAAAACAATCTTAAAGTAACACAAGCCAATAAAAATACACTATAAAACAAACCTTTTATAACAAAAGCTACAAAAACCAAATCTCTGTGAACAGCAACGAGATTACCATGGTAATACTTTGATTCCCAGCTAAAGTTTACAATTGGTGTCACCTTAACCTGAAAAGAAATTATCATTTTAAAAAAGTGAAATTTAAAATTTAATAAATAGGCCTATATGAAAATAAACCTAAATGATTACAAAATTTAAATCAAATACCTTATTGCTAGCTGAAGATGCAGCTGTAGAGGGTGCAACATAAATATCTACATCTGGACTGTAAACACTAGCTCCACTTTCATCAATATTTTCAGCAAGATCACTAAACAAATTAAACAACAAAATCTTTGCAGTTTTAAATAAGAAGTGAGTGTAGGTTTGGGTTTTTAAAACAAAAACTTAAAAGACAAATCAGGGATGGGTAGGGTATGTAATCTAAGTATTAATTTACAAACAAAAATATAATAAATTCTGCCCCTACAAAATCAATCTTAAAAATCAATTAATAATCTATTAGGCCTACATAAAAAGGAGAAAATTTTAAAGAAATTATTTTTCTTAATGAACAACTATTCTCCTACATAATTTGTGGTGGCCTGTTTCCAATTAAAGTTTTCATTGCTTGAGTTAAGGTCCGAGATTCTCCATCATCTCCTGAGGCAGTTCTAAAATAACACAGCATAATTATAATGTTTAAGCCTATTAGTTATATATAAAATAATAATAGGCCTATATAGGGCATAGGCCTATTTAATTTATGAATTTATTAAATTCAACGAAACAATTGTCAAGACACAAACAACAACGGAAGAGCTCAAAATAACTTTTTTTCAACAAAACAAAAAATATGTTACTTACACTGTGTCAGATAGTAAACTTTGTCTTTCTTGATTAAGGCCTAAAGATAAAATTGGAATTGATTAAATTATCTTAAAATTATTTAGGCCTACATACTACATACTATTTAGTTTACGAAACAAGTGTCACAGTCACAGTGATAGGCCTCGGTCTAAATTAATTTTAAATAGGCCTATGCCTAATGGCTAATAATTCCCTAAACAAAATGCTCAGTATTAGACTAAAAAATGACCAAAACTAGATTCTAGATCAAATCTACTAATCTACCTGTATTATTTCCTTCAGTGTTTAATGCTTGAAGCTCACGAATAAACATGCTCGTGTCAGTGCTTGCTGTTCCAATTGTTGATAACCCATCGTCGCTCTCCATAATTTAATTTTAATCCCAAATTCGCCGAAAAACACAAATGTGTCACCTTAGTTTAATGTATTTATTATTACTGTTACCACAGTATTGATTCCAACCATTAGACTTCCTTAGAACTTTACGTATAAATTAAAAAAATAAACAAAACGGTAGGATACTGCAAGAAAATGTGTACTGTTATTCAGTGAATAGAGTAACTCTTTTTTATTATGGCATTAGGAAAATCAGTTTTATAGCATCTACTTGTAGCAAACAGCGGCAGTTCAGTAGAAAAAGTTTTGTTTCAAAAATTAGCATTCGAAACCACTTTACTTTTTAACATTATTTTTGTTTAAAGTATATTAACAAATCAAATATATTTTTTTGAATTTTGAAATATATATTCAATATTCTAAATAAGTTTTTCAAGTTTTAATATTTCAGAATTTTAAAAAGTACAACTGGCATTAGAAGGATTTTTGCGGTAACGACGATTGCCGTATAAAACAGTAAAGCGTTCATAGAAACCACCGTATTCATTTTTTTTCTTCTCCAGGCACAATGAAGAAGAAAAAGGGCTCAAAGAAAAAGTTTCTATCTTTTACAATTTTCAATAGATTTTATTTAAGAAATAGATCTAGATCTAGATCTAGTACATTTAAGTATATTATTGAGTTTATAGAGTTATTTAAATGTGTTTGGGGAATTATATTAAAATTAAATACTAAAATTAAAATAGTATAGGCCAGTATTGAGTATAGGCCCTACTAGCCTAAGGCCTAAATATAATTTAAATATACTAAATAAAATACATAGTAAATACGTAAATAGTAAATAATAGTAATAATTGGTAAATATAGTAAAAGTAAATATCATAAATTTTAATTTAGGCCTATTATTTATTGTAAATTGTAGATGACAAGAAATACCAGGTAATGGTAGAGTAGAGCTATTCACATACACATCTTTTTCCAGCTAGAATCAGCCTAAATAAAATTTAATAGCCTAGGCCTAAATGAATAATAGGCCTAAGTATTATGATTATTAATTATTTTAGGCCTAAACTAAAACTAAATATTAGGACTAAGTTAAATTAGTAAATTTATTAAATAAGCCTACCTCTCCATAGGGTACAGGCCTTTAGTATTTTAGCTAAGCTAATAACCCCAATTAGTAATAAGTAGCCTAATTAATGTTAATGAAATTAAAGATTTAAAAAAAGTATCTATATAGATCTATATAATTCTCTTCTGGGAGACGCTAGAAAACAAGCTGTAAGCGCGCTCCCTACCACCCCACCTCTACATGGTCTGGTGAGCTGTGGTTCACATTATGTTTACATTCATGGAGCCGGGTTTAGTGACGGCTATTAGGGGCAGATAATTTAGTTTGAAACGATTTTAAACTTAGAGGAGGTAACTAAGAGGAGGCTGCTTTCACGGGGGGGGGGGGGGGGGTTAGTGTTTTAAAGCAAATATTTTCAGTGGCAGCATTGGTACTGTCGAATTCACAAATTATGAATTACTGAAAAGTAGAAAAAAAAACAATTAAATAGTGGCGTATGATACACAGCGGGTCGGCTCGTTAATTATAATTAACTAAATAGTAGGCCTAATCTATTACTTTAGAAAGTAAGTAAAAACGAGTCTAATCAATTCAATCATTGTAATATCTTTCTTTATTGAGTCAGACTGTTGGATGCTTAATCGCTGTGTAATGTATGCATATCTCTCTTGTCATTTTGAGTTGTTGTGTAAGTGCAATTAATTTGTCTGGGACACTATTCTTCTTTCTTCTTAATTTTAGTGTTGGAGGAGATTCCCTTCAATACAATTAAGTATATATCAACTCGTTAAGCGCCATGGGACTCTATTAATATTAGAATTATCATCTATAGCACTTAACGTATAATAGTTATACTGTCCTGTCTACAAACCCCCCACCCCCCACCCTGTAAATTGATTCACATAAAAACACACAGACACATTTAATATTGGGGTCACTAAATTGAAAGTACATATCTGTATTTAGTCCGTATAGTATCTGTATTATTACTTTTAAGTAATCTTGATGGCAGTGTTTCTTCCAGATTTTTTTTCTCCAGGGGGGAAGGCACTTCAATTTTGGTAAAAGTATGTCGTTTAGGGGGCGTTAGATTTTTTTTTTTTGGGGGGGGGGGGAGAGATGCCTGGGAGAAACTCTGATTGATGGCAGATCTGATATACATCTTCTACTATTTTAGATCTAATAAATTACTAATAATTTAATAATATATTACAAATAAAAAATTACTAAATAAAAAATACTAACTAACTTATAAAAATAACAAAACTTAATTTATATTAGTATTTAGTACTGTAGTAACTGGATGTACTAAGAATTTGTAAACTACACACTTTAAGGAATAACTTATTTAATAGTTATGGCCATAGTAGTAGGCTACTTCAAATATGAATAGATTTAACATTATTTACATTTTTTAGATCAAGATCAAATTAAAGTAATATTACTTTTATAATACTCTGCTTCATTTATGCAGTGATCAATTTTTTAAAAATGTATGAAAAAGTTACTTTTCTAAATAAAAACTGTCACACATTTTGTGACAACTGACCTTAAGATAGTTTTCTCAGCACTGGTTTTATTGTGTCATTAGTCACATCAAATATTCTTGATGCCCCACATGAGTAGGGCAAGCCATGGTTTAGAAAATCATGTTTACTTTTTAAAAACCAAAATATCAAAATGATAATAAATTTTTTTTTAATCTAAAAGAAACAAAAAACCTTAAAAATTTCCTTTTTTCCATGAATAGAAAAAAATCGTCTAAAGTAACAAGTAAACTTTCATCTGAAATAGAGGATGAAAGTAATGTTGGGGACAGTCCTGAAACTACAACACTTATGTCTGGAGATACACAACCAAGTGGAAAGAAAAAGAAAAAGAAAGGAGGAAAGAAGAAAAAACTTTCAAAATCAGAAAAAGCTTTGGTAATTGATAATAAATCAAAAACTTTATGCTTTTTAAAGCTATACTTGCTACTTCTGTTTATTTTATTTTGTTAATTTAGAATTAAAAGAAAAACAATTTCTTTCAGCAAACTCTAGAAAAAAAAGGTGAAAAATTGAAAGGAAATGCTGCTCATTATGATGCCTTTATTAATCGAATGCATCAGTGGATGCTGGACAACACAAGATTGGCTCTAGAAATGTTCAAACAATTTGATTCAGATGGATTAATTTCATATGATCAGTTTAAAGCAGGTAAATTTGTTAATGAAAAAAAAGAAAGATCATCACTTAGTCATAACCACTAAGTTTAGTTTACATCAGTGAATATTTTTAGGGTTTGACTAAAATTCCCTTTCTGAAATGGTAAATGGTATTTGACTGTGTGTGCATATATATATATATATATATATATATATATATATATATATATATATATATATATATATATATATATATATATATATATATATATATATATATATATATATATATATATATATATATATATATATATATATATATATATATATATATATATATATATATATATATATATGCATACATATATATACATACATATATATACATACATATATATACATACATATATATATACATACATATATATACATACATATATATACATACATATATATACATACATATATATACATACATATATATACATACATATATATACATACATATATATACATACATATATATACATATATATATATATATATATATATATATATATATATATATGTATATATATATATATACTCAGCACTAAGAGCTTATTGTGTACATTGGCCGGCCAATGCGCGCACTGGCCGGGGCGTACTGGCCAAAGTCTGAAGCGCTTAAACTTTACAGCGTATTTTGTGCACTGGCCGGGATGACCTGGCCAATGTTCTATCTAGACTAATTTGTGATAGCGTTTTCATTATTCTGGGTGCGGTTTCATTGTGAGTAATGTGGTGTTTAGCTCTTACTAGCATGCAAACTCAAGGTGCTAAGATGCTTAAAACATCAAATGCAAAATTTAAACAAGCTGAAGTGGGTGACAATGTACGCATCCATATACCAGATGTTGACAGAGGTCGCGGTGATACCCATAGCGTCATTTCACTTGTCATGAGCGTCGAGGACGCTTTCTAAAACAAATGTATGCTAGCAGTGAGTTTTCAATTCTTCACGAAAAACTGCTCTTATTGTCGTCAGTTGGCACTGAGGAAAAATCATTAAGAACCATCACATCTTCACAATCATTGATCGGCGGCCAAGGCTACAGTCGCTGCAATTGCACAACCAAGTGCACAACAAATCGCTGCAAGTTTAAAAATAACAAACTATTAATTCTAAATTCTTAATTCTAAATGCCATAAAAGTTCAACTTGTTGTTACAAGTGATAATATTGTTTGATTGAGACTATAGTACAATAAAAAATTTGAATGTTTCTGTCATTTACTTTAATGAATAATCAATAAAGCCTTAATTTCATGATCCTTACGGTATAAAAAAAACAAAATCTGCTCATGATAATCTAATTCAGACCGGCCATTCCACAATGCGCACATTGGCCGACTTTGGGCTTTGACCGTAACATATATATATATATATATATATATATATATATATATATATATATATATATATATATATATTTCAATATATATATTCGCTGAATACCCGTGCTCCGCCACGGTAAATCTTTTTAAAATGTACCAACTTGGGAACAGAACAAAACAAAGAAAAATACAACACAACCACAACACAACCACATCACATATGCTATAATTCTAAAATTTCACCATCGGTTAACACCGAAAAACAAAAACAAAAAATAGTGATTTTGAGAGATCATAGACTGATTAGAAAATAATATAAATAATCTTATCATTTTTCTATTTTAATTATGAACCTAAATATATGATAATTAATGCGGTAGTAATAAAAAAAAAATTAACTTCAATTATTGATGAGTTAAATTTATTTTTAAATTACCTCCCTCGCAAAAATTACAAAAAAAAAAAGTTGAATTAATTAGTTTTTTTCGACCTTCTGTTAAGAAAAATGTATCCACTTTTTCTAGGAATATAAACGAAAATGATATTTGACATTGAACCTTTTAATATGTTTTAGGAATGTGCGTGTATTTAATATTTTCTTTACGTTATGCAAAAGAGTAAAAACAGTGGCAACTATTAAATAACTTTATGTCGTTATATAAACATTATATAAACAAACCCTACTCTATTACTTATAGTAAGACACTGCGATGCACTGAAAAGCACTGGATGGTGCGATGATTACTTTTATGGTTCCAAAATCTATAGCGATGACGGAAGGAAGGAAGGACTGACACACTACCAGCCCTCTTATATTATAGACATAGTTAGTTATTTTATGTTTTAAACTTCTTTTCTGACAGCCATGTTTGACCTTAATGCTCCAGTGAACAAAGTGGAGCTACATCTTATGTGTAAACTTTTAGACAAAGAAGATGCTGGTGAAATTGATTACAAAGAGTTTGCTAATGGTTTGCAGTTTATAAAGTTAGTATAATTGTTTATTTATTTCTTCATTTTAAAAGTGTTCTTTGCTTAAAAGCATATCTAAGCCTGCTAGATGCACAATTTTTTTTTTACCTAGTGACAAATATTTTTATTTTTTTACAAGTAACCAAGAGCTGTAATCTAATGTTTTCTTCATTTGGTCATAGATTTAAAACACATATATTTTTAAACACTTTCAACAAATACCATGTATTGACAATAGAGTACAATAGAGTAATAACCTAAACTATAGAATGACTACTTGTAAAAAGTAAATGTTTTGTATTTTTGATAATTTCAACTTAATTTGAATATATTCATATTCTTATAATAGAGAATTACGAGAAATAGATCGTCAAAGAGTCCATGATGAAACTCAATTACTGTTGACACAACGCAAGTTCCCAGCATGCCCATGCTGTAAAATGCTTATAGTTGAACCTTGGCGAGAGACATTACCAAGGTAGGCCAACTTAGTAGTATTAAATTTCAGACTAAAACTTCAACACATTCAAGTCCCTTTTTAGGTTTTCTTTCTTTTTAAAGATTCTTACTAAAATTTTAACAACTTATTTTACTAATGTTCAAGTAGCAATACATGCTATCTTGACTCCCGTTAGTGGTATAGGAAAAGTGGAGTTAGCCCCTCATTATGGAAGTTGTCTCCCTTTAAATTACAGCTTTTGGCAATGGTTTGCTTGTTGCTTTATGGTTGCCATTTTAAATGTCATTAAAAACATTACATTCTTAAAACTGTATACAATATATAAAAATACACAATCACAATCATCATATAGGAGGCCTATATATATATATATATATATATATATATATATATATATATATATATATATATATATATATATATATATATATATATATATATATATATATATATATATATATATATATATATGTGTGTGTGTGTGTGTGATAAACCTAACTGCTTTCCACTTTCAAGCAAATTTTAAACAGGAACCCATGCATTTAAAGCTGGGTTAACTTCAGGGATGATTTATGGACTCGATTCAGGAATTCGAACCTTTTTGAGTCAGCAGTCATGTGCTCTACAATCTGACCATGCCATCCCATAATTTTAATTTGATTAATAGTATAAAAGTGTTTTTTTTTCTTCTGTTGAACATACATGTAGAAGAATGGCTAAAAGTAGTAAAAGATAATTATGTTTAAGATCCTAACACTCCAAAGGATTCTTTAATTTTAATTACAAACCTTTTTTAAAATTTATCTTTTCACCTAGTGACCATCTGTATTTATATTTTTAATTTCATGTCTGGAGAATTAAAAACTTTCAATACTGTGGATGTTATTACATATAGTTATAATAATGTACTACTATTGCTTTGTTGTTTTTAGATTCATTTTACTTGAACTAAGATGTGTGACCTTTGACATGATTGGGAAGTATCCAGGACATCTTAAGTTGCTGGTACACAGCCACCTGCCAGTTTGTGGCTTGATTCAGATGATTATTGCAGAGACAGACATCAGCTCAAGTAAAATAGCAGTTTTCCGTGATACCTCTAGAAGTCCAGAATCTGTTTTACCTCCAACAATGACCCTAGAAGAATGTGGCTTTGTAGGAGAGGTTTTGACCAGTTGTGAGGAGCGTGTCTTGTACTATGACTACACTGTAGAGTTTACAGACTGCCCAATCTTAATGTGTGATCATTATTTTGGACAAAAAGTAAAAATATAGAATTTTCCAGCTGCAGTAATATTTTTTGGAATCATGAAATTTGATCTTTTTGATGTCGCTATTTTTACAGTACTGATTACTCATTAAATGAGAATTCTAACTAGTAATAATAAATGCATAGCATTCTCCCTGTAATGTATTTACAACACTGTAACAAACAGAAAGTTCTTGTTAATATTTGTATTTATTTTAGAATGTCACTGTTATAATTTATGCACAAACTATTTATCTGAAAGTTTTATTTTGTCTTGCACAATCTGTCTCAGAAATTTTATTTTATATTAAAAGAATGTGAATAGTTTACTATTAACAACAGACAAATTCAAATTAATCATTAGAAATACAAATCCTATTGTTCCTTTTCAAAAATATAAACCATCAATGTGTTTAAATTACTGTGAGGCAAAAATGTTTTTGCCATTTTTCACTAATACTAAGAGCCATATAAATTTCAAATGGTTTACTTAAAAAAAAATAATTTATAGAAAAGTTGTCTTGGGACATTTTCAGAAACTATTTACCTAAAATTTTTGTGAGGAGCAGTTTTCTCAATTTAGAGTAAATTTTTATTAAATATATTTTGTCACTATTAAGTAGTTTTATTTTAAATATATTGTATTGATGTTTTGTTGTCCCTTCTCTAGCCTCAGAAGTGTTAAGTTTCAATCATAACATTTTTAGAATTGATCCTTCATTAACTTTACCACAGTAAAGAGAATATTTTAGAATAACACATTACGACCAGAATACTGATGGACTGTCGTATATTTCTCAATCATAACAACCCAGTAAGACCAAATGTATTTTAACCTCCAGAGTTTATGGTATTTCTCCAATGAAAACAAAACTCAACAAAAAGGCCAGTGACAATGAGACTTGTATGAATAACAAACATATAAATCACAGACAGTTATAGCTAAAAACACAACAGATCAATAGAAATTTTTTTAAATTTAATTGTCAACAACATGAACCAAGCAAAAAAAAAAATCCCTTACAGCTTATAGGATTTAAATGTTGAGGGACAAGCAATGGGAAGAAACCACCTCCCAACACAATTGAAAAGGCCAAAGGTTTAGATTTTTAGAACTCTCACCATTTGTCAAAGGCCAGGACATAAAATCACCGGGCTCGAAGGCAATTCCTGTGACGTCTCCCAACCATAAAGACGTACTACAATCTGAGTGGATGGGATCCATTATGTCATGAGCCTGTTCTTGAAAGAATCACTTGGCCAGTAACATTGTAACAGAAGTAATAATTAGCAAAAATTTTATGGAATAATCAAGTACATTTTCTAAATGAAGTTAATAATAATACTTTTAAAAAACTCTTAACAAAAGCTGCTTGTTCAAATTATAAAAAATATCTTTAAGCAAAATAAAAACAAAAATATAAGTTAACACCTTAAGGAATGCTTAATTAATCTTAAATTCTAAAGATCAATAATCCCTTTAGTTAACAATGGTTTTTAATAAATTATTGTTTTGTCAAAAAATATTCTGAAATAAATTTGAATACTGATGAAAGTTAAATGTTATTTACACCTGGTGAAAATTTAAAAAAAAACAAATTTTAAAGCAATAAGCTTTAGAAAAAAAAACATCAATCAATCAACTTCAGAATAATTCTTATCACTAGGCTGTTCTCTTTTCAAAATCTGCTTTGGGGTGAACAGTCCCAAATTGGTTTCTACCAATCTTTTTCCAACAGGTTCTTTGTTGTTTTCTGTTGTCTTCAAATTGTTAGAGGAACCCTCATTTCTACTGTTTGTTAGGCTGTTAGTTGCATCATCATCTGTCTCTTCCTCTTCTGTTGTCCAAGCATCATCATCTTCACCACTAGCAGTTACATCCCCAACAACTTCTAGATTTAATGATTCCTTTACTGCCATCTTTTCTAGTTTCCTAGATGGAGTAACATCAGAGCTGATTACAGAGCTTGGACTATCTAAGTTACCAGGTGTTTTTAGGTGACTTTTAACCTTTTGAGGTGAATCCTTCAATTTAGAACTAATTACTTTCCTTGCTAGAAAATTTACCATCTCTTTGCGTTGGTCTTCCGTAAGTAGTGATTCATACCCTACTGTCCAGAAAGGCTTTTCTTGCCCCACTTTGGCTAAATTTTCTTTCAATAATGTTGGATTGGAAACAAGCATTTCGATCTCCTCTACTTCTGCTTCTGTTAGACGACATTCAATATCACCAACTTGAAACATCTTTTCTGTCAGCAGCTCCTCGTTATCAGACACAACATCATTCTGAAGATCTGCTGGCTGAGCCAAGCCTTCTTGAAACATCTTCTTCAGGACCTCCTCTCCTGTGTCATCTTCAAACAACTCTACGGTGCGTGGCTTTAGCTTGATCATTCTAACAATAACTTCTTTTCCCATGAGCAGATTACTTATAGCTAGTTGCAGCTGATTTGTCCATTTGCCACCAAGATTTTTTGGGGGAAGAATTGCAAGATGACACCTCCATGCCATGATTGGGAATTTTTTACTGTCATCATGCAGAGGTCTCATGCGATTTAGAGGTAATATTTCAGTTGTTCCAAAATCAAAGTAGGTAACAAGACAAAGATTATTGCTTGGATATGGCATGACTACCACAGCTCTGTACCATCTATCGTCCACTGTGTATTGGCCTGTAAGAATATGAAATAGTAAGATTGTATGTCTAGACCGTTTAATTTTTTTACAAAAGTAATTGAACCAAAAAGAACTTTCAGAGAAAAATTCTAACCTTCTACTAGCGTGCCCTGGATTGGCAAACTATCCAATACACCAGAATTTGAAGAATTGAGATTCTCCATGAGTACTTCAAACTCTTTTATCCTTTGATTCCATTCATCTTTAGCCCCAGCAGGCCTAAAATCACCAAACAAGATAAACAAGTACAGAATCCAGGGCAATCAACATCAAACACTTTTTTCTTAAATTTTTCTGGTATAAAACTTAAGCAATAATTAGAATCCATATTTACTTATTCATCAATGAGCGCTGCAGGTAGATAACATCTGGCCTCTCTACATGGGTGATCAAACCCCTGAATGTTGTGTGCAGGTTGCCCATCTTTAGCTTGGGACACTCTTGGATGTTCAGCACAATCTGACCTATAATGCTGCTGTGGGTGTAGATGTGTCTGTCATCATTCTTGCATAAAGCCACACATTTAGAAACCAAGTAGTCTTTCAAGTTAAGGCCATCTGCCACCCGGATAAGGTCCACCTATAAATAGGATTAACAAAAAGTATAGTAGAACCTTTTTTAACTGTGGCTCTACGCTCAAAGGATAATGACGGCTGCAGCATATTATCAATAAGAATTTTGATACCAATTTCAATATGAAAACTAGAGTAAGTTGATTACCATAATCAAGTTGTTCTCATCCACTGCCCGCACAGTTGCAGCACACTCATAAGGAATAACAAGCCTATGTATGTCCTCCAGAGCTGACCTCTCCCACACAGATGGGAATGGTTCAAGGTCATGTATATAAAAACAATAGCTTAGAACGGGAATGTTGTAGAGGTCAGGGTGTATCTCACACAAGTCCCAGACATTAACCAGAGAGGAATTGCCAAAATCAATGTAGAATACCTGAAAAACAAACAACTCCACCAAATAAGTATGAAATGCATTTGCATGACTTTGTAAAGAGGATGAAATATAAAAATGTGTGTAAGTATCAGGGATAAGGAGGTACCTCAGCCTTGTTGGAGCTAATATTTTTTATTACAGCTCTATACCACAGCTTGTCTTCATCAAATGGCGCTACACATGTGTCTCCAGTTTTCCATTTTTTCACTGGCTTTTCATCAACCTTGAGCAAAAACATTTTTTTTAAATTTATTCTCAGCAGTTTTAAAATGTTAAAGACAATTAATCAATATAGTTCAGGCAACTTCTGTTTTTTAAACCTATAAATGTAAAAAGCATTTTTTTAAAAAATCAACTTGATTAGTGAAGTTTTATTTATGCCTTTCAATTATGTATAAAGTGCAGTTTTTCAAGTTTTTGTGTGAGTAATGCACCTTTATCTAAGGGTGAGGAATTGGATCATAAGATGATGTGAAAAGTAAACTGTGACATTTTCACTAGTGATACTTTAACAAAGACCTAAATGAAATTTCATACATACCTCAGGCTAATTGCACATTTGTTTTTAATGCTAGCTTAGATTTTGTTTGTATCTACCTTAGGTTCCCAAGTACCATAAATTTGTACAAGTTTTTTCTCCAGATCAACAATAGTTTCTGTCCATGTCACTGGTTGTGAACAGATAGCACCAGATGAGCTGATAAATGTGGGCACAACTCTTAACATAGTACCAACTTCTGGAACTGGTGAGGCTGGAATGCTCATCACCTGTACATTGTTGTTTGTTTTAAATATAGTAGGGATTACATTTTGTAATTACAACTTTAAAAGAAGTATATAATCATATACATATACTATGTGCAAATAATCCTTTATCATTTTCTACTTTGTGTTTTATTACAAATCATAACATAAAATAGTTTTTTTTTCAGTTTAGTAAAGCAGAACTTTGCAGAGAAAAAAAATTGGCATATTTATTAAAGAATTAAATCATTCTAAATTCAATGCCTGACTTACATTTATCAAGTCACTACACCTGTCCTCACTATCAGGAACAAAAGATAAGGGTTTTAAAGGTTCCGGCTGTACATCACAATCTTCCTCTGGTTTCACTGCCTCTTTAATTAACACTGCTTCTGTTTCTTCACTTGAAACTTTCATGTTTTCCTATATAGATAGAAATATACCAAGTAGAGTATTATCCAAATTTTAGACATGAGTTGGGGTCGGTGTGGTCGAGTCAATAAAACTCATGGTTGCTAAACTGAAAGTCTCAGCCACTCTTCTAGGAGAGACAACTCAAAAATCCAAAAACTGCTGCCTTGTAGTTTGTTCTTGGTTGGACAAAGGCTATGGAAGCAAATCCGAAAAGAAAAGCAGTCTGCAATCTGAGTCAACGGCCTATATGGCGCATAACAAGTTGACATGTATAGGCTACTTAATTGTGTTGGAGGGAATCCCTTCCAACACTAGAATTAAGAATGCAGAAGAAAAAAAAGACATGAGTTAGTTATTTCATAGTGACTAACATAATGGAAAAATGACTTGTACATCTTCTTCTTTCTTCTTCTTCGTTCTTAATTATTAGTGTTGAAGGGGATCGAGATTTATCTGCCAGTGGGGTTGAACTCGAGACTGTTCGAATTTATCAACCATGAGCTTTTTGCCGACTCGACCACGCCTGCAACACAATTAAGCGTTACGTGTCAACTGGTTATGCGCCATTGAGGCCATTGACTCCGATTTCAGCCTGCTTTTCTTTTTGGATTTGCTTCCATAGCCTTTGTTCAACCAAGAACAAACTACAAGGCAGCAGTTGTTTAATTTTGGAGTTGTCTCTCCTAGAAGAGTGGCTGTCCCCAGCTAATGAGCCTCATCTGCCCGAGGGTTCGAACTCGAGACTTTTCGGTTTAGCAACCATGAGCTTTACCGACTCGACCACGCCGACCCCATGTACATGTACTTGTACATGACATGTGCAACAGAAATGTTATAACAATAACTTGTGTTCTTGAAGTAGATTCCTTTTCAAACCTTCAGTCCATGCGGCAAGGGAAGTAGAGTTCACCTGTTCCTGTGACCTTGGCATATAAAGGAATAGTGTTGTTATTACTATGCCTAGCTGCGTTTACATTCCCTAATGTGAGTTAGATACCCATTAGTGCTGAGAGGACTCAAGAATGTTCTACCGACTTGAACCCAGATTCAAACTCGAGACTTTTAGGTAAGCAGTCTAGCGCAATACCACTAGGCCACGCTGTCCCTGTTCTTGAAGTGTGAATTGAATACCACAAAATAAGAGAACACAACCTACCTCAAATATCAGCTTATGGAACGGAGCCACGCCACCTTCTGTTGCACTTGCAATTTGACTACCCCTCTTCATAGGCATTGCAAGACCATTATCAATGATGCTCTGTCTTAAGGAGTGGTATGTTCTTATGACAGGGTCAAAGGCAGTTTCTGGTATTACTTCTTCATAAATGATGTCTATTGGGAGACTGTTGTCTTTCAGTTCACCTTCTTGCTTAATATACAGCTTCCTTTAAGTGGATATAATAGAAGAAAGTAGAAAAAAATTTTAATCTCAAGAAAATCATAAGACTTATTAAGGCAGTAACTGCACAATGATATAACACAAGTAAATTTAGCAATAGCTGGTCAGAGTAAAGTCCTGGTCTGTACAAACTAAAAACATTCTTGCAAGTTTGATGATGTGCTGTATATTTATATCTCATTATTATGTTTAAAATGTTCTATCCCCAATGTAAGCTCATGGCTAATTATATTATTTAATATTTTCCTGGACTATTTTTCTGTTGATTTTATTTACTATTATTATAACAACCTCTTCACTCTGTTACCATACCATAACAATTATTAATAGTAGTATATTTAAAATGTATGATCTGAAAATGGGAGTTATTTTTATCCATAAGCTATTTTCTAACAAAGCCCTGACATCTTTAAATGTGTTAAAATCTAAGATCTAGATCTGAATACACAACCTACTTGGCTTGTATTATGCTCATCATAAAGTCAGTGGCAGTATGTGGCCACTTGGTCCCATCAGATCCTGAAGGAACTAAATCTGCCAAGTGGCATCTGTACAAAATACAATAGTGTGTATAGGAGTAATAAAAAGAATAGCTACCTACACAAATGTTATGTTAAAAGAAATCATTATATGGTATAAAAATGAATTAATATAAATTTTAAAAATGTCTTCTACCTTACAGCTGCTACCTCTAGTCGAGTCCCAAGTTCACGATTAAGGCAACGCAGGTCACAACATTTCACCAGATCACTGTAGCCATAATCTACCATGTCAACCTGACAGTTTTCATTTTCTATAGTTTTTATGTTGCATCTGTACCATAGCTCATCAACAGAGTATCTAAGGAATGGTTGAAGAAATTACTATTGTAAATATATTCATGCCATAATAGCTCGGATTTAAAAAATAATTATTTCAACATTTAAAAAGTAAACTTATTCACTTTCTTCAAACTTTTACTAAACAGACAGTTAATAATATTAATGCTATGAAAAAATGCATTCAGATTGTTTAATTACTTAGCAGCACAATATTCTTCTTGTTTCCATTGGTGAGTTGTGGGGGAAACTGAGTTAGTGTAAAACTTCTGCATGTCTTCCATAAGTTTACTGAGTTCTTCTTCTTTTTCTTGAATCTGTTTTATACACAATTTTCATCAAATGGATCATGTCAAATAGATAGAGTTACTTGAAAAAATAAAGTTTTTTGAAGGCAGATAAAAAATTTTTTTTTAGAGGAAATCCCACATAACATTATCAACAAAATGTATAGATACTTACCCTTATAAAAAAGTCTGAAGGACTCTTATAGTTACTAACAACCACCTCTATGTAGACTGCATTCTGGATGGATTGCCCTTCATCATCACTGTTGACACTCATTGCTCGTTGAATATCTCGCTGAATTTTCTCTTTTTCTGATGATTGCTTTTGAATATTTACATCCAAAGTCTTGCTCTGTTGTTTTACCCTTGATGGGCCTGTTTTTTGTGTGTCCTGTTTTCCAGCACTTCTGGCTGATAATTTGGTGTTACTAGTGCTTTCTTGCATTGGGGAAGTATATGGAGATGTTGATTTTTTTCTGTCTCTCCTGTTTTTAGTATGAACATGTGAGGCTTCTTTGTCACTGAAGGTTCCCCTTACCCTCATCACTTTAGCTTTTGAGGATGCCTCTGGATAAGAGCCTTCACATCTGCTGGCTTTAGTCTCACCTGAGTCACGTTCATCCAAGCCTATAGCATAAGATTCTTGGACTGCACTCACTGATGCCAAGCCTGTGCTCTGAGCCAAACCCATTTCCACCAGTTTGCAGTTGACAGATTGTAAACTCTTAATGCTACTTTTGTTCCCTAACCACAGAACCATTTCTGTGACTTCAGCCCACCTGATACAAAAATTTAATTTTGGATAATTAGAAAATATTACAATATATTATTGAAGTTTTTTTTAAAGGGTACATCAAAGTACTATATAATATTTAAATACATTTTCTGGGGTATTCTATAAATTCAATAAAATAAAAAGAGCGTTAGATTAAAATGAAATAAAAAAAACAACTGCAATTAGATCCAATAGATGAAATTATCTGAGCAAGTTGTACCTTACAACTGCAATTAGATCCAATAGATGAAATAATTATATGTGAGCAAGTTGTACCTTACAACTTTAACACATCCTCTTGTTCCAGACAAGACATTTTGAAACCAAATTTCTGCTTCATCTGACCAGGCAGCATCTAGCCCACCAACAGGGCAAACATCTGCCAACTTACAACAAACAGCCTGCAATGGAGACTTCATTTTGTCAAGTCATGATATTAAGCAACTTCAAATAATAATTTTAAATAAAAAATTTTGGAGAAAATATTATATTTATGTAGAAAATTATAATGGCAAAAGTACTCATGAAAAGTAGTACTGGCAGGTATGTGTGTGGATTAAGTTGTGTTTAATAATGAATATTACCTATAAATTGGAATTTTTTACCTGTATTGGTAGCTTAAAAAATTCTGAGTGTAACTTCTTCAGCTGCTCATATTGAACTATTTCAACTGCTCCAACATCAACAAATTTTACTTTTACCTAAATGAAATTGAGTTAATTAGTGCTGGTATTTTTTAACACAATTTATAACAGATTAATAAGCTGAAGTGACAAAAAAGTTGTCACATTGTGCCAAAATGTTAACCGTGAGTGACATATTTGTGACTAGTTTCAGAAGAAATCATGTCACTCAAAATGTTACCTTTCATCTCAGAGCTCACACAAAATCAACTCACATTGATGCTTTGATATAAAATAGAATTTGTTTGTTTTTGGCCTGATGTGTGTGTGGCATTGTCTGCACAAATATGTGACCTTAAAATACCTTAAACCTAAACCAAGTTTTTATATATATATATATATATATATATATAGATATATATACACATATATAAAATTCATTTTAAGGAAGCTCTTAAATACAAGTTTATAATTTCTAGTATAACATACTTTTAACTATACAGTTTTAAACATAGTTTAACTAGGAAATTAGTGATTTTTTTTCAAAAGTGTTACCCCCACCAATTGTAGCTAAAGTGTAAGATAAATTATAAATATTTAATAAAATTAATAGTTAGGGACAGGAAAAAAAGACACACACTTGTTAATGCCTCTTATAGCAATGGTTGTTGAGTGGTGATGATTGATAGTGCATAGCATGAAGGCAGGTGTCTTAATTTTAACACTCAAAACTGACCTGTCTATGCTCTGATGGAGCAAGGACCTCTCCTCTGTACCATTTACTGTTTTCATCTTTAACAGCACAGACCATACCAGGTCGGGGGTAGAAAAGAGAATATAAGTTGGTGGCATCTTTACTATAAGTTTCCTGCATTTTTTCAAACATTATCTGATAGTAATCTTTCTCCACACCATCACGCACTAAGTAAAAGTCCAAAGGTGAATTGACGCAAGTTACTGTGACATCAACAATTTTCCCACTCATTAAAGATGTTGGCTAAATCAGAATAAATTACATTCATGTTACAATAACATATATTTCAATAAAAATATAATTCTATCCTAAACACAAAGAAAAGTGCTTACCTTAATATACTTAATTTTTGGATATGCTGGTGGTGATGGAACTTTTCCAGCAGCATCACTGAAAGTCCTGAAACGTCCAAGCTCTAAGAAGACCATAATATCTCTTAAAGAAATAAAACCATCATCAGTAACATTTTCCGCTGGTAAGACGATAAGATCAACTTCATAAATCTCATCTTGTCTGTTCAGGGCTGAGAGCAGAAAAGCCTGAAACATGACGAGTTTAGTTGCAGCTTACATTAATAGGGTCAAAACTTTATTCTTTGATTGAACATTGTACTAAACTGTTAAACTTAAGGTAAAAATTGTACAACTACCTATACAATTTACATGTAACTAGCTTGCATATGGCATTAACATAAAATAAAATTGAGTTTATTTTATACATAAATCAGCTCTGAGTAGAAAATTAGATTAAGATTAGTTATATTGCTCATTCTTAGATATAAACTTATAAGTTACAGTAAGAAAAAAACACCAAAATATAATTATAAATCTAATGTGAATTTTTATGGTATTTCACAAACTGTTGTAATAATTAGCTCATTAATTTCTCTGGTTGGTATATTTTAAGTATCAAAGCAATTGTAATACCTTATTTTGAGTCATCTGATGGAACTCTTGAATAGCTTTAACTGACCATAAAGTGTCCTCCTCATAAGGGGCAAAGTCATATAAAGAGCAACGTATTGCAAAAGGAGGATACTTTAAAAATCTCTTCTCCATCAGCCTTAAATCTTTCGAGGTAACATTTTCTTCATTGCCAAAGTCTATGTACATGACACGAATCTGTGGGGGGGGAAAAACAACATACATTTGAAAGCGCATATTTGACATTTGCTTAGTATTTAGTCTATAGATAAAAATATATTACATACTTTGAAACCTTCTTGTTTTGTCTGGTCTGCTGGTACTTCAACATTCAGAACCTTTGCTCTATACCAGAGCTTGTCCACTGAGTAGCGAGCAAGTACATTCATATGTTTTTCAAGTATTATTGGTGCATGCTTGAGGGATGCATTTTTACGGCACCATGTGTTTATATTGTGAGACAAAGTATCAAGTTTATTTTTATTATTGGTCAACTGTACATAGAAATCATTTGGGGAGCGTATGTGAGTTACTATTGAATGATGAAGCGGCCCTTTAACAACAGGCTTAACAAGTTCTTCATGAAGAAACTCAGTTTTTTGTAGCTCAATAGGGTCTGTATCTTGAATTTCCCTTTTCTCCATGAATTCATCAAACACATCTGCAGATCCGTGTTCAATGTCACTAACCAATGATGAGCCAAAAGATGAAATGCTTGCTCTGTCATCCTCTTCAACTTCTTCAGGTGCTTCTTCAATTGTCTTGAAATCAATTTTTTGTTGTACTTTTCCAGAAATCCTCCCAAAAGAGTTAACAGCTTTAATCAATTCCTTAATGTTATTTTCTTCCCAATTAATATTTTCACAGGATGATACATCTTTCTTCACAACAATACAAGGAATAGATCTAGCACCTTTAAGTGCATCCAACAAAGAATTCCCATCTATTACTAATGCACTGTTGTCAATCAACTTTTTTGCATCTGATATAGCTTCATCTAGATTTAAACGTTGTTGCTTAAAAAACTGCTTTTGGTTTTTCAGCTCAACACAACTTTCTTTGAACATGTTACTAAGAGAATCAAGTAGTTCCATTTCTCGAATCTGTAGCATAGAATGCAATGTTAAAAAACTTTGATTTATATGATCAATGATAGACTTTGCTTCAGCTTTAACATTTGGAAAAGCTGATGATATTTTTTTGTCAACCTTCCTTAAGTTGTTCAAAACCAAAGATGCATTGGGCAGTTCATTTTCAATATCTGGTAATAACTGTTTATTCTTTTCTTCAAAAGAAACAATGGGATGGTTTTTGTGACTACCAAGAATATAGCAACGTGAGCATATTGCAGACGAATCTTCCTCACAATAGTATTCAATCGGACGGTTATGTTCACCACAGGTGGATTCAAAAACAATTTTACTAGAAACATTAGCTTTTAGTGGGACTGGTTTATGCTGTTTGATGGATGCAGATATTTTGTGAACTTTATCAAAACATGAAAAACAAAGAACACTTTCACATTCAATACATTTACAAGTACTATCTTTTACATGACACATGTTACATTTTTCTGTAACTTTATTATTAGCATTATTATCTTCAACAGCATCTAGTGTCTTTTGAAGCAAAACAGAAGGGGTAAAAGTGCCAAGCTGATGGTCTAGTTTAGCTCTCTGACTGATTCCAATATATGCAGTGAGGTAAACATTCACTGGTAGGTCTTTTATACCATTCTCTAAGGAGGTGACATGCTGGCAGGTTGAACAAGCCACATGAAATGGTGATGTGTGTTCTTGCAGTGATTCTGTAGGGACAACTGTTTCTGTCTTTTTGGTCCTGTGTGCAAGACATACTTCACAAAATGTATGTCCGCATCTCAAAATAAGAGGTTGCCTAGATTGTACTTTGTTCAACGATATGTTTAAAAGTGTAAAATTTTCTTTACAACTTGGGCAACAAGTCAGTTTCATTTTTAATATTCTTGATTTTTAGATTACAAAGAGAATCTAGAAAAATCTAGAACTAGAGCAGAGATTCTATGAATGAATTTTAAAAAGCATAACTTTTCATTTGAGACAGCCGCTTGTTTGTGTTTAAGTATACTAAATACCGCTTTTTAACGCTATTTTAAAAGCACACCTTAAACCAGACAGCGAAAGTATGCACGATCTTATATATTAATGCTTTATTATTAATTTTTATTAATTAGAACTGATAACTATCTGAATAAAATAAACTCAAGGAAACTCACTAATAACCATACTTTTTAATAAAAATTAGCCTATTAAAACAGGGTAAAACTCCATTTTAACGTATTTTATTCGCCGCTTCACGTTCACCTCCGATTGAGCGTATTTTTATTATATACATATAGACCTAGATCTACACCACCAAAGCAAAAAAATCTTAGGAAAACACTAGGATTAGATTCTAGTAGGTGATAGATATGGATCTACTTATGTTTTTTTTTTAGAAAAGGTAAAAAAAATATTATAAATAAGCATTAGTTTCAATTAAATAGCGTGTGATCGTCGGCGGTAAGAAAATCCCTACATGGTCAAGGGTTCACCGTGAGTTCACATTGACTTTAATTATTAGCATACGGATAATAGCTTAGGGTCATTGTTAGTTCATGTAATCATGGCTTGCAATTATGCGTTTCTACTTTACCCATTGCCATGAAAATCTTAACTGACGCGAACATATTTTCAAAAAAAAAGAAAGTTTAATCTAGATCTAGATCTAGATCTAAATAGATCTAAATAAAGAGGTAAAACTGAATGCTAGGAAGGATAAAAGAAACTATGTAGATACAATGGCCACAGAAGCACAGGCTGCAGCTGTTAAGGGAGATAGCAGAACAGTCTACAAGATTATCAGGACTCTTACAGGCGGAATAGCAAAAAGATCATCTACTATCAAGGACAAAAACGGGAAAATTCTCACAACGGAGAAACATCAATTGAAAAGATGGGCTGAATACTTCGAAGAGACCCTACACATACCAGATCCAGAAGAAACTGCTGACTTCACTGACATAAACCTACATTTTGAAATGTATAGAGGGCCCATCCTAGAACAAGAAATAATAGAAACTATAGAAAAAACAAAAAACAATAAGGCTCCAGGAGAGGACAGAATCACTGCGGAGACGCTAAAGGCAGACCCAAAAATTGGTGCAGAAACTCTATCAGGGATCTTCAATAAAGTATGGAATGAAGAAAAGTCCCAGATTCTTGGAAACGGGGAATCATTATCAAATTACCCAAAAAGCGCGACCTTAATGTTTGTGAGAACTGGAGCTGCATTAATCTTCTGTCGGTACCAGGAAAAATCTTCTGCAGAGTCTTTTTACAAAAAATAGAGCAAATTGCTAAAAGCGTTGGGCTAAAGATAAACTCCGGAAAAACCAAGCTAATGAAAATAAAAACCAAAAGTGCTCTCAAGACCTTTGCGAATGGAACAGAGCTAGAAGAGGTCGATCTGTCGAAGTACACCAGCAGCTATATATCAGCAAATGACAGCATGGAGAAAGAAATGGCCACCAGAATAGCAATGGCAGCACAAGCTTTCAACAGACTCGCTAAGATCTGGAAATCATCCTCACTACAGCAAAGAACTAAAATAAGGATCTACAAGTCTAATGTACGTTCTGTACTCCTCTATGCTGCAGAATCATAGAAACCAGAGGCGTAGCGAGGGGGGGGGGGCGGGGGGTGCGGACCGCACCGGGTGACACCATTTAGGGGGTGACACCAAGGCAAAAAATAGTAAAATATATAGAGAAAAATTTGAGGGTGGGGGGTGCAAATCGAAAGTTTGAGGGGGGGGGGGGGGTGCAAATCGAAAATTGAAAGTTTGTCCCCGGGAAGAGTCGCTACGCCTCTGAGGGGTGTCACCATTAAGTGCCGCACCGGGTGACACCCGACCTCGCTACGCCACTGATGGAAACTAAACAAGAAAGGAGAGAGCCGACTCAGAGGATTTGAAAGAAGATCCCTCCAACGCATCCTCAGAAAAAAGTGGGACGACAAAGTCCCGAACAAGAAATATGTCAAAGGACAGGATTAAACGACATTGTTTCAGAAGTTCGAATGAGGAGATGGAGATGGCTGGGCTATGTCCTACGCGTGAGCAAAAGAAGACTCCCCAACATGGCGCTGAAGTGGACTCCGCCTGAAAAGCGAAAGAGAGGAAGACCACTGGGAACATGGAGGAGAGAGATGGAAGAAGAAGTGCAGGCTACTGGCAAGACTTTGCATGAACTAAAGTGGCTCGCCCAAGACAGAGTGGAATGGCGGACATTTGTTGTTGCCCTATACTCCACAGGGAGTGATGAGTATTAAGTAGTAAGTTAAGTAAATAGATCTAAATAGTAGGCTACACATTAAATATTCCAAATTTTAGATTTTTCTCAATTATCGACAAAATATATTTAAAAAACTAAACCAAAAATTAAAAAAGAATTCAAAGGCCGTGTGATTTCCTAACGTTTTTGTGTGTGTTTCGGTTGTGTTTATAATAAAATACGCCCAACTGGAGGTGAACGTGAAGCGGGGAATAAAATATCAGTGTTTCTTCCAGACTTTTTCCTCCGGGGGGGGGGGGGGCACTTGAAATTTCGGGGGGGGGGGGGGCGGACACTTTTAAAAGTATATATTTTCTATATAAATTATATAAATTTAATTTCGTTCGGGGGGGGGGGGGGGGAGCCCGCCGAAGAGATGCCTGGAAGAAACTTTGTAAAATATGCTACCCCCCTCGCCCGTCACGAAAATGAATGTCTACCTGCCCCCCCCCCCCCCCCGGAGAGTCACATCATTTACACACGACCACTTTAGGAATGACCCATTCTCCACATTTCTCAACCTTTTACTCTCATAGACATAGCACACCTGCACCAATGCTAGGAAGTCACTTCTTTGAAACTTGACTTCATTCCTGGACGACCTGTAAGTCACGATGTGACTATAACTTATAGCATAAGATTCTATTGAGCATTCTTGTTTAGGTAAGCAAAAACTAAACAAAATTCTCCATATATCGCTGAAGATTCTTATGTAATACCCATCGAAAATATTTTGCGGACAGAGAGAGAGAGAGAGAGAAGTGCGCACATAATCTTTTATATATTAGGATATATATATATATATATATATATATATATATATATATATATATATATATATATATATATATATATATATTTATATATATATATATATATATATATATATATATATATATATATATATATATATATATATATATATATATATATATATATATATATATATATATATATATATATATATTGCTCAAAACTAGACTATTTATATTGGTAATAAAAATAACAAAATGTGTAAATGAATAAATACAAGTCTAGGCCAATCTGGCAGCCAACTGTATCGTATTTAGGTAGGCCTACTAATAGTAGTACTATCGTGATTTTTACTCTAGTTTTTGAGTTTTTTATCTGGCAGTAGATCTAACCTCTTGGCACGGGAAATTTAAATCCTAGAACTAGAACTAGATTTCTAGTTCTAGAATCTAGAATTCTAGTTCTAGACATAGAATCTAGATCTAGATTCCTACTATATCTAGATCTACTACTAGAGCTAGATCTAGCTAGGGTAAAACTCCATTTTAGCGTATTTTATTCCCCGCTTCACGTTCACCTCCAGTTGAGCGTATTTTTTTATACAACCAAAACACACACAAACGTTAGATTATTATATATATTAATATATATAATCAATTATATTATAATATTATAATTGATTATAATCTAAAGTTTATAATCCTTATAAATTATAAGACATTAGTGTTAGTAAAAATAATTAAATCACTTGGCCTACCTATTTCTTTATGAATTTTTGGTTTAGTCTTTTAAATTGATTTTGTCAAAACTTGAGAAAGATTCAAAATTTGTAATGTTGAATGTGTACTAATTAAGTAATTAATCTAGGATCCAGATGTAGATTAAAATTTTTTTTCTTCTTGAAAATATGTTCGTGTCAGTTAAGATTTTCATGGCGATGGGTGAAGTAGAAATGCATAATTGCTAGGCATGATACTAGATCTATAATTTACTTACATGAACTCATAATGACCCTAAGCTATGACGTATGCTGATAATTATAATTAAAGTCAATGTTAACTCATGGTGAACCCTTGACCATGTAGGGATTTTTTCCCCGCCAACCTCACACGCAATTTAATACAACTTCTACTATAAACTATAATAAGCTAATGTTATCATTGTTTCATTCATACATTTTTTTTATTAGCATGGTCTCAGTTAAAGAAAAGATGCTGTTGGATATGGATGAATCTTGGATATTAAATGACATAAAATTTCATTACTATGAGTCACAGCAGTTTAAACATCCTGAATTTGAGCGGACAGGCAAAGTTTTACAATGTAAAGTATGTACAATCTTTGATAAGGTCCCAGAGTTTTCCCTTATGGTCAAATGCTAGAAGGGTCAGTTACTGAGAGACAGTTGTTTTAAAGAACTGTAGAAATTCCAATTTACTTGGTACAATTTATTTAAATAAATTGAATGAAAGTTTTTGAGCAGTTGGTTCTTTGGACAATGACCCTCATGGTATTTGCTCTTTGGCAAAAGGCTTTTGGGCAATGCACCAGGCCCCTCCAGTATAGTGTGCACCAGGACTGGGAGTCTTCTCAACTTAATTTTTTACAAACATATTTTACCTTGACACTGGTGGTACATTAGTTTCTAATTAGGTTGTCCTGTTGTTTTTCTGTGGATTACATAGCATTGATGTTGGGGTGGAGTAATTTGGTTTTGGTTGGGGCACCAAAGTAGCAAACTGATGTCATTAGGGTTTTCAGCAATCTACTTTCCCAGCAATCTCCATGAAACACACAATTTTTGAAAGTTTTGTTAAATATAGCATGTTTATCTAAGTCATTATTATAAGTGATAATTATATCACTTTAAATTTTTTTTTATATACATGTACAATGTATTCCTCACAACATACCAGTTATATGGTTATTTCTGCTAATTTTATATTGCTTGTTCCATTATTTTACCCACAGAATGTAACATATTTGACTGATGGTGTCTATAAAATAAATGTAAAATTTTTAGACCCAATTACTAGAAACAGCCAAGGGTAAGTTGCCAATTATTTTCAGATTTTTGTAATGAGTTCAGTTTTGTTAAGTTTGATTTTCTAATTTTATAAGTGTAATTTTTCTTCCCTTTCACTCCATGGCACTTTAGGTACATGTCTCCGTAATCTTTGCTATCAGGATGTGACTTTTTATGAACCTGTATACACATGTGTATATTGACTTAGTCTTCAGTTTATCAGCTGTTTTTTTAATACCAATATATATATTTTTAATGCTTATTTTGAGTTTTTATTTCTGTTATAAAAAGAAATCCCATATTTTTTTAGGGCTAAAATGATAATCTAACAGAATTACAATTGACACTCAAAATCAACTTATATTCACTAATGTGAATAATTTTGTTATGAATAATTTTTTTCAATATTGTCTGTTATTGAATATGAAAAGTAGAATTTATTTCAAGGTAGGTGAAAACAATAAAAAAAGAAATCTAGAACTATGACAATCGGTTGTTAAGTTCTAGTTCAGATACAATTGTTTCAATATATTAAAAAAGTAATTCACAGTTGAATGGATAGGTCATATGGTTGTCACCAAGGTTATAATTAGTTTTGAGGAATAATCAAATTTATGATCAGATTCATGACCCGAATTTCTGTTTTCATTAACAGTTCATTGCAGTAAAAGTACTATTTTTTATAAATATAAATCCTGTAAATCATCTATTATGCTGTTTTTTTTTCTAACATTTTTATACATTTGTGCATTTTGTTTGCAGGATCAATATAGTTTCTTCTATAACCCTTAAGTTCGTTGATGTTTTAATATCTGGATGTTCAAATGTTGGCGTCATAAATGGATTTACAGCTTCATTAATAATTGCCTTTATTCAATTTATTTTATCAGATGCCCACAAGCTACATACATCAAAATCCTGAATCACTGCTACTGTATACAAAATCAAGTATGCTTTACATTTTCCTTTTTCCATGTGTAAAAAATATGAACATTTTACTTTTTTTTTTACAAGGTTTAAGTTAGAAATGTTAACTTTATACAACACATGAGCAGATGCTTTTTGTTTTCTTATATTTTTTTACAGGACGAGAAATCAAGAATTTGTATTCAGATAGAGGAATGGGAGGAATGTGAATTGAAATCTTTTTACTTTAGTAAAGAACCTTTGGATATGTAAGTTTTGAAAAGAAACATTTTCCACAATTAAAAAATACAAAAATACAGTACCTTAAGAGGTTTGCCTAAATATATATTGTTGATTGTTTTTAATTTTATTCAATACAATTCTACAGAAATTCCCTAGATTTTGTCAAGCAATGCTGCCAAGCATATTTATGTAGTATCACGTAAGTTATTTAAAACATTGATGATATTACAAGATTATTTAAAATGCTTTAGTCTTTAGACATGTACATATGCATCTTTAAAATTTGAATTATTTTCTTATATTCCGTTAAAAATCCTAGAAAGTTCGTACTACATAGACATAAGTTAAAATTGAATGCCAAATTAAAAAGAAAATAGACTGCAGGCTTTAAAATATATTTCAGTGAAGAAAATGACAGGTGGGATGTTGTAGACAGCCAAAGCAGTTTCAATCTTCATGAATTCCTTGACAATTCACAAAGTTCGCAAGATTTAATTGTCGAAAAACGGAAGACTCAGGGAATTACAACCCCAACACCCACAGCTGGTATGCTGTGATATTCCCAAAAACTCAGTCTCAATAAGAAATTTGTATATTCTTTAATTTATGTATTGAAAAGCTTGTTATTATAAGATTTGTATACATTTTTAATTATATTATGCAGATCACACATTGTTTTTACTTTTAGATCAGAAGTCAAAGAAAAAAACATCTGACTATAGTTACCTGTTTGAGCCTGAATTAAAAAACGTACAATTTCCACAAGGTCAGTAATTTATTTATTTGATAAAGCTGAGTTGCAATTAGGAATTTTTTATCATCAACAAAATTTTTTACAGAAACTAATATTTTACTAAATAATAAATTGAACTTGAACTTCTTACATTGCACTAATTAGCTTTCTAGAGATGTATTAAACTTCAACAGGGCACATCTACAAAATTTTCTGCTTGGGGCCCTATTGAATGGGTTGGCAATGTTAATTAACACTTAATGTTGTGGCCACACTCCACTTCTATTTAAGCACCCCTGCCCTTTTGTCTAGCTTGACTTGAGCACCAAATGCGTCAATCATTTTTTATGCTCCATATATATATATATGTATATATATATATATATATATATATATATATATATATATGTATATATATATATATATATATATATATATATATATATATATATATATATATATATATATATATATATATATATATATATATTGAATATATATTAGTATTCAAAGTAAAAAAGACAACTAGAAAAAATAAAATTTGATATTTTGTTGAACTTTATAAGCTGCTTAATTAGGAATTCAATATATGAAGTATTCAACACTAAAGCAAAAGGACTGTTACTATATCTGCGCACCTCTGATGGTCTTGCCTTTACATCGCTTCTCATCAACTGGGTGTTTTCGATTTTAAAGACCTCACCTACCTAATGGCCCATCCTATGATTGCTTGTAATTGTTGGCCTTGAAAAATCAAACTAAGGACTTTTTTGTGCCCTGATGCTTAACTATAAACTTAAAAAGTATCTGCTGGTCCAGGGCCCTAACAGGACCTAATGTAGGGACATCATATAGAACACACTCGACATTATTGTCGTCATTTTTATAATGCAATCAAGTTGCTTTCATATTTAGATCAGAGAAAAAAGAAAAAGCTGTCCGACTATAGTTTTCTGTATGTGCCTGAAGTTATAAAGAGTCATTTCCCTCCAGGTTAGAATTTTATCATTCAAAACTTAAAAGTTTTGTAAAATTTTAGGTATATTTTTGCTGGTTCTTATTTTCATAGTATTAGTTTTGCTGCAATGTTAGGCTGAAGTTATTGAATGGATCTGACGATAATTAAGTTAATGTACTGTATCTTGTTCAAAATAAATTGTCCCAAAATTAAATATAATTTAACAAATTCATAGCCAAATAGAAGTATATCTAATTTAATTTGATGATCTCTAGTACTTAATCTTATCTCCCCTATTGAATTTAGCAATCTTTAAATAATTTAATATCTATTAAGACTACAAAAAATATTTCTTAAAAGTTTAGAAAAAAATGGTTGCATTAGTGGGGTGAAATTGAGGTATAAGTTTTGCCTCTAACCCACAGACAGACAGACTTTAAAACTAAATAAAACCTTATTAGAAAGACCTTATATTATTTATCACTTTTCCAACCATTATGTTGTTTGTTATAAATTTCCACCAATTGTTTTATTTAAGTTACTTGAAAGCAGAGATCCATATGTTTTCTTATATTATAATGTCTTATTATATGTAATGTAAACATACATGTGTACTACAATACTGCTACTACTCTATAAAATCTAGTACATTTTATTTTAAAAATACTAATCTTTGCAGTTTGGCAACCAAATTTTGAACCATCCCCATTATCCAACTCAGCTGAGAGCTTAGGATATTGTGCACTTGCAGAAAATAATTTAGAATATTGTCGACAAACATTAAAAAAAACAGGCTCTGCTGATAGCATTTTATTGGGAACAAGATCTGCACAGAGTGCTCGTCGTTCTTGTTTGGGTGGTAGGAAAAGTTATTTTTATCGATATAACCACCATATAATAGAATCATAAACAGCCCTAGTTAAAAATAAGAGAAACAAAAACCTCAAAAACAAGCACACATTATACAGTAAAAATTGTAGTAAAATAAGAGACTAAATGAAAACATTAATTTATTAAATCAAAACATCCACTAATACTTTCACTCAACCTACAATAATGGCATTTATTGGTGTAAAGTGCTGCAGTAAGCTCTAATTAAAAATGCCACATTTGTCCTCTCATTTATATTGGCTCAAATCACTATTATAGAAAAACTTGGTTATGAGTTATCTGTTCTAGCTAGGGCCTTAGAGATCTGACACACCAAGACATTTTTAGCTTGAACATAAGGTAGAGAAATGGGTAGGGCTTCTCATATAGTTTGATATGTTTCAGACTGGTCACTAAAGCATGACAGACACCTGAAAGACACAAAAACCTATGATATTAATTAGCTGTAACAATTCTTTTTCAACAGATAAAAACAGCCATCATAAAAACATAGATTCTGCAGCCAATATCAGACTTCATAAAGACACAAGCTCCTCAGCCAATATCAGACTTCATAAAGACACAAGCTCCTCAGCCAATATCAGACTTCATAAAGACACAAGCTCCTCAGCCAATATCAGACTTCATAAAGACACAAGCTCCTCAGCCAATATCAGACTTCATAAAGACACAAGCTCCTCTGCCAATATCAGACTTCATAAAGACACAAGCTCCTCAGACAATATCAGACTTCATAAAGGCACAAGCAACATAGACAACCTTCTTAATAAAGACACAAATGCAGTAGAAAGGTTTCATAAAGACACAGGTCACATTGTTGACTGTCTTAAAGACACAGGTCAAATAGAAGGCTCTCATAAGAAATTAGGTCCTGTAGAAAGCTCTCCTAAAGAAGCAGGTCGTATAGACGACTCTAATAAAGACTCTGATTTGACTGAGGTAAAGATGACTTCAGAAGAAAGTTCTGGTCTGACAAATGTAATAGGGGGCTCAGATAGTTTGTTCTCTGACTCTGATGCTTTGCTAAGTAGCAATTCTTCTTGCGGGGAAGCCTCTATTGAATCATTTGTTCAGCTCTGTACAGAAAGCAACACATCCGCTACAACTTCACCCCCATCTTACACGCGTATAAGAGGCAATGAGCAGCCTATGCCCAGAGAGAGTATGAGGCAAAGTGCACCATCCTCTGGTAGGAAATCTACCAGTATAGTGGTGGTCCCACAGAGGGATTCAAATGTCCAGATTATTCAAACTTTAGCTAGTACAGATCTTTTGCCCCCTTTTAGGAAATGTTCAAGAACTCCAGTAAGAAGACAATCACCACCACCGAGTCAACATGTAAAAAGCTCAAAAGAACCCAGCATACAACCAAAGCCTGTACCTGAAAACTGTGCACAAACCCTAGAGGCGAGTCTTGGGTTTATTCCATCAAGTCAAGCAGTGGATCCACCAGACAGTGAGACATATGATGCCATCACACACAGCTCTTTGGTGAATTCTCCAAGAGACATTCAGTACCAGCAGTTAAAAATCAAAGCTCTGCTTGATTTTGTTTGTTTTGGTGATAAAAAAGGATTCCTTAAGTGAAGTAGTAAATGTTTTTAGCAAGTTAAAACTGAACTGACTAGAGCTGATTATTAAATAGGCAGGTAGCATACAAAATTTGGTTGACAGATTTTTAATACAAGTTAAAATTTGATTGGGTGATTCTTTATCCATATGGCTATTATTTATTAGGTGTTGCTTGGAAAAAGTACACTTTTACCTATTGACAGTAATATATTTTTGAATCTTATATACAGACTTCACAAATAGATCTGTAAAGCAGTTCTGATTTTTTAAACCGTAATTAAAATAACATTTCTTGTACACATTGTATTACTATAATTGAACAAAAACAAATCTTAAGGTTTGAGTAATCATTTTATATTAATGCACTGAGATGTCTGTGATGTAAACTTTGTTAAGCACATAAACATTCTTAAAGTTGGTAATGAAAGTTTTATTTGCTAGTCTAAAAATTAATATATATGGAAGTTTTAAGTACATGTTTTTAAGTTCCAAATTTTTTGTCTTTCATCTTAAAATTGAAAGAACATGTAAATGTTCTGTTTCATTTATTTTTAGGGGAGTGGGGGGGGGGGGGGGGGGTGTACCATGCATTGTTTAATGCTACTAATTGCAAATTTCCCATTACGCATCAATTAATTTGGTCTATTTTGTAATTTCTGTTTTGATGCTATAGTTTTCTAGTTTCAAATGTAATTTACAAAAGTGAATACAAAATTTAAAAATTGAAATAAAATAAAACAAGTAACATTTTAAAAAAACTATGTTTTTAGGAAGTGTTAATTTTAAAATGTGGCCAGCTGTAAAGGCAGGTTTTTTAGATGGAAAGTTAATGATAATAAGATCAGTGTTCCTGCACCTAATTACCAATCAACTGTGTCTACTTCAAATAGGGCTTAAGATTAGGCATTTATAAATTTGTGGGCATTATGAGACACCATCCCTACTTTTTATAGATTTTAATGTGTTCAATTTTTGCAATGTTTTTGTGGGTTAATTTAAAGGGTTAAATAATTTGCCATTTCTTCTTATTTAACAAATTTTGTTAAAGTAAGGTTACTTCTTTTTCTATTGGAAAACTATTCATGTATATTTATAGCCCTCTCAATTTGAAATTATTTTTCAGCTGAGGCTGAAGGAATATTAAATTTTATTTTTTCAAATTTTATTTTACATGGGTTTTATCTGTAACATTTTTCAACAAAGCTTTTGCTGTTGCAAGAACTCACTGGGCAGTGCTATCGTCTTAGTATTCTTTGACATTTTTTTCAGTGTCAAAAAACAATTAGCTGTATTATTTTTAGTTATTTTTATTGTTGGTGGGAATTCAAGGTTTGATTTAATCAAATGAAAATGTTTTTCTCTATTTGAAAAGCTAATAAAATCTACATAAGATACTAAAAATGCTTTGATGTTAAATTTTGGTTTTTACCAGTAAAAATATATTACACTGAAACTTTTATGCCTAAACTTTCTCTAATTTTCTTATACTTATATAACACTGCGGGGGATGGCTACTCGGGATATAGACATGATTTTTAATCCATTTTTAATTACTTTTTAAAATAGAATAGAATCTTGTAGAAAAAGAATTGCGCACCAAGTGAATGGCAAACAATACGTGTTTAATAGTACGGAATATTATTAGTACTTTATAAATTCATATGCTTTTTTTGAAAAATCGGAAATAGCGTAAATTACTATTTCCAGTCAACGGAAATTACTGAGTTTGACAGAAGGCAGAAAATTAGATCTTTTACCAATATGTGAAATTTCGTGTATTTATCTGAAACAGTACTCAAGTTATAGGCTATTGAAAAACTAAAAGTAGAATAAGTTCCACTTCCGGTTATCGGAAATCGCTGAAAAGTTTATACAGAACACATTTGATATAATACTTTATATGAAATTTCATCAACCTAGCTGTAACAATTTACAATACTCAAGTTATCGTGTTGACAGACATACACACACATTCACAAACGAACACAATAGCAGAACTGTGTTTTTCCGATTCAAGAACGCGTAAAACGTCGCGATTTGTGAAAATCTTGATTTTGATTTTTTGCACAATAACAATACTTCTATACGTCGTATACGAGAAAGTAAAAATGACAGTATTTATGCTAATAAGAATGATACATGCAAGAGTAGCTATGATAGTAAACAGATGTGGGCACTAGGTGTTCAGACACCCAGTACAGCAATGATGTGTTGTCAGAGTTACAGCTTGGTCACGTGATTACATGTGAGAACTTTTTTTTGTATTCGAAAATCTTTGTTGTAAACAACCATGGTATCACTTTAATTTTATATTTGCTTTTTTTGCAAAACCATTTTAGCTCAGCCTAAAAATGAGAAGTAATATATACCTGCCGTACAGTACTTCTTCTCTTTTGTTACATTTAATAACTTCAGAGTAAGATATTTGTCAGTACAAAATGGTGTGCCCGTATTTTTAAGTAACAGTCACTGTTGGTATGTTTAATACTTCTTTTATTTCTGTCTTATGGTATAATTCACAAATTATTTGGCATATACTCTAATGGTAAGACCTCTAGGCCGGGTCCTCTACTTATGATGACATTAAAGGTGACATTTTAGCCTCCACCCCTCCCAGTTCGCTTCTTTAATCTAGTTGCTTGCAGTTTTAAAATACACATTTTCATTAAGTGACAAGAACAAGAGACATTTTTAAATATATGTTAACTGCACCACTCAGCTAACTCCTTTCACTCTGACATTATCAGGACACGTAATTCTGACATTACTAGGACACGTAACTCTGACATTATCAGGACACGTAACTCTGACTTTATCAGGACACGTAACTCTGACATTATCAGGACACGTAACTCTGACTTTATCAGGACACGTAACTCTGACTTTATCAGGACACGTAACTCTGACATTATCAGGACACGTAACTCTGACTTTATCAGGACACGTAACTCTGACTTTATCAGGACACGTAACTCTGACATTATCAGGACACGTAATTCTGACATTACTAGGACACGTAGCTCTGACATTATCAGGACACGTAACTCCGACATTACTAGGACACGTAACTCTTACTATATATTTCTTTATAAGGACACGTATCTCTGACATTATCAGGAAATGTAACTCTGACATTATTAAGACACGTACTGACATTACCAGGAAATGTAACTCTGACATTATTAAGACACGTACTGACATTACCAGGAAATGTAACTCTGACATTATTAAGACACGTACTGATATTACCAGGACACGTAACTCAGGACAAGTAGCTCTTACGCCCTGTTTGGCTACATCTATAAACTATTATTTATTTGAATTTTGCAAATCTAAGTAAACAGACAGATTTACTGTGTTGTTGCAAGTCCTAAACTGAAAATATGATATACCACGAAATCAGCGATTAGCAAAAAAAAAACAAAACAAAACAAAACAAAAAAAAAACAAAAAAGAACAAACAAGCAACAACAATAACAATTGATGCTTACTTTTCAATGTTGAGGTTACATGAATTATATGAATAATGGTTTGTATGTTATCTTTTTAGCATTCTCAATGTGTTAAAATCAATAATGTTTACTTAAGTTACAAAATGATTTTTTTGTACCATTGTAAAAAAAAAACATAAAAAATAAAATAAAATGCATTTTCTTTCACAATTTTTTATATTCAGTGATTATTTTTTAAAATAAAGACAATAAAAATAATCATACACAAAAACAGATAATATTGAGGCTGATGATATTCTGTGTAAAGCTGATGCAATTGTCTTTGTGAAGTTGATGATATTGTCTGTGTGAAGCTGATTGTCTGTGTGAAGTTGATGTTATTGTCTGTGTGAAGTTGATGATATTGTCTGTGTGAAGTTGATGATATTGTCTGTGTGAAGTTGATGTTATTGTCTGTGTGAAGCTGATGATATTGTCTGCATGAAGCTGATGTTATTGTCTGTGTGAAGTTGATGATAGTGTCTGTGTGAAGTTGATGATAGTGTCTGTGTGAAGCTGATGATATTATCTGCATGAAGCTGATGTTATTGTCTGTGTGAAGTTGATGATAGTGTCTGTGTGAAGTTGATGATAGTGTCTGTGTGAAGCTGATGATATTATCTGCATGAAGCTGATGTTATTGTCTGTGTGAAGTTGATTGTCTGTGTGAAGTTGATGTTATTGTTTGTGTGAAGTTGATGATATTGTCTGCATGAAGCTGATGCAATTGTCTTTGTGAAGCTGATTGTCTGTGTGAAGTTGATTAAATTGTCACCATGAAGCTGATGATATTATCTGTGTGAAGTTGATGTTATTGTCTGTGTGAAGTTGATGATAGTGTCTGTGTGAAGTTGATGATATTGTCTGTATGAAGTTGATGATATTGTCTGTATGAAGTTGATGATATTGTCTGTGTGAAGCTGATGATATTGTCTGCATGAAGCTGATGTTATTGTCTGTGTGAAGTTGATGATAGTGTCTGTGTGAAGTTGATGATAGTGTCTGTGTGAAGCTGATGATATTATCTGCATGAAGCTGATGTTATTGTCTGTGTGAAGTTGATGATAGTGTCTGTGTGAAGTTGATGATAGTGTCTGTGTGAAGCTGATGATATTATCTGCATGAAGCTGATGTTATTGTCTGTGTGAAGTTGATTGTCTGTGTGAAGTTGATGTTATTGTTTGTGTGAAGTTGATGGTATTGTCTGCATGAAGCTGATGCAATTGTCTTTGTGAAGCTGATTTTCTGTGTGAAGTTGATTAAATTGTCACCATGAAGCTGATGATATTATCTGTGTGAAGTTGATGTTATTGTCTGTGTGAAGCTGATGATATTGTCTGCATGAAGCTGATGATATTGTCTGTGTGAAGTTGATGATATTGTCTGTGTGAAGTTGATTGTCTGTGTGAAGTTGATGATATTGTCTGTGTGAAGCTGATGTTATTGTCCGTGTGAAGCTGATTGTCTGTGTGAGGCTATTGATGTTATTGATTGTAAGTTTTGTAATCAAACCACTATGTAAATACAACAGAAGTATTCATTAAGGTCGTCGATGTCTCACACATATTTCAGTCCACTAATGAGCGAACACGTTGCACATAATTTTCCGTATAGCTCTGCGCAGCTCCGCCTTCCGTAGTGGGTACACAGCAAAGTTCCAGAGAGAGTTGGAGGCTCCCACAATCCATGCCGTGTAGAACCATTTCTTGTCTATCTGTGATGGATTAGAAGCACATGACTAATGATAAGTTTTTGTTTTAAAAAAAAAACAAACTTTTTCACTGCAACAGTGACGGCTTGAATTATACAATTCTTTCTTGCTAAATATACAAACCATATATATATATATATATATATATATATATATATATATATATATATATATATATATATATATATATATATATATATATATATATATATATATATATATATATCTTTAATATATGATAACCCTTATTATTGTTCTCTATTGATAATTAAAATGAATGAATCGAAGGTCTGAACTTCAAATAAGACTGACTTACATCTACCATCAAGAGATGGAAGGCAAACTTGCAGGCCATGATGGGACTCCAGCAGATGAAGTAGATGACGAACATCAGCATCAACGTCTTGATGGTCCGCAGGTCACGGAGATGTTGACATTTCAAAAAACGGACTTTTCTAGTTTTGCGCTTCTTAAGTTTGGCTGGATGTGCCTGGATATCAGCCTCAGGAGCTACATTCATCCTGTCTATGTTGTCATCCTGGTCTAGAGTAGTCCTGTCTATGTTGTCATCCTGGTTTACAGTCGTCCTGTCTATGTTGTCACCCTGGTCTAGAGTCGTCCTGTCTATGTTGTCATCCTGGTCTAGAGTCGACCTGTCTATGTTGTCATGATGGTCTACATTGGCCCTGTCTATGTTGTCATCCTGGTCTACATTTGCCCTGTCCTCTGGCGAGGGGACGTGGAAACTGACAAATGTTGACTCTCTCGATATGGAGGCGTTGTCTCGTTTTAATCGTCGTCTGTAGAGGCCGCAGGACTGGACTTTGATCCAACTCCACAAGGTAGCTTTAGCAGCAGACGTACAGTCTTCCCGCTCATCTTTCGTGACCTTTGTCTGGTCAGGAGAGTCCAAACTCAATGAAAATTTAACGCTCTGGTCTATTCCATTCAGTGTCGTGAGGGGTGCAGGTCTCGTTTCACACTTTGCCATCAGACTTGTTCTAGAATCTTCTGTATCAAACGTTTCACTCCGCGTGTAACTTAGCGACGACGGCAACGACACCTGCTGGAAATGACACTCTCCCAGACGAGATTTGATCCGGCAGGCTTGTTTCTTGCAGTCGTGCGTGCGACAGTGGGCCCGCGCGTGAGTCTCCAGCACGTGATTGTGTTGTCTAATTATAAAAAATAATTTTCCGTACAGACAAACGGAGATAACTCCTGTCGTTAGAAACAGGGAGACAATTAAAATACCCTGCAAGCACAGGGCTTTAGTTGCTGGGTGTATACAGGCATCCGTCTGTGAAGGCAAACAGATATATGTCAGCTAGTTGATGTGGTTAATATGTTAATTAATATAACAAGAAGATGTTTATCTGTTTTGAAACTTTAAAATCAAAAATTTTTTTAATGTAAAGAAACACAATAGGGCTCCGAATCCTGATAGACCATTGGAAATCCAAGCACACAGCCTGATCCCTAAGTTGAGAAGAGCCAGATGTTGCCCATGTATCATGCCCCCTATCTCCACACAACTGATGGATCCAAGGGTAAAATAAAATTTAACAAAACTTATACTCTATATGGTTTCACATGGTAGCATTTCGCTCTCTAAATCTATTGATTTTATCCTTCTCATTTTCGTATTCATCTTAAAATGTATACAACACTTTAAGAACGTACCTTAGTCAGATCTCCTAAGAGAGGAATTAATCCGTTTACAAGGGAGACGATCCATATTACTGCAACTGTCTTGAGTACTCTCCCTTGCGTGACAATGATGTTGTAAGTGATAGCTTTGTGAATAAACAGAAATCTGTCCACGGCGATGGCGAAGCTGGACAGTAGAGACGCCATCACCATGGTACCAAATGCCACAATGGAAATGACGCAAGCAGTCTGCGGATACAATAATTGTGTCACATCGTGAGTACCACATAATGTTTCCTCACACCACACTTTGTTTAAATACATTTTTTTCCCGCACGTAGTACATATTTTCTGAATCACTTACACTATATTTTGTCTCATACTAATATCACATAACACAATTTATCTAAATCAATTAAGGCATAGATTTTGTCCTATTTTGACGATTTGCCTTCAAAACAGCTTTCTATTTTATTTGTTTCATTTGTTTAAAAAATCGAATATAAAATTAATGACAATACTATTCATTAGTAAAAGTATATTAAGCATTTTTATGCGTATCCTACTTCCTATTCCATCATATTTATCGAAACTGCAACCCATTGTTTGTGTTTATTAAAGGATTAATCTGAGGATTGTTTCGTCCTCTTCTGGAATTTAGACTGACCTGATTATCTCTCACGTCCAACAGTGCAAACACGTTGAAGGCTATGACCAGCACCATGAGCAGCATGTCGACCAACCCCAGGTTGAGCAGGAAGAGGTTGGAGTGGTTGTGTCTCAGACTTGGAGTTTTTAAAATGGCCAGGCATGTGATGGGACTTAGGATGAAGACACACGTGGCTATCAGCACGGCTGCTACCAGCAGGATCACCGGACCAGACTCCATGTATGGGCTCTACTGAGATACATGGAGCAAGAGCTTCATGCAACAAGCCGAGACAAAGAACACATTGCATTCTTTTTATCTTCTTGCAAAATGTGAATGTGAAACACCACATTCATTTGGTCTACACACAAATGTGAAACACCACATTCATTTGGTCTACACACAAATTTGAATGTTAAACACCACATTCATTTGGTCTACACACAAATGTGAATGTTAAACACCACATTCATTTGGTCTACACACAAATGTGAATGTGAACTATGTTGCACTGGATTCTTGGACTATACCCCCCCCCCCCCCCCCACAATCAATTATCCCTTGTCCATTACCCCTGGGTAATTTTCCGTCCACCGCTTATTATACATTATATCATACCTATCTAAATCCATCTCCATATCAGATCCAAATCTATATTACTTTACTACCCTTATTGATACCACTAATCCTGATCCTAAACCCATTCTTTACTTATCCATATCCGTATCTGTCTCTAAATTGATCGCGGCTAATATCCAGTTTCTGGTCGGCGGTGGGATGGGTGTGGGTGAGGGGGTGGGTGGGCAATGTCCAGTGGGTGTGGTAAAGTCCTGACCCAGATACAGCGCCAACAAAACTCTCAAATGTTATCTTTTTAAAATTTCAAGAGCAACCCAGGCTTTTCTATATACAATGCCGACAATGCCGGGTATATACTGATTACTAAACACACATGTCATGGTCCTTTACAGATAGGTTTTTACAGAGACCAGTGCAGGGCCTGGTCGGGACGGCAAGTATACATTATTAGTCAAACAACACCATATTAAATGCGCACACTGATTAAGAGACTTAAATGATTCCGTTAAAAACCCGGCTGTTCAATGGTATTTATGTTGTTTTTTTAAAAATTGTATTACTTTTGGCCGAGAAAATTGACTACATTTCATAGCGTACGTCTTAATAAGATCGATATATCTAAATCAAATTTGAATGAAATAGTTCATTTCTTTATATTCTAAAATTAGAAGATGACGCCATTAGTGTTGCGTACTTTCATTGGTTAAACGTGTGACATGTGACAAACACTTTTCGTGTTGGGTAATTAAAAATGTGCTTCTACATTGGAATATGCATTTATTTTTATTTTTCTTCTTTAAATAAAATTTAGTTTATACATATAATATATCAAACATATTATTTTCAACAAAAGCCCGTATGTTTAAGTTCTCGTTATATCGCTGAAGATACTAATCTACTAGCCTCAGTAAATGTTGCGGACATTATATATTAGTATGTAACTAAATAAATAGCTACGGATAAATATATTTAAAGCAAATCATTATACTTTTAATTTTTAATGCACACAAAAACTTGATACTATAAAATATATTTCTTTAAAAACATTTGTATTGTATTAAGAAAATCCCACGACTAAAAAGCATCAACTGAATAGACTTAATGGGTTTCAAAGCGCCATGTCAGAGACACTTTTTTTCCCTGGGGGGGGGGGGGGGGGGGAGGGGGGGGGGGATAAGGTGTAGATTTTTTGGAGGGGAGTGGGTTGAAACTAGCTAGATGCACTTACAATTTCCAGAAGGGGGCGGACATTGGTTAAAGTAAATATTTTCTGTATATATTACCTACATAGAAATGTGTTCTATGTATGAATTGTAATAATGTCAAATTGAATGACACAGTAGTGACACAGGAGGTAAACACAGTGGAACCTCTTCATCAGATAATAGTAGGATAGTATAACCTGGATTATTTTTTAATACCTTTAGCTTTATCAAACCAGTTTATTTTGACAAATTCATTTTTGTTAATTTAACATTAGTAACTCCACCAGTATGACCATTCTGCTTTTAGTTTTATACAAATATTAATGATTACAGTCTATTGAGAAGACACCACATAAATAAGAGTTTAAAGAAAACCCCAAAAATAAAAAGAAAGAAATAGACGTGTATGTAATGCAAACAAGTTGTGTCAATAGCGACTATAGAAAACAAACCTGAAGTTGAACACGCGCGAACTTGACCGTGTGCCTGCAACACTTCCGTCCTCTCAGGACTGTCCCAGACTGTAGCAGTGTAGCATGAGCTATGCTTGACTTGATGAGAGACTGCATTAGCGAGTGTTTGGGTTTAAAATCATGTCCTGCCTTCACCATTCGTTCAATAAGAGACAGCCAACATTAGCCACTGTTTGGATGTGGAATGGTGGCCTTCATTGTGCTATTGATCACCACTAGTCCATTAGTTGCACTCAATAATGCTCTGATCGTCACTTAATTAATTTGATGACGTAAGAGATTGTTATAGCCTATTGGTTGTGTTTGTCATCACATTATCTCCATATCTAGTTCCATAGCAACACAATTAGTGGATTTAAAATTTATAGTTGATAAGCATGACGTGGTTACAATCATGAGGTGTAGGCTGTACAATCGTGATCAGGCTGGTTCTACAATCATGACGTGTGGTTCTACAATCATGACGTGTGGTCTCTACAATAATGACGTGTGACTTCACAATCATGACGTGTATAGTTTTTTTTTCCAGACATCTTTATCCGGAAGGGGATTGGGGCACTTGAACTTTCGGGGAGGGGGGGGGGGAAGTTGCGGGGGCGCAGTTAAATTTTTTGGACGTGTTACTGTGGCAGCTACAAGCATTGGACTTAACATACAATCACAAGTCCAATACATACAATCACAAGTCCAATACATACAATCACAAGTCCAATACATACAATCACAAGTCCAATTCATACAATCACAAGTCCAATACATACAATCACAAGTCCAATACATACAATCACAAGTCCAATACATACAATCACAAGTCCAATACATACAATCACAAGTCCAATACATACAATCACAAGTCCAATACATACAATCACAAGTCCATATGATTCCACACATTTACAAACAACTACACACATAACTGGGAAGGGGAGACCCACCCATCTAACAGGTGTGACAACACGATGGACTGGTCCAATAGAAACAAGTCAGTAGCTAGTTCCCTTGATAAAACCCTGAAGTTGGCAGGTATTTGTTAAAGGTAACCCAAGGATTTCCTGCCAGTTTCATCCTTGTTCTTTGTACTTGCAGCAAGTCATGTAGACGTCAGCATTCGTTTTGGGATGTAACAAGGATGTGTAGAGTTTAGTGGAGATGTCAGATGTCTAGACAGGTTGTTGTGATGTCTAGAGAGGTTGTTGTGATGTCTAGACAGGTTGCTATAATGTCTAGACAGGTTGCTATGATGTTTGATGTTCTAATCTGGTTATACGTAAGACACCAAGCTGCTACTTCAACAAAGTTTTAACAAACTTAACACACAGGACTAAAAAAACACTTCTTAAATCGGTTGAAATTTTTTTTATTTTTTGTTTGGGATATTTTGGATTTTCATTCAAGAATAATTTTTTGATTAAAAATGACAGCCTTATTTCTTTCTTGGAGATTCAGATAAAACTCTTCCATTTTTAAAAATCTTTGGTTTTAAAAGTGTCAAACTACTTGATAAATCTCCATCTTATAAAGGAAGTAGATTAGCTTTAGGGACAACATCCTGGGTAATACTTGAACAGATCAGACCGCCATGGTGGTGGTGACGTCATTAGTTGAGGAGCGACGTCACGATAAAGTCCCGGATGTAAGGGTGAGTGACCCGGGTGTAGATGCCGGGAAACTGTGGGCGGGCACAGCCAGAGCCAAACGACACGATGCCATAGACGTAAAACCTTCCGCCTGACAGACACATCAGCGGACCTCCAGAGTCGCCCTGCAACATAGGTGAGGTCGTTATGGGCATGGTAGGCACAGGGATGGGATATCGGGCATAGGGCATTATAGTACAGGGGCATGGACGTCTAAGACATAGGTATATATTTTACCGGTGCAAAAAAACAAAATGAACCGCGTGTATCAACATGTTTAAAGAACAAAACCAATAAAAATGACTATCACAAAAACATATAGAACATATAGAACATTTACTGCAAATCAGTTTGATTTCTGCTGTTGCCTTTCAGACACCAGTTCAGAAATGTGCAGCTTCACATTGAATTCAGCGGGTGTTGTGTTCTTTTCTATCTCCATGTAGCTTATGGAAGTTTATTCTTAGTTATGCCGGTGCTAGACTAGAATTGCTCAACATAAAATCACATCAAACACACGATCAACACGCGCCTGTATAGGTGGCGTTGACACGATGCGTGTGACGTATGTGTGTCGTGACGTTAATGGGTTCCATGATACAGAACTATCACGATACTAATACGTGTTATCTCGCTCAGGCTCACTTTGTTACCATGTCGTGCCGTCACGCTGTCGTATTTAAACTGTCATCGGCCGCTAGTTCTATGGTCCACACTGACAAAATCCAATCGAAAATCACATGAGTCAGGTGTATGTCTTGACCTCCCACAAGAATGACTCGCTAAAACCCTGGGGTTCGATCGAACCCAGGTTAAGAACCACTGGCTTATATATACTGACATCACATAGTGACTCACTTGACAAGAATCGATTCCTCCATTGTAATAATCGCCGGCACAAAGTTTGAGATCATTAACATATAGAGTGCCATAGGAAGATATGCATTTAGCCTGGTCAACTATGGGCAGAGTGACCTTTTGTAGGTCGTAGCTCAAGGACGGGGAAGTAACTGGAAAAGAGAAGACAGTTACAATCAATTCTGCAAGCAAAGTTGGGCAGCTAAGGGAAAGGGGCATTGGAGGTGGAAGGTGATCTTATCGGCCTAGATCTGCACTGTTAAAACAAAATTAAATACAAAGGGGTAAAAGGCAATTCCGGAGTGCTTGGTAAATACTGTATTGTGTTGGATTTGCCGTCATATGTAATGTAATACTTACCCGGGAAACCCCAGCAACACAGAGGTAAACTGTGATGTAATACTTACACAGAGATCAACTGATGTAATACTTACACAGAGATCAACTGATGTAATACTTACACAGAGATCAACTGTGATGTAATAATTACACAGAGGTCAATGTAATACTTACACAGAGATCAACGAATGTAATACTTACACAGAGATCAACGGATGTAATACTTACACAGAGATCAACGGATGTAATACTTACACAGAGATCAACTGATGTAATACTTACACAGAGATCAACTGATGTAATACTTACACAGAGATCAACTGATGTAATACTTACACAGAGATCAACTGATGTAATACTTACACAGAGATCAACTGATGTAATACTTACACAGAGATCAACTGATGTAATACTTACACAGAGATCAACTGATGTAATACTTACACAGAGATCAACGGATGTAATACTTACACACAGGTCAACTGATGTAATACTTACACACAGGTCAACTGATGTAATACTTACACAGAGATCAACTGATGTAATACTTACACAGAGATCAACTGATGTGATACTTACACACAGGTCAACTGATGTAATACTTACACATAGGTCAACTGATGTAATACTTACACACAGGTCAACTGATGTAATACTTACACACAGGTCAACTGATGTAATACTTACACACAGGTCAACTGATGTAATACTTACACAGAGGTCAACTGATGTAATACTTACAACCCAGGATACCCCAACCAGCGGTGATACAGTAGTCAGTTTTAGCGGCGTCACTGTAAACATCTGGTAGACATATTGGCGAGACACATTCACTGAACACCAGACTCTCAGCAAGCGTCAACACAGCTACGTCGTAATCTAGACACAACAATCATCAAGTGTAAACAATCTAGACCAAACACAACAATCATCAAGTGTAAACAATCTAGACCAGGCCACACAACAATCATCAAGTGTAAACAATCTAGACCAAACACAACAGGCATCAAGTGTAAACAATCTAGACCAGGCCACACAACAATCATCAAGTGTAAACAATCTAGACTAGACACAAAAATCATCAAGTGTCAACAATCTAGACTAGACACAACAATCATCAAGTGTAAACAATCTAGACCAGACACAACAAGCATCAAGTGTAAATAATCTAGACCAGACACAACAATCATCAAGTGTAAACAATCTAGACCAGGCCACACAACAATCATCAAGTGTAAACAATCTAGACCAGGCCACACAACAATCATCAAGTGTAAACAATCTAGACCAGACACAACAAGCATCAAGTGTAAATAATCTAGACCAGACACAACAAGCATCAAGTGTAAACAATCTAGACTAGACACAACAATCATCAAGTGTCAACAAGCTAGACCAGACACAACAATCATCAAGTGTAAACAATCTAGACTAGACACAACAATCATCAAGTGTAAACAATCTAGACTAGACACAACAATCATCAAGTGTAAACAATCTAGACTAGACACAACAAGCATCAAGTGTAAACAATCTAGACCAGACACAACAATCATCAAGTGTAAACAATCTAGACCAGATTACACAACAATCATCAAGTGTAAACAATCTAGACTAGACCACACAACAATCATCAAGTGTAAACAATCTAGACCAGACACAACAATCATCAAGTGTAAACAATCTAGACTAGACACAACAATCATCAAGTGTAAACAATCTAGACCAGATTACACAACAATCATCAAGTGTAAACAATCTAGACTAGACCACACAACAATCATCAAGTGTAAACAATCTAGACTAGACACAACAAGCATCAAGTGTAAACAATCTAGACCAGGCCACACAACAATCATCAAGTGTAAACAATCTAGACCAAACACAACAATCATCAAGTGTAAACAATCTAGACCAGGCCACACAACAATCATCAAGTGTAAACAATCTAGACCAGGCCACTCAACAATCATAAAGTGTAAACAATCTAGACCAGGCCACACAACAATCATCAAGTGTAAACAATCTAGACCAGGCCACACAACAATCATCAAGTCTAAACAATCTAGACCAGGCCACACAACAATCATCAAGTGTAAACAATCTAGACCAGGCCACACAACAAGCATCAAGTGTAAACAATCTAGACTAGACACAACAATCATCAAGTGTAAACAATCTAGACCAGACACAACAATCATCAAGTGTAAACAATCTAGACCAGATCACACAACAAGCATCAAGTGTAAACAATCTAGACCAGACACAACAATCATCAAGTGTAAACAATCTAGACCAGACACAACAATCATCAAGTGTAAACAATCTAGACCAGATCACACAACAAGCATCAAGTGTAAACAATCTAGACCAGACACAACAATCTTCAAGTGTAAACAATCTAGACCAGACACAACAATCATCAAGTGTAAACAATCTAGACCAGGCCACACAATAATCATCAAGTGTAAACAATCTAGACCAGGCCACACAACAATCATCAAGTGTAAACAATCTAGACCAGACACAACAATCATCAAGTGTAAACAATCTAGACCAGACACAACAATCATCAAGTGTAAACAATCTAGACTAGACACAACAATCATAAAGTGTAAACAATCTAGACCAGATCACACAACAAGCATCAAGTGTAAACAATCTAGACCAGACACAACAATCATCAAGTGTAAACAATCTAGACTAGACACAACAATCATCAAGTGTAAACAATCTAGACCAGGCCACTCAACAATCATCAAGTGTAAACAATCTAGACCAGACACAACAATCATCAAGTGTAAACAATCTAGACTAGACACAACAATCATCAAGTGTAAACAATCTAGACCAGACACAACAAGCATCAAGTGTAAACAATCTAGACCAGACACAACAATCATCAAGTGTAAACAATCTAGACTAGACACAACAATCATCAAGTGTAAACAATCTAGACCAGGCCACTCAACAATCATCAAGTGTAAACAATCTAGACCAGATCACACAACAAGCATCAAGTGTAAACAATCTAGACTAGACACAACAACCATCAAGTGTAAACAATCTAGACCAGACACAACAATCATCAAGTGTAAACAATCTAGACCAGATCACACAACAAGCATCAAGTGTAAACAATCTAGACTAGACACAACAATCATCAAGTGTAAACAATCTAGACCAGACACAACAATCATCAAGTGTAAACAATCTAGACCAGGCCACACAACAATCATCAAGTGTAAACAATCTAGACCAGATCACACAACAATCATCAAGTGTAAACAATCTAGACTAGACACAACAATCATCAAGTGTAAACAATCTAGACTAGACACAACAATCATAAAGTGTAAACAATCTAGACCAGACACAACAATCATCAAGTGTAAACAATCTAGACCAGACACAACAATCATCAAGTGTAAACAATCTAGACCAGATCACACAACAAGCATCAAGTGTAAACAATCTAGACCAGGCCACACAACAATCATCAAGTGTAAACAATCTAGACCAGACACAACAATCATCAAGTGTAAACAATCTAGACCAGACACAACAATCATCAAGTGTAAACAATCTAGACCAGATCACACAACAAGCATCAAGTGTAAACAATCTAGACCAGGCCACACAACAATCATCAAGTGTAAACAATCTAGACCAGACACAACAAGCATCAAGTGTAAATAATCTAGACCAGACACAACAAGCATCAAGTGTAAACAATCTAGACTAGACACAACAATCATCAAGTGTCAACAAGCTAGACCAGACACAACAATCATCAAGTGTAAACAATCTAGACTAGACACAACAATCATCAAGTGTAAACAATCTAGACTAGACACAACAATCATCAAGTGTAAACAATCTAGACTAGACACAACAAGCATCAAGTGTAAACAATCTAGACCAGACACAACAATCATCAAGTGTAAACAATCTAGACCAGATTACACAACAATCATCAAGTGTAAACAATCTAGACTAGACCACACAACAATCATCAAGTGTAAACAATCTAGACCAGACACAACAATCATCAAGTGTAAACAATCTAGACTAGACACAACAATCATCAAGTGTAAACAATCTAGACCAGATTACACAACAATCATCAAGTGTAAACAATCTAGACCAGATCACACAACAATCATCAAGTGTAAACAATCTAGACCAGACACAACAATCATCAAGTGTAAACAATCTAGACCAGACACAACAATCATAAAGTGTAAACAATCTAGACCAGATCACACAACAATCATCAAGTGTAAACAATCTAGACTAGACACAACAATCATCAAGTGTAAACAATCTAGACTAGACACAACAATCATAAAGTGTAAACAATCTAGACCAGACACAACAATCATCAAGTGTAAACAATCTAGACCAGACACAACAATCATCAAGTGTAAACAATCTAGACCAGACACAACAATCATCAAGTGTAAACAATCTAGACCAGATCACACAACAAGCATCAAGTGTAAACAATCTAGACCAGACACAACAATCATCAAGTGTAAACAATCTAGACCAGACACAACAATCATAAAGTGTAAACAATCTAGACCAGACACAACAATCATCAAGTGTAAACAATCTAGACCAGATCACACAACAAGCATCAAGTGTAAACAATCTAGACTAGACACAACAATCATAAAGTGTAAACAATCTAGACCAGATCACACAACAAGCATCAAGTGTAAACAATCTAGACTAGACACAACAATCATAAAGTGTAAACAATCTAGACCAGACACAACAATCATCAAGTGTAAACAATCTAGACCAGACACAACAATCATCAAGTGTAAACAATCTAGACCAGACACAACAATCATCAAGTGTAAACAATCTAGACTAGACACAACCGTGCCACAGGAGATGCGTGAATACCAGCTGTTAGCTCTAATGTTTGCTCCAGCCATACCAGCTGTTAGCTCTAATGTTTGCACCAGCCATACCAGCTGTTAGCTCTAATGTTTGCTCCAGCCATACCAGATGTTAGCTCTAATGTTTGCTCCAGCCATACCAGATGTTAGCTCTAATGTTTGCTCCAGTCATACCAGCTGTTAGCTCTAATGTTTGCTACAGCCATACCAGCTGTTAGCTCTGTTTGCTACAGCCATACCAGCTGTTAGCTCTAATGTTTGCTCCAGCCATACCAGCTGTTAGCTCTAATGTTTGCTCCAGCCATACCAGCTGTTAGCTCTAATGTTTGCTCCAGCCATACCAGCTGTTAGCTCTAATGTTTGCTCCAGCCATACCAGCTGTTAGCTCTAATGTTTTCTCCAGCCATACCAGCTGTTAGCTCTAATGTTTTCTCCAGCCATACCAGCTGTTAGCTCTAATGTTTGCTCCAGCCATACCAGCTGTTAGCTCTAATGTTTGCTCCAGCCATACCAGCTGTTAGCTCTAATGTTTGCTCCAGCCATACCAGCTGTTAGCTCTAATGTTTGCTACAGTCATACCAGCTGTTAGCTCTAATGTTTGCTCCAGCCATACCAGCTGTTAGCTCTAATGTTTGCTCCAGCCATACCAGCTGTTAGCTCTAATGTTTGCTCCAGCCATACCAGCTGTTAGCTCTAATGTTTGCTCCAGCCATACCAGCTGTTAGCTCTAATGTTTGCTCCAGTCATGAGCTCAACTCTACTCACCGTTGATGTTCGGGATGTGCCTGGGGTCCACTGTAATGCTGCTCACCTGGACACGGGTCAGTTTGTTCAGGTTAGACGAGCCGTACCTGACCGTCACCTGGCTGGGCTGGACCACCGCACGTGTGTACCTGCAATGACGTAACAGCCCAGGTGTTTCTGCTCACTGTATCATGTAATGCCATTATTTTTAACCGTCGTATTCAGTGTTTATTCAGTGTTTATTCTGTCGTCTTCATGTTAACAAAGTAAATCGTTGGATGTGTTCAACCTAATCCTCCCCTGACCAACACAACCACATCACTAACTTCCCTGACCAACACAACCACATCACTAACTTCCCTGACCAACACAACCACATCACTAACTCCCCTGACCAACACAACCACATCACTAACTTCCCTGACCAACACAACCACATCACTAACTCCCCTGACCAACACAACCACATCACTAACTTCCCTGACCAACACAACCACATCACTAACTTCCCTGACCAACACAACCACATCACTAACTCCCCTGACCAACACAACCACATCACTAACACTTATTTCGTAGAATGTAAATAATTATGGTTTTTTATATCTGGTGGTTGAAATTGTACTGACATTATGAAGAGCCTCACCGGTCTTTCACACAGTGAGCAGTGTGATTATCAAATGATTAATCTCACCTGTCTTTCACACAGTGAGCAGCGGTAAGCACATGTCGGCTGTCGAGGATGGTCCCCCCACAGAAGTTGGAGTCGATGGTAACGGCCACGACCCAGGGGAACTCACACTCAGCTGCCGTGGTCCCGCCCACAATTTTGTACCGGTTGTAGGTCTGTAAGCCACAGGCTGAGAGAAAGACGGAGTTGGGAGAACATCAACTTTGTTGTAAGTGATCAAGTGAACTTTGTTGTAAGTGAACTAATGAACTTTGTTGTAACTGAACAATTGAACTTTGTTGTAACTGAACTACTGAACTTTGTTGTAACTGAACAAGTGAACTTTGTTGTAACTGAACTACTGAACTTTGTTGTAACTGAACAATTGAACTTTGTTGTAACTGAACTACCGAACTTTGTTGTAACTGAACAATTGAACTTTGTTGTAAGTGAACTACTGAACTTTGTTGTAACTGAACAATTGAACTTTGTTGTAACTGAACTACTGAACTTTGTTGTAACTGAACAAGTGAACTTTGTTGTAACTGAACTACTGAACTTTGTTGTAACTGAACAATTGAACTTTGTTGTAAGTGAACTACTGAACTTTGTTGTAACTGAATTACTGAACTTTGTTGTAAGTAAACTACTGAACTTTGTTGTAAGTGAACTACTGAACTTTGTTGTAACTGAACTACTGAACTTTGTAACTTAACAAGTGAACTTTGTTGTAACTGAACTACTGAACTTTGTTGTAACTGAACTACTGAACTTTGTTGTAACTAAACAAGTGAACGTTGTTGTAACTGAACAAGTGAACTTTGTTGTAAGTGAACTACTGAACTTTGTTGTAACTGAACTACTGAACTTTGTTGTAAGTAAACTACTGAACTTTGTTGTAAGTAAACTACTGAACTTTGTTGTAAGTGAACTACTGAACTTTTTTTGTAACTGAACTAGTGAACTTTGTTGTAACTGAACTACTGAGCTTTGTTGTAACTGAACTAGTGAACATTATCTGGAACAAAAATTGTGTTTTAAAACTTGTTTATATCTTCACGTTATGACAAGATGCACACAAACCTAATGAACAAAGCTTACACTCAACTTACAGTTTGTAACTGAACCTGTTGTAGTTGTTGTTGTCGGTGTGGTTGTTGTTGTTGTTGTTGTTGGCGTGGTCGTTGTGGTCGTCGATGTTGTGGTTGTTGTCGTGCTAGTGGTTGTTGATGGCGGTAGAGTTGATTCTGATGCTGAAAGAATTCAATGTTTATTTACCAATACAAAATGCAACATACTAGCTCTTTACTACCTTGCTGTGAGTGGTCCAAATAGCAGTGGTTTACAAATATTACAGTCATATTAACAATTATAATCATGAAATAAAGAACACAAAAAATTCATAAAAAACGTTTTAATAACAAGCTTTTATGTAATGATGCACTAAAAAGTAGAAAATAAATTATAGACTACTATTTAAATAACTATAAAGAAAAGCGTGGGTCACTTTAGTATCTATTGGATACCTTTACTAATGTTAAGGAAGACACCCACGCTTTTCTTTATAGTTATTTAAATAGTAGTCTATAATTTATTTTCTACTTTTTAGTGCATCATTACATAAAAGCTTGTTATTAAAACGTTTTTTATGAATTTTTTTTTCAGTACTTTACATGTTTTATTTACAATAGAGTTACATGACTAAAAACCATTGCGCGCCTACTGAACATCACGTTCAGTAGGCGCGCAATGGTTTTTGAACGCAGCCATTACGTGATGGCGCAGCTATTGAAGGTGATGACGCGTGTGGTGTGGTTGGCTAGACATGCCTACTAATTCGGTCCAAATTTTAATTAATTCATAAAAAATTAATTAGGCATACAATTAAGTCAAATTTAGTTTCATATTGCATTGTCTTCATGTCTTGACCCACGTGCCATCTGTGAATCGTATCGGTCAAGTAGAACTGTCCGAATTTTCACTCCTACGTTTCTATCTAGACTGACGACAGACTGTCGACAGACAGAGGAAGTGAGTTAAATAAAAGCTTGTAATAAATAGAAGGTATTTTAAGTTAGTTTTTGTTGCTATATGTTGGACGGTCATTTAATGTAATCATAATAGTTTTTTTTAGATATAACAAAAACTAATTTTGAAAATCCTGAAGGATCTACTCTCCGTAATCTCATATCTTTTGTTATCTCTATTGCCATTCAACTTTGCATGAATATTTGCTGTACCAAATAGACAGGTAGAAAATACAAACCTACCCTGGGCCAAAAGTGAGCTACTAACCTGGACACTTGCTGTAACATATGGGCAGGTATGAAGCTAAAAAAGTTGTGGACATCATGAAGCGCTTGTAGAAGTCGTATGCTCCCTGACACTGTCGTCTGCAGGCATCGCCTGTCGGAAATATGAAAATATAACACGTGACATGTGTTGGCTGATGTCACGTGACATGTGTTGGCTGATGTCATGTGACATGTGTTAGCTGATGTCATGTGACATGTGTTGGCTGATTTCATGTGACATTGGTTGGCTGATGACATGTGACATGTGTTGGCTGATGTCATGTGACATTGGTAGCTGATGTCATGTGACATTGGTTGGCTGATATCATGTGATATGTGTTGGCTGATGTCATGTGACATTGGTTGGCTGATGTCATGTGACATTGGTTGGCTGATGTCATGTGACATTGGTTGGCTGATGTCATGTGACATTGGTTGACTGATATCATGTGATATGTGTTGGCTGATGTCATGTGACATTGGTTGGCTGATGTCATGTGACATTGGTTGACTGATGTCATGTGACATTGGTTGGCTAATATCATGTGATATGTGTTGGCTGATGTCATGTGACATTGGTTGGCTGATGTCATGTGATATCTGTTGACTGATGCCATTAAACTGATGCAACAATTAAACCCCCTCACAATGTAACAAATTACCCCCATCCCCACGATGTAATAATTTAATCCCTCATGATGCAACATTTTAACCCCTTATGATGCAACCATTTAACTCCTCACGATGCAACAATTAACCCCCTCACACCCGTGTGAGACTCACCATCAGTGTAGGTCTGTGTGTGCACGAGGGACAGAGTGCACGAGAGAGCAATGAGCAGGCAGCCGTACTGTCTTACACACATCCTGACTCTTGGCCTGTGGTCAGACAAGTTAGCTGGGTTAGTGTTGTGGTCAGACAAGTTAGCTGGGTTAGTGTTGTGGTCAGACAAGTTAGCTGGGTTAGTGTTGTGGTCAGACAAGTTAGCTGGGTTAGTGTTGTGGTCAGACAAGTTAGCTGGGTTAGTGTTGTGGTCAGACAAGTTAGCTGGGTTATGAAGTGATTCTGCTAGCTGAAGGATATCAGCTAAAGTAGACTTACATATTTTCTAAATAGCTAATATGTTAAGCGTTGAATATGCGGCGGTTACCAGTTTGCACATTAAAACACCAGTTTACCAGCTCCTTATATACATCCCAGCTCTTTATATACATCCCAGCTCTTTATATACATCCCAGCTCCTTATATACATCCCAGCTCCTTATATACATCCTAACACGAGGAAGAAGAGCCGTTGAATGGCATTGTTTAAACGGGTGTCTGTCTGTTTGATGTCTACCCACAAGCTTTCATCAGACGTGATACACCTCTCAGCCTGTGTACATTGAGGGGGTCACGGCGCAGAAGCCCCACGGATTTACACCTATTCATTGCCCTCATTCCTATTTTCTTTACAGCACTCAAATATTCAAGAGCCAGCCTCATTAAATCAACACGATGACGTCATCAAACGGAGCGCCCCAGCTTTGATATAAACTGTTTCTTTAGGCCGGAAATAATATCCTGTTAGACTGGCTGACGGACGCCTCCAGCTTGTTCGTAATCAAAAGATTCACGTTTAAAATGTTTATAAAAAATATTAATGACGTTTAACACATAATCAATGTAGGGCATTTTTATATTGATGATAATTAAGGTAGTTGGAAATTGTATCAAAATAATTTTTGCCAGCTTTTCCATGCGATAACCCAAACAAACAAAAGGTCTGGAATTAAATTTAAAATAAAACACACGCAAACCAGAACCGACATATCACTTTTGAAATGTTTTCTTATTTTGACACGACATTGACAAATCTATGGTTACAATCAGCCGCTCCCCCCCCCTATGCATATATTCACCCAAAGTTTAATGCATCGAAAGGTTTAGATCCATCGATACTATTTGTAATTTAAAAAAGCCCAACGCAAACAGTGTTAGACTATTAAATGTGAGTTAGTGCGCCTTATATCTGACCCAGCTCACTCATCAAATATCTACAGATGTCATAGATCTCGGTCTGAACACACAATCCTTAAAGTCAAATCTTCACTTATTTCATTAGGGTTTTGACGCGTTCATTGAAGTTCATGCTTTTAAAAATAAATAAAAATATACAATTTTTAAGGATGTTCACGTTTCTGAGTTTATAGCCAAACAAAATTTATCTTTAAAATGAATACAGCTATGATTGCAATGTACCTTTTCTTGATACTAAAATTTCGATTCAAAATACAACAAAATATTCTCATATTCTGAACTATGACAAATTATTTTAATTCTTAAAATGGTATTCTAAAACAAATTTCCTTCAATATTGCCATTCAAGGAACACACACACAAACAGACATATATATATATATATATATATATATATATATATATATATATATATATATATATATATATGCATTAAGACAGTACTTAGTTATTAATGAAAAAAGCAATTGAAAACCGTGAAATAAATAATTACTTACTTAGTTCTTTAATTACTGTTATTACCGTCTTACTATAAAAAAAAGCTTTCTATATTATTGTTTCTGTAGTTCCCTAGTTAGAAAAAAAGTTGTGCCTATAGTCTGCCAAGAACTAGCCAGAGTCCCCACTGACAAATGTTTGCCTTCAGTTAACCAAGATCTACCTACAGTCCCACTTATATCTCGTCGGAAGCCATTCAATACAAAGATGTTTAAAATACGTTTGACAAATTTCCAAAGTTCCTTGTAGACACGGCTGTTGACAGGGTGTGGGATATTGACTCTTCTTGGACGCCCGCTTTCAGGGGCGGATGCACTCGCTACTAGCTACAGGGTCGCGGACACCATTGGCTACTCCAGGTGCGAGAGAAAATATTTGATGTAAAACATTCCTGACGCATGATAAGGCCTTCACATGTAATGTAAAAAATAATTGAAGAGATTGTCGACTGACCCAAAACTGGTCTTGTGTTGATAGTTGGCTGATTTTGTTGTGTTAGTTATTTAGTAGGCTTTTTATACACGGCCTTAACTGTTAGTTTTATTATACTGTTTACCCTCGCAAAGCTAATATTTAGATTTTGAAAAGAGAACTATTTTAAAGCATTGTACACACTACATTTGAAAATGTAAACAAAAAATGACATAATTTTCTAGCTTCATATTTTTACATTTTTCAAAGTCACGCCCATACCTGACAATAGTCCGCCATTTTGACACTTATGGTAAATATGAAAATAAAATGACGTTTTATACATTAAAAAAAATCTATTTATATCCAGATCAGAAAAGTGGGCGGGGCCCAACACGGAGAACAGTAATTCAATCAGATTTAATAAACGTGTCTCTAGCTTTATGTTTGCGTTGGTTTTTATTAAGCTGGGTGTATTAGATCTTCGGTGAACAGCTAGGATGGGGGGGGGGGGGGGGGGGGGTTGGAGTGATGTTTGGACGAGATTTTGGCCACCAATTTATCAACTGCGCGTATAAAGTGTTTGATTAATGTTGCTGGGTAAACTGTTCACGTGAAGATTTGGATAAAAAAAAAAACATTTTCTGATTGAACACCAACACACCAGGTATCGTCTGCTGAGAATGCTGGTCGGGAGTTGAAACAGCAAAGGATGATCTGATCAAAGAGTTTTCTAGTTGGTTCCTGATAATCAGACAGTTCTTCAAGAAAATGTATTGAACTGGACCTTTTCAAATGATAATGTTGACCTCACACTCATCAGTCTTATCTACGGATTAGTTGCTCGGGCACGCGCGGATTAATAGGAAAGGCGTTAAAGAGTGCTAGGGGTTAACCGGATTAAGGTGACGGGAATCGCGGACTAGTGTGTGTGTGGGGGGGGGGGGGGGGGGACAAAAAAGTTTCACAGAAATGTAGAATACATTAAGTGTTATGGTTATAGTGATAGCTTATATTATATACATATAATAGAACATATTTATGTAGTGGCAGGGGTAAGGAAGGTTTAAAGACTTGATGGGTTTATTGTAGGGGAGGCACAGTATACAATGTTTGTCAATCACATCTTAATTAATTCGATTAATTATTTATTTGATAATTTAATAAAATATGTACTATAAATGCGAGTCGATTGTCTGACGATTCTGTTTGGTCTGTTGTAAAATCTAACACGAAACACTGAACGTGACCTGAAACTAACGCTCACACAGGAAGGAAAATAATAATCATTAAGAAAGTTTAAAAAAACCCACGTTTTCTGATTGAACTAAAAGTAGAAAATAAATGCTATACATCACAATAATGCAAGCGATCACTCTGCTATAAGCGATGAAAAACGTGGGGCGCCGAAGTAAAAGTTTTTTATCGGTCATTGTTAATATAAGATGTAAAAGTTATATTACTATTGATTAGATAATATTATTGAGTTTTATTAGGGAGCTTGTAGAGAGTCAACAGTATTAGAAACTGTAAGAAAATCACGGCGTGAATACGTTACTGACTAGAACACATAGATTTGAACCCGTGTCGAGTGGGTTAGCAATCGTGTGCCCAACCACTCGACCATATCGTCTCCCCCATACTGGCCACCAGTTGTTACGTTCCGGTTTTTTGTACACAAACACCGTGTGACCACTACTCAGTAAGCCAAAAGAGGGAGAGTACCGAACCTTGTTTTCATCAAATTACAATTACTGGGTTATGTCCCTTTTTCCCCACGTTTTTTGTACAAATATATAGGGGTCTAAAATGATCAATAAAATGTTTCCATGGATCAATTTAGTAATAATAACCATTGGATATTTTATTGTCATCGGAAACAAAGCTTCCCTGAAAATTTCAGCGCGCTAGCTAACTGGGAAGTGCCCGAAATTTCGATCGCAAGATTTGATTGGAGAACCAAACAAACAAACAAACAGACGCGAAAGCAAGTTAAAGAAAACGTGGGGAAAATGTTTAAAAACATTATCGGGGTAATTCTATTTGGTCGCAATCAATAAAAAAATCTGGAGTTATAATTTCTCACTGTTTTGAGAGAGTTGTTAAGATCACGTTGATAGAGCCAGTGGTCAGACAGGGAGTGGTATCTTGTGAAAACAAGGAACATGCGCACTTGTTCTAATCAGAGCACGCGTTCCTCACCTGTAACAATGTCACAAACTACACACAGATATGTCCGTGTTGTCAACTACACAGGGAGTGTTGACTGTGTTGTGGAACTACACTCTGATATGTCCGTATTGTCGAACTACATACAGATATGTCCGTATGGTTGAACTACACACAGATATGTCCGTATTGTCCAACTACACACGAACATGTCCGTATTGTCGAACTACACACAGATATGTCCATATTGTCCAACTACACACAGATATGTCCGTATTGTCGAACTACACACAGATATGTCCATATTGTCGAACTACACATGAACATGTCCGTATTGTCGAACTACACACGAACATATCCGTATTGTTGAACTACACACGAATATGTCCGTATTGTTGAACTACACACGAATATGTCCGTATTGTCGAACTACACACGAATATGTCCGTATTGTTGAACTACACACGAATATGTCCGTATTGTCGAACTACACACGAATATGTCCGTATTGTTGAACTACACACGAATATGTCCGTATTGTCGAACTACACACGAATATGTCCGTATTGTCGAACTACAAACAGATATGTCCGTATTGTCGAACTACACACGAATATGTCCGTATTGTCGAACTACAAACAGATATGTCCGTATTGTCGAACTACACACGAATATGTCCGTATTGTCCAACTACACACGAATATGTCCGTATTGTTGAACTACACACAAATATGTCCGTATTGTCGAACTACACACGAACATGTATTGTCGAACTACAAGCAGATAAGTCAATGCTGTTGAAACGGTAATACACATGTACACATTAATGTGGTCAAGACCATACACAAATATGTTTACATTAGCACATACAGACAACTGTGGTCAAGACCCTACACAAATATGTTTACATTAGCACATACAGACAACTGTGGTCAAGACCCTACACACATATGTTTACATTAGCACATACAGACAACTGTGGTCAAGACCCTACACAAATATGTTTACATTAGCACATACAGACAACTGTGGTCAAGACCCTTCACAAATATGTTTACATTAGCACATACAGACAACTGTGGTCAAGACCCTACACAAATATGTTTACATTAGCACATACAGACAACTGTGGTCAAGACCCTACACAAATATGTTTACATTAGCACATACAGACAACTGTGGTCAAGACCCTACACAAATATGTTTACATTAGCACATACAGACAACTGTGGTCAAGACCCTACACAAATATGTTTACATTAGCACATACAGACAACTGTGGTCAAGACCCTACACAAATATGTTTACATTAGCACATACAGACAACTGTGGTCAAGACATTATACAAATATGTTTACATTAGCACATACAAACAACTGTGGTCAAGACCCTACACAAATATGTTTACATTAGAACATACAGACAACAGTGGCCAAGACACCAATATGTTTACCTGGTCATGTTGTTCCCAGCTTCCTTGAGTTGACCAGAGGTAACAGAGCAGACGCCAGTCAGATGTGGTCAGAACGTCTCTCTCCACCCAGACCAGACGTGTGCAGGTAAGAAGCTCTGGGTAGCCTGTCCTACCTGTAATATGTGGCTAGACTCTCCTAATATGGGCTAAGAAAACATGGGACATGTAAAGAGCTGAGCATGTCAGTGTCTGCTTGACTTACAATTCACATCATGTATGATCTACATCAACCCAATGGAGGTTACATATGTTTTTATACAATTCAATATTCACTTTATTTCTCACCACAAACTATATATATATATATATATATATATATATATATATATATATATATATATATATATATATATATATATATATATATATATATATATATATATATATATATATATATATATATATATATATATATATATATATATATGCATACATACCTATGTACTTCATACAAACTAAAGGTTTATATGTCAGCTTATTGGCTATAGAGTATGACTAATTCGGCAACATGTATTTAAGTTTCACACAACATAATGTATGATTCATACAGCATAATGTACATATAATGTACATATAATATAGTAAAATATATAAACTAGCCTATTTATCAAACAATAAAATGTATTTAGTGTTTCTTTATCAAATAAAATGCATTTCGTATTACTATATCAAATAAAATGTATTTAGTTTTACTTCATCAAATATACGGTGTAGGCCTATTTATTATTATTTTATGAGACAAACATATTTAGTATTACTTTATCAAACAATAAATTATATTTAGTATTGTAATCGTGCACACAAATCACATGACATTTTGAGTTTTCGCGTACATTAATACTTTTTAACTTCACCGGAAATTACTCAAAATATGACATAAAACAAAAAATAAGATCGTTTTGTCTGTTAGCGACAGTGCTCAAATTATAGATTTCTTGAAAACCGAAGGTAGAATAAGTTCTACTTCCGCTAAAAAGTTGATAAAGAACTACACATTTTATATAATACTTATTTATGAAATTTCATCAACGTAGCTGTAACAGTACTCAAGTTAGGGGGTCATCAATAAATGACGTCACGCTTTTTTGGACGAATTTTACCCCCCCCCCCTCCGTCACACATTGTCACAAAAAGCCAGACCCACCCCCACCCTAAAATGACGTCAAACTTCAGCTTACGACCCCCCTCAAAATTGCAGTTGAATTTTTCTTAAAACATCGATATTTTTCCAAAATTTTGCCTGAACTATCTCAAAATAGAGTATTTTAATCAATTGCTATTGCAATTTATTAAAACTGTTTTCTAAAACGCGTAATAACGTCTAAAATTCGTTTTCTAACATTGCTTTTTTATAATGCAAAAGTGTGACATCGCACAATCTGACCCCCCCCCTCCCCTCATCACACACCAGAGGCGTAGCGACCCTTCCCGGCGCCCGGGGACAAACAATTGTCAATTTGCACCCCCCCTCAAGATTTTGATTTGCACCCCCCTCAAACTTTTGATTTTCACCCCCTCGACCTTTCAATTTATTTTTCCAACCCATTTTGGCGCCCCCTAAGGTCGGCGCCCGGGGACATATGGCCCCCCCGCCCCCCCCCCCCCTCCTCGGTACGCTACTGTCACACACCGTCACAAAATTACTGACCCCCCCCCCCCCTCCGCCCTTCGAGTGTGACGTCATTTATGGACGACCACTTATCGTGTTCGCAGACAGACAAAAAAACAAACACACACATACATACGGACTCAGGGAGGTGTAAAACGTCAAGATTTGTGAAAAATTCAATTTCGATTCTTTGCACGATTACAATACTTGCTCGTATACGAGAAAGTAAAAATGAATTTATATTCACCGAAGGGTCCGACCACATTTTTTATTAGCTGTGTGACTCAGCAACGTTCTGATGATGTCAGCCAATACAATTCCTATTGAACTGAGGAACATTTAAAGTCCCAGTGTTTGATAAGCTAACATCTAATGTTCTTATGATAAAAGCGAGTTAGCAACAAAGGTAAATCTTCAGTCAACAGCAGCTACAAATACCGCATGGTTTAAAAATAAAATTTGGAGTTAACTTTGACAAGATTCTCCGTGACGCTTCAGTCAATATTTGAATAGATTTGGTCCAAGAAATCCACTCAACTATTTCACCACAAGAGAAATCATTTTTTTAACAGTTGACCTTCATATACCCCACCTATGCCCACGGCATACAGTTCAACTTCTGTTAAACCTAGACAAATGTCTTTTATTTGGCCTTGATGCGGTCAATGTCAGTTAAAACCTAGACGTCTTAAACTGGCTTTGATTTTGGCAATGTCGGTTTAAGCAGATTTTTGTGGTGTTTATTTAGTTTATTTTATTTTGAGCCTCGAGTTTTAAGCGTTTAAAATTTATTTGCGTTATTGTTGAGAACATTTAAAATGGAGATTTTGGAGGACAGAGAAGAAAGGCACAAAACAAAACGAACCTAACCCCACAGCCCCGATATGAACTAGATGTCCACATATGAACCGGGCAAGTTCACCTGGAGATATTAGTATACTACCACCATATTATGATATGGTGTTCATATATAAACCAGTTTAGTATAGATGGAGATAAAATATTAATACTTAGAATACAATGTGCGAATAATAGTGCGGTAAATAGTACTTTATATAATACTTTATATAGGAAAATTTAATTTATTCTTAAAACTTAAATAAGCATCCTGTTTTTTAATCTAATTTGAGGTCACACTGCATTGTGATTTGGCTATTGATCCACGTGCCAAGTTTCAGAGAAATAGGTCTCTTAGATGTAGTATAAATTTTGCTCGCTAGTTTCGATCCATGACGGACGAAGCACGAAACACGACAAAAGCATTAAAAGCAATTACGAGGAAGAAAGTTAAAAAAATGCATACACCGGGTGTATTTTAATAGAACTTCAAAAAACCAAGCGACATAAAAACAGGTGATTATCTAGGATTATATGTGGTAAACCCTTCAAGTGTGACGTCAGTCATCCGGTTTCCGTCAGTCTGACCCAACCAGCGCCACCTATCGGTAGTTTTTGACCTACGATATTCGAACCACTTGTTTTCGTATTATTTTCAATTTTCTTACTGTATGTTCAGTGAACTTATGGGCTTGTTTACCATAATTTTGTACAGGTACAATATGTCTTATTTACAACAAAAATGTTTACTAGCAGTAGGTAGGTAGAAATGTTGATACTCATATCACAAAATATTTGTAAAGATATTTGTTCAAATAAGGAGAGAAGATTTCACATTAGAGTTTTGGCGTTAAATTGTGTTTCAAATATTTTTGAGAACCATTGTTCTAGAAATGCATTATGTTGTATAACAGGAGAACCATTGTTCTAAAAAAAGCATTATTTTACATAACATGATGCATTGTCAAACAAGGGCGTTATTTAATATCCTCTATTATCTTCCAATGTCTATTTAATATCCTCTATTATCAACCAATGTCTATTTAATATCCTCTATTATCTTCCAATGTCTATTTAATATCCTCTATTAATACTATTATCTTCCAATGTCTATTTAATATCCTCTATTATCTTCCAATGTCTATTTAATATCCTCTATTATCTTCCAATGTCTATTTAATATCCTCTATTATCAACCAATGTCTATTTAATATCCTCTATTATCAACCAATGTCTATTTAATATCCTCTCTTATCTTCCAATGTCTATTTAATATCTTCTATTATCTTCCAATATCTATTTAATATCCTCTATTATCTTCCAATGTCTATTTAATAACCTCTATTATCTTCCAATGTCTATTTAATATCCTCTATTATCAACCAATGTCTATTTAATATCCTCTATTATCAACCAATGTCTATTTAATATCCTCTATTATCTTCCAATGTCTATTTAATATCTTCTATTATCTTCCAATGTCTATTTAATATCCTCTATTATCAACCAATGTCTATTTAATATCCTCTATTATCTTCCAATGTCTATTTAATATCCTCTATTATCTTCCAATGTCTATTTAATATCCTCTATTATCAACCAATGTGTATTTAATATCCTCTATTATCTTCCAATGTCTATTTAATATCCTCTATTATCTTCCAATGTCTATTTAATCTCCTCTATTATCTTCCAATGTCTATTTAATATCCTCTATTATCAACCAATGTCTATTTAATATCCTCTATTATCAACCAATGTCTATTTAATATCCTCTATTATCTTCCAATGTCTATTTAATATCCTCTTTTATCTTCCAATGTCTATTTAATATCCTCTATTATCAACCAATGTCTATTTAATATCCTCTATTATCTTCCAATGTCTATTTAATATCCTCTATTATCTTCCAATGTCTATTTAATATCCTCTATTATCTTCTAATGTCTATTTAATATCCTCTATTATCTTCCAATGTCTATTTAATATCCTCTATTATCTTCCAATGTCTATTTAATATCCTCTATTATCAACCAATGTCTATTTAATATCCTCTATTATCTTCCAATGTCTATTTAATATCCTCTATTATCTTCCAATGTCTATTTAATATCCTCTATTATCTTCTAATGTCTATGTAATATCCTCTATTATCTTCCAATGTCTATTTAATATCCTCTATTATCTTCTAATGTCTATTTAATATCCTCTATTATCAACCAATGTCTATTTAATATCCTCTATTATCTTCCAATGTCTATTTAATATCCTCTATTATCTTCTAATGTCTATTTAATATCCTCTATTATCTTCTAATGTCTATTTAATATCCTCTATTATCTTCCAATGTCTATTTAATATCCTCTATTATCTTCCAATGTCTATTTAATATCCTCTATTATCAACCAATGTCTATTTAATATCCTCTATTATCAACCAATGTCTATTTAATATCCTCTATTATCTTCCAATGTCTATTTAATATCCTCTATTATCTTCCAATGTCTATTTAATATCCTCTATTATCTTCTAATGTCTATTTAATATCCTCTATTATCTTCTAATGTCTATTTAATATCCTCTATTATCTTCCAATGTCTATTTAATATCCTCTATTATCTTCTAATGTCTATTTAATATCCTCTATTATCAACCAATGTCTATTTAATATCCTCTATTATCTTCCAATGTCTATTTAATATCCTCTATTATCTTCCAATGTCTATTTAATATCCTCTATTATCAACCAATGTCTATTTAATATCCTCTATTATCTTCCAATGTCTATTTAATATCCTCTATTATCTTCCAATGTCTATTTAATATCCTCTATTATCTTCCAATGTCTATTTAATATCCTCTATTATCAACCAATGTCTATTTAATATCCTCTATTATCAACCAATGTCTATTTCTATTTAGTCCTTGTAGTGTGAGTTAAGGAATCTGATTCCCATCAGCAGGACACAGGAACCTCAGGGCGCTGCTTACTTCCTGATACCCACCAACTCCATGTGCTTTACAGTTGGGGACCGGAGCGGCAACCGCTGGATAAAGTAAACGTAAGTAGTTTCCCTTGCTCATTGTAAGCAGCTACGGGAGTTACCATATCAATATGTAGGTAATATAATCTACTGGCTGTCAGTGTAATTCTGACTAAACCAATGGTCAATAACTTATAATGGCAAAAACAGTACACTAACTAAATTACCAATTAGGAAAAGTCATAAGCAACCATATTACATATGACCTAAACCACGGGTCAACAGATCCAATGAATAATATTTAAGCAATTCATTTATTATATACAGGAAATATTTATAAAAAGAAAAAAATATCTCCAGAATAAATTAGCAGACACCCAATAAAAATAATAAAAAGCTTTTAAATTCACTAAAAATTAGAAAATAAAACAAACTTTAAAAAAAATAATACATGTTTTATTTTCTATCTTTTAAAGTAATTTGTTTGAAATGAAGTTGCTACAACAATCTATATATATAATTCTCTTCTTGGAGACGTTAGAAAACACCGAGCTGTAAGCGCGCCTTGCAGTCCCCTTTCTTCCTCTCTAGGCATATCACATGGTCTGGTGAGCTGTGGTTCACGCTAAGTGTTTACAATCGTAGAGCCGGGTTTAGTGACAGCTATTAGGTGCAGATAATTTAGTTTGAAACGATTTTAAACTTAGGGGAGGTAACTAAGAGGCGGCTGCTTACAGGGGGGGGGGGTAGGGGTTGGTGGAAAGGAGGGTGGGGGGGGTGGGTGGTGGAAAGGAGGGTGGGGGGGTGGTGGAAAGGAGGATGGGGGGGGGATTATCGTCCTTAACGAGCTACTGATAGTGTTTTAAAGCAAATATTTTCAGTGGCAGCAGTGGTACTGTCGAGTTCACAAATTATGAATTACTGAAAAGTAGAAAATAAAACAACTAAATAGCGGCGTATGATACGCCGCGGGTCGGCTCGTGTATTTTAAAACTTGTGTGCAGTGTTACAAGTAACTCTCTCACTGTAAACTGTGGGGGCAACAGAACCGGCTGATGTGGGTTAAAGGAGATTTTTTAAGGGAGATTTTAGCTACAGGGAATCAAGAAATTTCGAAATAATTATGCTCAACTTACTTTCGTTTGCTTTATTGTTTGTGTTTTTTGTGTGTTTGCGTTTGTGGTTGGGATGGTGTTTGCGTTTCTATTTGTTTTTGTGTTTGCGTTTGTGTGTGTGTGTGTTTTGGTTTTGGTTGGTTGTGGTTAGGGTGGGCAATGCCGGGTATATGCTGTTTACTAAACACACATGTCATAGTGCTTTACAGAGTTTAGTTTTTCACAGAGGCCAGTGCACGGCCTGGCCGGGACGGCTAGTATACTGTAAAAATAACTCAAAATTGAGCAAGCTGTTCAGTTTTAAAATGGAGACCCCAAAAGTCTTCCAAATAACCTGTTAAAAATAATTGTTACTTAATTGTTAAAAATTCCCCCTCATTAATTATTAAAATAAGTTTAATGACATCCATTTGGCTAAATTAAAAAAGCGTTCATGGTCCTTATTCGAATACTTAATGGAGTGTTATAGCCCTCCCCTCCTCCCCCCCCCCCATTAGACAATTTAAAAGTGTTAAGACCCGCAATTCAATTTTTTTTTTCAAGGAGTGGTACGGGTCCCCTATCTGAACAATTCATAATACGAAAATTTGGCCCACTTATTCGACTGTTTTAAGTACCTCCGCCCCCACCCCATTCAGTTATTTGAGTAAATATTTTGCGTCCGTAATTAAATGAGAATTATGTGCCCCTAATTACTGTGTTAAAGAAGAGCAATAAAACATGCTTGTAGTTTTGAATGTTTGCCTATCTTTCACACTAATGTTCGTATAGTGTTATATATATATATATATATATATATATATATATATATATATATATATATATATATATATATATATATATATATATATATATATATATATATATATATAGGCCAAGACATGAGATATATCTATTTAATAACATATATAACGGTATTGACGTAAGTTGTTTGGCACTGCCAAAGATGTGACAATATTTCGTAATTTCGTATTTTTCGCTTACAGATTTTTAAATCTTACAAGTAAATTACCAACCAAATCGTACAACATGAAAAATAGACTAAGTATAGCTTAACTTAAATCGATGTAGAAATAAGGCGACAATATTTTAACCTAAATATGCCTTTAAAAAAATATTTAAAAAACTCCTTTCTAACTAACTAAAATATGTGAAAGATCACATGAGAGACCAACGCTTTCATCGAAGAAAGTAAATTAGTTATATTTTCTTATTTTCTTAGCATTTAAAAATCTTGTTGCTATAAAGATTTTAAAAATTTATTTTATTTTCTACTTTTTAGAGATTACTAATTTATGAAGTCGATACGACTAAAACTATTTGCTTTAGAACACTATCAGTAGCTCGCGATATCTCTAAGACGATTGTCTGCCCCGTGAAATGGCAGCCGTCCGTGACCACAATGTACAGACAACAGCAAGTTGATAAAGCGGATAATAGTTCTAAATCTTTCAAATCGTTTAAAACTTTTATTATCAGCGCCTAATAGCTTTCACTAGATCGACAAGCTCTACGATTGTAAACATTTTGTGAACACAGCTCACCTGACTTTTAGGGTGTTCGCGTCTAGCTAGTTATCTCCCCTTCTCTTGTGGAATATAGGAATCTATCGAGTGATTTAATTTTATTTCCACCTAGTTTAGAAACAGTTTAATTAATGTGTAATGACTAATTAAACATCTAATTGAATTAAAAAATAAATAGACTTGTATTGTCATCGAAGTGGAACGTATCTGGAGAGACGTGGGTCAAAATTGGGTTACAAGATTTGTCACAAACCCTCAAACAAACAGACGTTGCGAACTAAATAAAAGCTTGTAAAAATTACTCAATGATTTTAAAAAAAAAACGCAATAGGAACACTTATTTTATTTTTTAAAAAATGCACAATTTGCAGATACAAATACTGTAACTAATGATTATAACAGTAGATCCACCTTATTCTAAGTGTTGAAGCCGATAGTATGTTGGAATAGAGATCTTGGTGGTTGAAACATGCTATATTTTTAAATTGCTAAATCCATATTTCAGAATATACACAATATGTTTAAGGCAACTAGAGCTCAAATACTGTTGTCACTTAGATAAACTAAACGTATATTGTTATTAAAAATGGTTATAAATTGAAAATAGGATTAGAAAAAAAAATATGTTAGAATTATTTTTAGAATATTTTACTTATTCTTACTATTTTTTTTACTTAAGTAATGGTTCACATATAAAAAAAGGTAAAAAAAAAAATCTAAAAAAATCCAAGTATTTAATTTTTTTCCTGCGCAGTTCGGTTTGAAACGTGTATAAAGGTGTTAAGTAGGCCTAAATGTTTGTTTTTTATCATTTGGAATAAACAGGGAACTTCTTGGAGATTAAATTTCATGTTTTATTCTCTATACACCACAGCTCTAATCACTTATCTTGTCTCCAGCTTCCGTCTCAGACAACTCACATAAGGGGTCGTCCATAAATGACGTCACACTCGTAGGGGGGAGGGGGGGGACGTAATTTTATAACGGTGTGTGATAAGGGGGAGGGGGGGAGTTCATATGGGGTGACGTCACTTTTTGGCATTATAAAAAAGCAATGTAAGAAAACGAGTTTTAGCCGTTATTTCGCGTTTTAGAAAACGGTTTTAATAAATTGTAATAGGAATTGATCAAAATACTCTATGTTGACGGAGTTCTGACAAGAATTTGGAAAAATATCAATGTTTAAAAAAAATAATTCAAAATAAATCAAGGGACATTACCAATATAAATACAATGCAAGGGACGTAACAATAGCAAACAAAACACAACAAAAGTACCTGACACTATATGTAAAAACGCAAGCCAAAAATATTTCTTTTTATTCTCGAACAAAATTAACAATAAATATATTCCTGTTTTAAAACAATAGATATCACATTTTCTTTTTACAATTAAACGTTTCTATTGACATTTTGAGAATGCTGTTATGATAGTACTGGCGTGCGGTGTCCACCACGGGGTCGGCAGGCTAGAACTGAAGTGCTGTGGTGATAAAGTCCGAGATCTGACGGTTGGCCACCCGAGTGTAGATCCCTGGGTAGTAGGGCCGTGCACAACCCGAGCCGAACGACACGATGCCGTGGACCACCCAGCGGCCGTTGGTCAAGCACATCAGAGGTCCACCCGAGTCGCCCTGTAACAGAACATACACGGCATGTAGGGTTTCTTTCAGACAATTAGCTACAGGTACGGGGGGGGGGGAATTTGAATCTTCAGTTACAAGAATGGTTAAAATGTATTTTTCTATTTCGATTTAGTTTTTTATTTCAGTTTCGCCGAGAAGATGCCTGAAAGAACACTGGTTGGGTGGCGCATAATACAACAATCATACAGACAGTGGCGCATAATACAACAGTCATACAGACAGTGACGCATTATACAATAGTCATACAGAGAATGGCGCATAATACGACAGTCATACAGAGAATGGCGCATAATACGACAGTCATACAGACAGTGGCGCATAATACTACAGTCATACAGACAGTGACGCATAATACAACAGTCATACAGAGAATGGCGCATAATACGACAGTCATACAGACAGTGGCGCATAATACAACAGTCATACAGACAGTGACGCATAATACAACAGTCATACAGAGAATGGCGCATAATACGACAGTCATACAGACAGTGGCGCATAATACAACAGTCATACAGACAGTGGCGCATAATACAACAGTCATACAGACAGTGGCGCATAATACAACAGTCATACAGACAGTGGCGCATAATACAACAGTCATACAGAATACATCTTCAGCAAGTATTAACCCCCCCCCCCCCCCACACACACCCCCATCTACTCCATTACCTGACAGGTATCTATCCCGCCCTCCTTAAAGTTGCCGGCACAGAACTTGAGGTCGTTGATGTAACTGCCATACGACGTCTGACACAAGGCCGACTCTACAATAGGCAGCTCAATTTTACCCAGGTCGTAGAACAGGCGGCTAGAATAGACTGAAATCAAAAGTTTATCAAGGTCATACAACAGACGGCTAGAATAGACTGAAATCAAAAGTTTATCAAGGTCATACAACAGACGCATATAGACTGAAATCAAAAGTTTATCAAGGTCATACAACAGACGGCTATAGACTGAAATCAAAAGTTTATCAAGGTCATACAACAGACGGCTATAGACTAAAATCAAAAGTTTATCAAGGTCATACAACAGACGGCTAAAGACTGAAATCAAAAGTTTATCAAGGTCATACAACAGACGGCTAGAATAGACTGAAATCAAAACTTTATCAAGGTCATACAACAGACGGCTAAAGACTGAAATCAAAAGTTTATCAAGGTCATACAACAGACGGCTATAGACTGAAATCAAAAGTTTATCAAGGTCATACAACAGATGGCTATAGACTGAAATCAAAAGTTTATCAAGGTCATACAACAGACGGCTATAGACTGAAATCAAAAGTTTATCAAGGTCATACAACAGACGGCTAGAATAGACTGAAATCAAAAGTTTATCAAGGTCATACAACAGACGGCTAGAATAGACTGAAATCAAAAGTTTATCAAGGTCATACAACAGACGGCTAGAAAAGACTGAAATCAAAAGTTTATCAAGGTCATTCAACAGACGACTAGAATAGACTGAAATCAAAAGTTTATCAAGGTCATACAACAGACGGCTATAGACTGAAATCAAAAGTTTATCAAGGTCATACAACAGACGGCTATAGACTGAAATCAAAAGTGTATCAAGGTCATACAACAGACGGCTATAGACTGAAATTAAAAGTTTATCAAGGTCATACAACAGACGGCTATAGACTGAAATCAAAAGTTTATCAAGGTCATACAACAAACGGCTATAGACTGAAATCAAAAGTTTATCAAGGTCATACAACAGACGGCTGTAAGCTAAAATCAAAAGTTTATCAAGGTCATACAACAGACGGCTATAGACTGAAATCAAAAGTTTATCAAGGTCATACAACAGACGGCTATAGACTGAAATCAAAAGTTTATCAAGGTCATACAACAGACGGCTATAGACTGAAATCAAAAGTTTATCAAGGTCATACAACAGACGGCTATAGACTGAAATCAAAAGTTTATCAAGGTCATACAACAGACGGCTATAGACTGAAATCAAAAGTTTATCAAGGTCATACAACAGACGGCTATAGACTGAAATCAAAAGTTTATCAAGGTCATACAACAGACGGCTATAGACTGAAATCAAAAGTTTATCAAGGTCATACAACAGACGGCTAGAATAGACTGAAATCAAAAGTTTATCAAGGTCATACAACAGACGGCTATAGACTGAAATCAAAAGTTTATCAAGGTCATACAACAGACGGCTAGAATAGACTGAAATCAAAAGTTTATCAAGGTCATACAACAGGCGGCTAGAATAGACTGAAATCAAAAGTTTATCAAGGTCATACAACAGACGGCTGGAGTGGACCGGCTAATCACGTGATCTCAGTATATTTACGTAATGACTCCCTTTTTACTAACACTGGCCCCTTTTTAAAGTTACAAACTCACATGTTTCAATTGAACAATTACATTGTAATCCGGCCAAAAATTTATTGGAAAATGTTACTTGTATTGACAGGATTATTTCATAACTATCTTTTTAAAAATCCGAATTGCATCAAACTAATAATATAGCTTTTTTCTGATATCTATATATCTATCTCTCTATCAACAAACACGAACGTTTAACTTATCAACATGCTGGAACTTGAACATCTTTAAACAACAGCCAACTTACAACTGTCCACGCCCCATCCGGCAGCTACACAGTACTCAGCATTTCTTGGGTCATCATTGACGTTAGGCAGACATACAGGTGATACACAGTAGGAGTATGTCAGTGGTTTCGCTAAGGTGAGCACCGCTACGTCATAATCTGCAACATACAGTGGTTATAGCATTAGGTAGGCCTACACAAACATTAGCTTTAATTGAACATACTGTGGTTATAGCATTAGGTAGGTCTACACAAACTTTAGCTTTAATTCAACATACTGTGGTTATAGCATTATGTAGGCCTACACAAACATTAGCTTTAATTGAACATACTGTGGTTATAGCATTATGTAGGCCTACACAAACATTAGCTTTAATTGAACATACTGTGGTTATAGCATTAGGTAGGCCTACACAAACATTAGCTTTAATTCAACATACTGTGGTTATAGCATTATGTAGGCCTACACAAACATTAGCTTTAATTCAACATACAGTGGTTATAGCATTAGGTAGGCCTACACAAACATTAGCTTTAATTCAACATACTGTGGTTATAGCATTATGTAGGCCTACACAAACTTTAGCTTTAATTCAACATACAGTGGTTATAGCATTAGGTAGGTCTACACAAACATTAGCTTTAATTCAACATACAGTGGTTATAGCATTATGTAGGCCTACACAAACTTTAGCTTTAATTCAACATACAGTGGTTATAGCATTAGGTAGGCCTACACAAACTTTAGCTTTAATTCAACATACTGTGGTTATAGCATTATGTAGGTCTACACAAACTATAGCATGTAATACAACATGAAGGGGATATAATATTTCTACAAACAGTACAATGTTAAATACACACGGCCACAAGCCCACCAAACACACCATGTGGTAAATAATGGCCATAAGCCCACCAAACACACCATGTGGTAAATAATGGCCATAAGCCCACCAAACACACCATGTGGTAAATCATGGCCATAAGCCCACCAAACACACCATGTGGTAAATCATGGCCATAAGCCCACCAAACACACCATGTGGTAAATCACAGCCACAAGCCCACCAAACACACCATACACTCATGTGGTAAATATGGCCATAAGCCCACCAAACACACCATGTGGTAAATCACAGCCACAAGCCCACCAAACACACCATACACTCATGTGGTAAATCACGACCAGAAGCCCACCAAACACACCATGTGGTAAATTATGACAAACCTACCGTTGATGTTAGCCACGTGCCTGCGGTCCACATTGACCCTAGTGACGTAATAGCTCTGAAGTTTCTTGACATTGGATGAGCCAACACCGACAATGACACTGGATGCCGGCAGAACAGCGCCTGTTTGCCTGCAAGATAACAACTCTTTGACAACAACTCTTTGACAACAACTCTTTGATAACAACTCTTTGACAACAACTCCTTGATAACAACTCTTTGACAACAACTCCTTGATAACAACTCTTTGACAACAACTCCTTGATAACAACTCTTTGATAACAACTGTTTGATAACAGAGGCGTAGCGACCCTTCCCGGTGCCCGGGGACAAACTTTTCGATTTGCACCCCCCCTCAAACTTTCGATTTATTTTTCCAACCCATTTTGGCGCCCCCTAAGGTCGGCGCCCGGGGACATATGTCCCCCCCCCCCCTCCTCGCTACGCTACTACAACTCTTTGATATCAACTCTTTGATAACAACTGATATTCCATAGGGGTAGCTGAGACTCGTGCCATTGAGGTAAAGAAGAATATCTGCATAAATCTCTGTATATCCATGGACTAAGACATCTACGTATGTAGGTCTATCTGGTTGTACATTTGTAAGCCATTGTATCCTTATGGTAACTATGACACAAGTGTGTATAAACCGTGTATAAGACGCGTGAGTATGTAAACCTACCTGTCCTTCAGACAATGCGCTGCCGTCAGGATGTGCCTCGAATCCAAGATTGTCCCGCCACAGAAGAGGGACCCAGCGTTGACGGCCACGACCCAGGGGAACTCACACTCGCTGGCGTTCTCGTGGGGGACGGTTTTATATCTGGAGTGGTTGGGGCCACATTCGTAGGTGGCTGGACACGGGTCAAAACAAGACATTAAATACATACAGGTCAAAACTAGACATTTAATGTACACAGGTCAAAACAAGACATTTAATGTACACAGGTCAAAACAAGACATTCAATGTACGCAAGTCAAAACAAGACATTCAATGTACACAGGTCAAAACAAGACATTTAATGTACACAGGTCAAAATAAGACTTTTAATGTACACAGTCTACAACATATATGTCACAGGATTTAAGAAGTTATATATGAAGTCAGTGTAACATGCTCAGGAGAAACTGGCTAAAGACAAGTTTAAGACGACAAAGGTAAGTTGAAAAACATTGCATTAAAAAACGTTTTAATATCAACTGATAATACACTAAAAACGAGAAAATAAATGCTTTTCATTAATTATATAATCATACACTAAACTATTTGAATAACTATAAAGAAAAGCACAGGTCACTGTATTATCTATTGGATACCTTTACTAAAATTTAGGAAGAGACCCCACCCACGCTTTTCTTTTATATTTTATATATTTAAACAATATATTTTTCTCCTTTGTAGTGCATTATTATATAAACTATTTTGATTACAATACAAGGTTTTTTTATGCAGCTTTTTTTTTCAACGGGCCTACTTTAAATTTTTTAATTTACTACAGAGTTACATGACTAAAAGTTATTGCACACCAATTGAGCATGATAACGCGCGTATATTGTGGTGCGGAAAGAGTAGTAGAACAACCTACTAATTTAAGACAATTTTTTTAAATTCATTAACAATTAATTAGGAATCAAATTAAGTCATATTTAATGTCATATTACATTGTCTTTAAGTCTTGACCAATGTGCCAACTTTAAAACGAATTTGTCAGTTAGAAGTTCCCGAAATTTCGCTCGCTCGTTTCGATATATGATGACAGATAGATAGACTGACGACTGACGAAGCAAGTTAAATAAAAGCTTGTAAAAAGTAAAGGATGGGAGTCACCTACCATCAACAGGTGTCCTTAAGGTAGTTCGTGTACTGGTTGGTAGTGTTGGACTCACTGTAGTCTGCGGGACTGTAATTTAACAACAGTTTTAGTGACATCAATCATGCCACAACCATTTTAGGTGACATCAAAAACAACAGTTTTAGTGACATCAATCATGCCACAACCATTTTAGGTGACATCAAAAACAACAGTTTTAGTGACATCAATCATGCCACAACCATTTTAGGTGACATCAAAAACAACAGTTTTAGTGACACCAATCATGCCACAACTATTTTAAATGACATAAAAAACAACAGTTTTTGTGACACCAATCATGCCACAACCATTTTAAGTGACATCAAAAACAACAATTTTAGTGACATCAAATATATAACAACAATTTTAGTGACATGAAATATCCGAATATATTCTTAAAATAAATATTAAAAACTTTCTTTGTTAGTTGAATGGCTCTAGTTCTATGACGTGAGATTTGTGATTACCTCCCCCTGGGCAGTTCTTGGCACACTGTGTCATGTAGTTCTGTATAAAGTAAGTGGAGCTGACGAACGACGCGTACAGGTTGTATGTAGCCAAACACTGTCTGTAGCATAGTGAAGCTGTAGGACAGCAGAATATCTTTAGCATAGAGGCATGTTGGGGCATAGGGGAGGGTGGCCATTTAGAGGTGGAGGTGGATTACAGCTCCAAAAGGAGGGTGGATTACATGTAACAGCTCTAAAGATGATATGTTATGTGATTGAAAACGAAAGATGCACCCAATAACAACTATAAATATAATATGTTGTGTGATTGAGAATGAAAGATGCACCCAATACAGCTCTAAAGATGATATGTTATGTGATTGAAAACGAAAGATGCACCCAATACAGCTCTAAAGATGATATGTTGTGTGATTGAAAACGAAAGATGCACCCAATACAGCTCTAAAGATGATATGTTATGTGATTGAAAACGAAAGATGCACCGAATACAGCTCTAAAGATGATATGTTGTGTGATTGAGAAGGAAAGATGCACCCAATAACAACTCAAAAGATGATATGTTATGTGATTGAAAACGAAAGATGCACCGAATACAGCTCTAAAGATGATATGTTGTGTGATTGAGAAGGAAAGATGCACCCAATAACAACTCAAAAGATGATATGTTGTGTGATTGAGAACGAAAGATGCACCGAATACAGCTCTAAAGATGATATGTTGTGTGATTGAGAAGGAAAGATGCACCCAATAACAACTCAAAAGATGATATGTTGTATGATTGAGAACGAAAGATGCACCGAATACAGCTCTAAAGATGATATGTTGTGTGATTGAGAAGGAAAGATGCACCCAATAACAACTCAAAAGATGATATGTTGTATGATTGAGAACGAAAGATGAACCCAATAAAACCCCAGCACAAGTTACTCACCATCTGACGTCTGACCTTGAGCACCCGGCAGGTTTAGACAAGAGTGGATGAGTACAGCCAAAAAAAAATCGGTGGTTAAGGACCTTTTCATGGACATTTTTGTTTCTGAAACAAAAGATTTTTTAAAGATATTTGTATGACTCTCACTTAGTATCGCTTCTAATGGTTCGTATCTGTACATCCATCTCACACTGAGGCTTACATGCGCTCTATAACATTTGTCAATAAGATCAAACGCAGTTGTAATCTACTAACAAACCTAAGTTTGACTGGGTTATCCCCCATTGAGTCACCTCCCTGTGTAATGTTGACCTTGTTGACCTACAGAACTAACGTAGATTTACACCCATAATGCCCATTCCTTTTTTTTTAACCGATGTACAATACAAGCATGAGGGATTTAAGGGAAACGTTTAATCTTTTGATCTTATTACATATGTAGGCCAGTTACAGAACTTTAGTTATATGTCATTTGTACCCACTTATAGCAATCGACTGTTCTTGTTGACAAAAATGTAGCCTCGTATAAATTAAATTACTGTTGCAACGTTTTATCGTTAAATTGTCACAATCTAAAATAACTATCTCTCAAATCTTTATTTAACAGTATAGTTTTTGTACATATTAACAAGTAAATCACTTCTAGTTAAAGTAAAATTGCCTTGCTTTCAAACACACAAGTCAGGAGTATCGATAAACTTTTAGTTTTTAAAAAGTAATGTCACAAATTAACTTACATTTATTATTTCGCGTTTTATAAAATTATTTTGTAAACAGTAATAATAATTGATTAATAACTCAATGTTAACCAAGGTCTGTTAACATTAGAGATAGGAAATCGTCGTTAAAAAAACAACAAAAAAACCCCCACAAGTTTGAGGGGTTAGGATGAAATGTTACGTCACATTCAGACTTTTTAATGACATAGTGAGAATATCCGCATCGGGGGAGGTAAAACGCGTTTTTAAAAATGCGTTTCGTCATTTATAGATGTCCACTTACTAGAATGAAGTTCCACCAAATAGAATATACAACATTTGTTATCCAAAGACGGAAATATATCTTTTACCTTAAATAAAAAATGCTTTGATATAAGGTAAGACTAGCAAACAATACAAGATGACCTTGATATTGCGGCAAGTTTTAACACCTACAGAAACAAGGGTTCATTGAAGCACTTACCTGCTGATATTTCTCGGTGTAAGAACAAACCCTGGACCCCAGACGTTTAAAAACTTGAAACCCCTTTTATACCCTGACAAAGCCTTCTGTCTTTCAGGGAACAAACAACAGACTTGCGTTAAACGGCACATGTTTCAAGAAAGCATTGTAAAACTTCGTAAAACAACTCATTTAAACGAATGTTGCTTTAAGCCAGTTTTACAGCTGATGGTATTTAGATTTTCTTTAGTAAAGATTGGTTTCATTGTCATTCCGGACATGCACCCACATTATAAAGGAAATGGACATTTTTCCCCCATGACGTCACACAACAATCGGAAGTTTAGTGTGTTTGAAGAAGAGCCCATTGAATGGACGTCTTCGTAGTGTTGTTTCGCTTTGATTTTTAAATCCGGTTCAAAGACAGCGCTATCTAGCTTTGTTTCTACATCCGATTCAAATATTTCGTCAGCTTTGATGGTACGTGACAGCAACAGACAGGATTGGTGAGGCAGGTCTGTCTTTAATTGGACCAGAAGGCACTGCCTGTTTTTCGTAAAAGTGCAATTAAGATAAAATGCCACACAAAACCTAGCTCCCAGCCACACAAAACCTAGTTCTCTGCCACACCAAAACCTAGTTCCCTGCCACACCAAAACCTAGTCCCCTACCACACCAAAACCTAGTCCCCTGCCACACCAAAACCTAGTCCCCTGCCACACCAAAACCTAATTCCCAGCCACACCAAAACCTAGCTCCCAGCCACACCAAAACCTAGCTCCCAGCCACACCAAAACCTAGTCCCCTGCCACACCAAAACCTAGTCCCCTGCCACACCAAAACCTAGTTCCCTGCCACACCAAAACCTAGTACCCTGCCACACCAAAACCTAGTCCCCCGCCACACCAAAACCTAGTCCCCTGCCACACCAAAACCTAATCCCCTGCCACACCAAAACCTAGTCCCCTGCCACACCAAAACCTAGTTCCCAGCCACTCCAAAACCTAGTCCCCAGCTACACCAAAACCTAGTCCCCAGCCACACCAAAACCTAGTCCCCTGCCACACAAAACCTACCCCTGCCACACCAAAACCTAGTCCCCTGCCACACAAAACCTAGTCCCCTGCCACACCAAAACCTAGTCCCCTGCCACACCAAAACCTAGTCCCCTGCCACACCAAAACCTAGTCCCCTGCCACACCAAAACCTAGTCCCCTGCCACACCAAAACCTAGTCCCCTGCCACACCAAAACCTAGTCCCCTGCCACACCAAAACCTAGTTCCCAGCCACACCAAAACCTAGTCCCCTGCCACACCAAAACCTACCCCTGCCACACCAAAACCCTGTCCCCAGCCGCACCAAAACCTAGTTCCCTGCCACACCAAAACCTAGTCCCCTGCCACACCAAAACCTAGTTCCCAGCCACACCAAAACCTAGTCCCCTGCCACACCAAAACCTAGTCCCCTGCCACACCAAAACCTAGTCCCCTGCCACACCAAAACCTAGTTCCCAGCCACACCAAAACCTAGTCCCCAGCCACACCAAAACCTAGTCCCCAGCCACACCAAAACCTAGTCCCCTGCCACACAAAACCTAGTTCCCAGCCACGCCAAAACCTAGCTCCCAGCCACACCAAAACCTAGTCCCCTGCCACACCAAAACCTAGTCCCCTGCCACACCAAAACCTAGTCCCCAGCCACACCAAAACCTAGTTCCCTGCCACACCAAAACCTAGTCCCCTGCCACACAAAACCAACCCCTGCCACACAAAAATCAACCCCAGCCACACCAAAACCTAGTTCCCTGCCACACCAAAACCTAGTCCCCTGCCACACCAAAACCAACCCCTGCCACACAAAAATCAACCCCAGCCACTCCAAAACCTAGTTCCCAGCCACACCAAAATCTAGCCCCTGTTACCAGAGTTTCTTCCAGGCATCTCTTCGGGGGGTCGAAGCCGCCCTGAAAATTTTTTACCCCCCCCCCGAAAGGAATGAAATTTATATAATTTATATAGAAAATATATACTTTTAACAGTGTACGCCCCCCCCCCCCCCCCCGAAGAAAGTTTACCGCCCCCCCCGAAGATATCAAGTGCCCCCCCCCCCCCCGGAGAAAAAAATCTGGAAGAAACACTGCCTGTTACACCAACAAAATCTATCCCCTGTTACACCAACAACAAAAAAAACCCCACAATTATCAATAATATTTTCAATAATAGATCTGCATAGTTTCCTCAGGAAGAAGCAAACTACATGACTAACTGACCTTTGACCTTGCCAGAACTCACCAATGACACATCTTTGTCCGGGACAAGAACACGATTACCGTCCTACAAAAATCCCCTTTCGTTGCTCTATCTCATTTAGTATTCAAGGCAGCCACCAGCCCAATGTTGACGGATTCTCCCTCCTCGCATAACCCTTTTCTTGAACATAGGGCATCTTGCAGCTATTGAAGCTGTGTGTTTGCACGACGCTTATCTGGTCAACACTTAAATTAAACAAAGTGCTACAAGCACATTTGAAAGATAAATGTTATTACTTTACTGCGCATTGGGTCTATGATAAATTTCTTGAGAATTTTTCAACGAAACAATTTGACTTTTTACTTTCTCGTTTACAGAGCGTAGAGAAAGAAGAAAAAAAGACAAATCTCGACGTTTGAAACCACCGCGATTCGGAAAACCCCATCTTGTCTGTGTCTCTATTTCTCTAATTCTCTCTCTCTCTCTCTCTCTCTCTCTCTCTCTCTCTCTCTCTGTGTGTATGTGTGTGTGTGTGTGTGTGTGTGTGTGTGTGTGTGAATCCACGATAACTTGATTACCGGTAGAAGTTTTATATATAAGACGCATTAGGCAAATGAAGTAGAGTTCATCTGTTTCAATGACCTTGGGTCACAGGGGTTAGCACTATGTTCAGCCGCTTTGTTTCCATAAGGTGATGGGTGAGTCAGGTACCCAACAGAGCTGGATGGTCTCAATGACGCCTGACAGACTCCAGCTTAGGATCCGAACTCGAGACTTTTCAGATTAGCAGTCGTTTGCTCCACCTACACTTTGAAGTTTTTATCATCATTTGATCAATTTCCGGTAACCGGAACTCGTATTTGCTCTGTTTCCGGTTTGGACGTTTTTTTAATGAGACAGTATTCTTTATATGAATTATTTATGTTACAACTACACTGGGCAAACATGGGCTTAAAATATTCATACATTTCTTAAGGCATTTGCTTGAATGAATGCAGTTTATCCAAAGGTTGTTTTCCTGACTTTTTGACAAAAGCACGAGCGGACGTGGACCAACCCCGGAGAAAAAAGTCTGGAAGAAACACTGGACGTGGTCAAACCCTCACTGTGGACAAACAACATGTGTGCTAGGCACAGTCAAAGCACCTGCGGCCAAAGCATCTATGTATGTGTAATCGGAAAATCTTAGCAATGTATGTTTCCGTGGATTTTAGAATAAGAGGCGGATTTTATTCTTTTACTAAAATATGCAGATATCTGTGTGAAATATATCTTTCTACCTATAAACACAGACACATACAAATTCAAATACGCATGCATAAACACACACGCATAGCGATAACTCTCATTATTGATTTATGTGTTTGTGGAATCTCGTATGTGCGAAATCGTTTCACTTGAGCTTTTTGCTGCTTCGCATTTTTCTGAGTATGCATTTTACAGTGTGCCGAAATTTCTCCTTATGTAGTTTTCATTTTTTTTTTCTAGAGATCTAGATCTAGATCTACAAGTCTACATGAGAACTTCTCTTCGTGCATTTTCGGTGTGCATTCTAGCTTCGCTTTTTTCTACATATGTGTTTGTGCTTTTGCTATGTGTGGCTGTGCTACAATATGACTAAATAATATTTCGGTAAATGGTTATACCGTTGATAGTTTTAAAAAGTAAATAAAAATGGCCGAAAGGGGAGTAAATGATGTTAACCCGTTTTCATTTAAAACATTTGTCGGGAAAGACAAAAAGGTTTCGACGCAAAGAAATGTAAAAAAATCAGAAATAGACACCGATGATATTTTTGGAGTTGATAAAGCATCAGACGTGCTTCAGATAAAAGAAAACGTCAATTTAGAGAAGTCTAGTTTTTCACTTGTGGTGGAAGTAGATGAGGGCGGTGGAGGTAAAAAAGTAAACAGTAAAATAAAAACATGCCTAGACCTAGATCTAGGCCTATTAACTAATAATTAAATTAGAACCTGGGGAAATCGGTAATCTATCGCTTTAGCGTAATCAATTCGGCCGTCACTAGTAATGTAGGGATAAGGTAACTAATAAATATGGCTTAAATATGGATATATTTTTGCATATTTTACTAAAATACTAAAGATAATTAAATATTAAACCACATTTAAGGTTTAAATCAATAAAAATGTCAGGAAATTAAAGTTTAACAACGATGTTACAGATACTAAATTTGCTATTAAAAACAGCGGCCATCTTAAGAAAATATTATTTTGAGTCATTTCCCTTTAATTTCTATTTGTATGGAAATGTATTGATGTTTGCTATTAAATAGGTTAGTCTTGTGTTTAAATACAAAGCATGCGTTTTTTTTTTTTTAATTCTGCCCTTTAAACAATTTAATTGACGACAATAAACATCAGTTCTAGAATTATTATTATGAGATGCAATTTTTATACATTAAGATACTCCCTATTTTTATAGAGCTACCACTACATATCTAATGTTTATTTAAATATTAGTTTGAGTTCATTCTTATTGTTTGTGTTATTGTTTGTTTCCTATTTTCATTTAATATTTTCAAGCTTTTTTCCTTTAATTAGTGATTTAATCATAAATGACGTCCCGTTTTTTGACCTCTCTTCTGCTTAACCTCCCCCCCCCCCCCACCCATTTTCGCCGTCACGAAATAGTTGTAATGTCGAAAATTACCTTTTTGCCCTGTCTGTTAAAGTCAAGCCATAATTCTAATGAAAAATATTTTTATCATTTTTGTATTAGGCGAAATACATAACGTTTCACGTTTCTTACCCCTCCCACTTCCCGCGTAAAACGTCGTCTCAAAACCAGTTACTCCACCCCTTAAGTGTGCGATGTCATTTAGGGTAGATGTCAAGTCCTATATACATTTTGAATAACCTTTGTTGTCAAAATGTTGATACCAAATACCCAAAATGAGTTATATGGGGTTGCCCATAAACGATGTCACATATGCAATGCTAATGTGACGTCAACTTACGCAGGGTGGTCGGGGGGGGGGGGATGCGTGACGTCTATTTTGGAATCTTCTATAAAGCTGTGCTCAATGAAAATGAGGAACATAAAGCGTTCGTTTTCATGCATACATTTGTTCATAACTATTGCATGCCTGTTGTACTAAGCGGTGTTAAACAACCTCAGCACACCATCCCCGCCAAAAAGGGCCTGCCACTAAATGCCTACCGACGAAATTAGGCCGCACTATATTGACTCCAAATGAAATAACTTCTGACAACAAGGCTCAAACCAAGTAGCTCCTGTCCACAATATTCGACAAGTATTGACTAGCAGGTAAAATGGGACAAATCGAAAGTTGAAAGTTTGTCGCCTCTGGGGGGTGACACCATTAAGTGCCGCACCGGGTGACACTCGACCTCGCTACGCCACTGAGCTAATGTAAAGCCACAGATCAGTATAGCCTTGAATTTAACATAAAATAGTGTTAGCAGTGGACAGCCTCTAAGACTGTGCATTAGGAGTACGGCCGTCGGCAAAACGCCAGAGTCCGACGATATCTGAACATCAGTTTTGTCTTTTATGAAGTGCGGAGCACCTTTAAGACCTGAGCTTGGCCCCTGTTGACACCACCACTAGCGCCGCTTATGTCCACATAATAATCACACGTTTTGCGTGGAGCTTAATGGACAGACGTTTACAGGTGGGACCGGGAGCCTAAATGCATTTACCGAAGCCGCTGTGTCACGGGCATTTTAGAGCCGAACGTCTCAGGGCAGCAGGTTGCAGAAATTAAAAGCACGTGAATTTGTATAGTAGAGGGAGAACATCATGCCACTGTAATAAATTAAACACCAATATAATTCACCGAACTAAAGTTATTTAGATCTATTAGTCAGGCTAAACGTCGTTAAAGTCTCATCGCCATAGTGATTTAGTGCCTGTTTTGATTTTCTTTTAATTACGCGGTATCTTTCTTAAACATTAGCCTAATGACAAATGACGTCACGCGCGCCGCGAACTTTGTGACGTTGTGCTTAGTGGGGGATGAAACGGCGTGGTTGTGAAAAATGACGTATTTCTTTTTTTTTTAACAGACGAATAAGTGATAGATTCTAATTTTCCTACGAACTATACGTTGATCTAGTTTTTTTTTTCTAGAGGGGGATATCACTATATTGTGATGGGCGGTTTATATATAATCTCAATATATTCTGATCTACTACTATTCATACGGCAACTATTATACTCGTGAGGAGGACGGGAATCACTCTTATGTTCCGCAGACACTAATTAACAATGTCAACAACTTAGTTTATGAAATAACATGAACTTAATTAACACACACTTATAGATCATTTTCACAATATCAAATAATACGTCCGTTTTCTACTATATCTAACCCCCAACTAACTTCACTGTTGCGTCTTACGTCATCGGTACATTGTCGCACCATGCTCACGTCACACTCACGCCACAAATATTTTGTTGAACACGCGCACAATACTCTCGCACCAAATCGTCTACCGTCCTTAGTAACCTCTACTCGTCTAGTCTAATTCTATATATCTACGCTATGACACATATAGTGGGTGTTTTTTTTTTTTTGGTGTGGTAATAATGGATGGTGGGGAGGGGTAAAGATTGACTACTGAAGAAATCAAAAATTGATGACAGCAGAAGGCAAAGAAAAAAAAACCATGTGGTATTCAAATGTAACAAATTAAAATTTGAACCTATTTTAAAAAACACAATAATCTTAATTCAGAAAAAGTGTAGGCCTAAGACTAATGTCTACAGACAAAACAACTAGGCTTAATTAAATGGATCGCCCATAAATGACGTCATACTTTTCCCGACAATTTCCCTCTCACCCAATAGTTACTAAAAGCAAGATGATGATTTAATATCATTTCGCAGTTCTACTATACCCGAACCCTTAATCACAATTTCTAACGAAAACGAATATATTCTTCATCATTTTTGAAATAATATTTTACACCGTCCCATATTTTGAGTCCAACGTCATTTATGAGGAATATGGACGACCTAATAATTGGCAAGTTAAGGGGTCATCCATAAATGACGTCACGCTTTTTTTACGATTTTTACCTCCCCCCCTCCCCTCCGTCACACGTTGTCACAAAAAGTCAGACCCCCCCCCCTAAAATGACGTCACACATCAGCCTACAACCCCCCCCCCCCAAAAAAAAAATTGCAGTTGATTTTTTTTTAAAACATCGATATTTTTCCAAAATCTTGTCTGAAATATGTCAAAATATAGTATTTTAATCAATTCCTATTATAATTTATTAAAACTGTTTTTTAAAAAGCTAAATAATGTCTAAAATTCGTTTTCTAACATTTCTTATCTATAAAGCAAAAGTGTGACGTAGCACCATCTGAACCCCCCCCCCCCCCCTCTCCCCCTCATCACACATCGTCACAAAATTACCGACCCCCCCCCCCCCCCCCCCCCTCCCCCCTACGATTGTGACGTCATTTATGGACGACCCATAATCAGTACAAAAGGGTTTAGTAAATGTTGGACCTCCCAAAATTTTTTGAGATCTTGGATGTACATACATACATAGCCTTCATTCACTTGAAAATGAAATTAAAGATAAGAAGACGGCCCTCTGTCTTACTTATATTAAACAAGACAGGTATGTATATTAAACAACAAAGTCAACACAATATACATACGAATAGACATTTTTATCCAGGGAAACTACTCTAAATTTTATTTGGAAAGATGGCCGCTGTTTTTTTTCTACTAATATTTATCTCAAACACCTAGTTTAAAGTTAGTTTCATGTTATTTAAATTGTTTTGGTCACTGTTTGTTATTTTAAATCAATTATCTGTGATATTTTGTAAAATTTGACTTAAATAAACTTATTTAAACAAATATATTCATCAGCTACCTCTACCGCACATTACTACTGCAGCCGAATTGATTACGCTAAAACGATAGATTACCGGGAAATCTATCATATTATATTAGGTACGAAAAATCGGCCAAGGCTAGTATTGTAATGTGAAAGAAAGGTGACTCATCACAAAAATGAAGTAAACCAGTTAGGTAGCATCTGATGAAAACAGTAAAAAACATAGCTGTCACTGTCAGCTGATCTTTAGCGTCTTTAGGTTAGGCCTAGATCTATATTATATTTATTTAGTATTTAGAGAGTCTAGGCCGGTAAAACTCCATTTTAGCTTATTTTATTCCCCGGTTCACGTTCACCTCCAGTTGAGTGGATTTTATTATAAACACAACCGAACCACACAAAAACGTTTGGAAATCACTCAGCCTATTTTTTTTTTGAATCTTTGGTTTAGTTTTTTAAATTAATTTTGTCAAAACTTGAGAAAAATCCATAATTTTTACTATTGAATGAATGTGTACTATTTATTTAGATCTAGATTTAACTTTTTAGCGCAATTTCCATACTGGCAATTGCGTTTAATAATGCGTCATTTCTGGATGGATGGATGGATGTGTGTCCGCAGCTTTAAGTCGTATCTCCTCCTCAACGAAGCAATATCGAGGACTAGTTCCAAAAGCAAATATGTTAAGCAAGTTCCAAGGGTGATTGTGGGCCAAAAAAATTCCCGGAATTCCTTCCTGGATTTCCCGGAAAAGCCAAAAAACCTCAAACAAATGCAGTTTTTGCTCCATATCTCGGCAATCAGACCACTTAGCGACTTGAAACATTTACCAATCGATTCCTGCCATAATTTAGAACAATATTGCAGAAGAAAGTTTTCAAAAATATCCATTCGTTCGGTCACAAAAAATTAATTAAGAACATTTAAACTGAGCATCGTGTAGGCCTAAGATGATATTTACTACTTTTTTAAACTGAGCATCTTGTAGGCCTACTCGTTAAAATAAAACTATTTCCGTTGATATAGGTTAATATAGTTGTCTTTTTTTTTACTTATTAATTCAAACGTTATTTTTGTACCCTATTAATTTATTTATAATTTATATGAGAGTGATAGGGAGTTACAATTACAAGGTTTAGTTTCGCTAGGCCTAATCATTTTTTCACATTTAAAAAAAAATTAATTAAGGAAATTGCGCTTACATTTTCACTAGACTTTTTATTAACTTGTTTTTTCTTGAAAATGTGTTTGTGTCAGTTAAGATTTTCATGGCAATGCGTAAAGTAGAAACGCATAATTGCAAGACATGACTGGATACTATAAATTAACTTAATGAACTCACAGTCACTGTAAGCTATGACGTATGCTGATAATTAAAGTCAAAGTGAACTCACGTTGAACCCTTGATCTTGTAGGGATTTTTCTCACGCCAACAATCACATGCTATTTAGGCTAATTGGAACTGTAATGATAATTAATAATATTTTTAACTTTTTCTAATTAAAACTTATTCAGAAAAAATAATTAGATTTATATCTATCAACTAATGATTCTAAACCTAGTGTTTTCCTTACATTTTTGTGTGTTTTGGTTTTGTTTGTAATAAAATACGCTCAACCGGAGGTGAACGTGAAGCGGCGAATAAAATACTCTAAAATGGAGTTTTACAGTCTAGGCCTAATACTGAAATTTTTAATATAATTGTATAAAAAAAAACAGGTACATGAAATATTTTTATCAATTTTAAAACACAAATCCTCATTAAAATGTAAAATTATTACCAAAATTTAATGAGTCACCTTTCATTCACCTTACTAGTACTAGCCACAGCTGATTTTATGTACCTAAAACAATAAATTACCAAATCTGGATTTAGGCTACTGTTTTTATTAGGCCTACTGTTATTATTATTATAATTATGTTACATTGATAGCTAAATGACCTCAATTGTGTACTACTTGATACAGGCCTAGGCCTAGAATTAGAATCTAGATCTCTTTCTAATTCTATTCTCTGAGTTAGTAGGCCTTATAATCTTATATTAGTATATAAAAGTATATAGACAGGCCTATTAACTATTATTAGTATTATTTACTTTAGGTCTAGGCCTATCTAATTTCTATTCTCGAGTAATGAGTGCCGTGAAGTAAAATCGCCCTATGGACATGGTTTATTAGCATAATTAGCATTAGGCTAGCCCAATCTAGATTTCTAGCTTAAATAAAATTATGATGATTTTAAATGGAAACATTTAACAACAGGCCTACTAACTTTGATTATTGTAGGGCCCAAAAAAACTCTCCTGAAAAAAATCAGCCAAGTATTTGGGACTGATATAATATTAAATCACATTAAAATGAATATTAGAAGAAAATAATGAAATACATTTTATGATACAGTAACAAATTTTAAGTATATCAGGCTGTTTCTAACTAGGTGGTATTCAGTCTACACAATATAAAAGATGTTCAATCATTTACACAATAAAAATAGGTTGTTCAGTCATCGACAAATTTTGGACGCTGTAAAAATTGGAACATCAGATTCACTGTACTTGAAATAAGATTGTGTGGGTATTGGTGCATTAAAACTATACAAACTATTTAAAAATTTAATTTCTGCATCCAAGTTCTTGTTGGAATTCAGGTGCATACATTTTTTGCAGATATCAGCCCTTTTTCCCTCAACAAGCCTACCTATTGGATGAGGGTAAAATGCAAGACTAAAACGTCACGTAATCTGCCGTTTTCAAACCACTCTTGCATTTCATTGCCTTGCCATTTTATGTTTTGGGCCTCGCGTTTTACCAAGACCCTTTTGCACCCTTCTTTCATTTTATCTGCCACTCCATACATTTTTAGGTCTAATGAGAATCTAACTACCTTTTTTGCTAATATTTTGTTTCTTTTGTATTACTAACTCAACTAACGCTGATTATTTTTCATGCAATTCAAATTGAAAATTTCTAATTTTTAACCAAACTACCTATAGTCAAACTAAGAGTTTGGCGGCTAATCCCAAAATTATTTTTGTTCAAAGTGCATATGCCTTGGGTCTTTACAACCAATTCATACTTGTCATGACACCATTCAATTCATACTTGTCATGACACCATTCAATTCATAATTGTCATGACACCATTCAATTCATAATTGTCATGACACCATTCAATTCATACTTGTCATGACACCATTCAATTCATACTTGTCATGACACCATTCAATTCATAATTGTCATGACACCATTCAATTCATACTTGCCATGACACCATTCAATTCATACTTGTCATGACACCATTCAATTCATACTTGTCATGACACCACTTCCAAATAGATCAGGCAGACTAAATTTTATTAGTCATACATGGTATAAAAAAGTATAAGTTGTGGCAGGATAAAAGAAGTCACATTTTAATCAGAAGTGTGTGATCCATGTGTACAGAGGGGACTATGCTAGTCCTAATGGACTAAAATAGATTTGTCAATATGTTAAAAGTGTTTTAGTTCTAGAAGTTTTTTAAAAAGCACTGGTAAAAAATGCGTTTTGCCTTTTTTTACTAGTCACTATCCTTATTATCAGTCATTATCACTTTTTCATTTGCTGTTGATGAATAGAATTTCCTCTACTCACTAGATCAAATGGTCAAGTAATAAGAAACTGTGCTGTTGTTCTATGGCTGCAGGCTGCACTAGACATGTTATAGTGTTAGAGCTATGTTGTCCCTTGTACAAAGTTTTTAGAACGTTAACTTGTGCAGTCACCTTGCGATATAAAATATAAAAAGTTGACTTAAATATGTGATGGGACAGGTAGATGGCTTGAATTGACATCTATCCCATCAGTTACGGGTTCAAAACTGTGCATGTATTTGACCATAATGGCTTTATCAGCAACATGTGAGCATGTTTTGGTTTGCTTGTTTGTTACTTTAAAATTATTATAAATCATAATTTATTCATAGCTTGCGTGTAATACTATTTTTTTAGGAGATTTAATATTTTCTTACTGTTTTCTTAGGTTCTTCAAAGAAAGAGAAACAAAAAGACAACCCATTTTCATTCAAAAAGTTTTTGTCTTCCACCTCTAGCCAAAGCAAAGGGGGAGCAGATTCATTATTTCCCCTAGTCCCTGACTCAGTCAGTGATCTCCCCTTGGCTGGCACAGACATTCCTCCCTCCAGCATTATTCCAACAGCTCAACTATTAGAACCAAAGTTGAATACAAGCTTACCAACAGTAGACTGTGATCTGATAGCAGATTCTTTCTTACAGTTGCCTAACCACAGCACCAGTTCAAGCCATGAGCTTGTTTTAAAGCAGAGTTCTTTCAATGACATTGAGTATGAAGATGAAATTGACAACAGTATATTGACTGACAATGGCAGAAAGAAGTTAGCACTTCCAGATTTTTTGTCAGATGGAGCAGCTCTCAGTGGCCACAAGTCCTCTTCAAATACTATAGAGAAAAACCTGTTGTGTGGACATGAAGATCTGTTGGAAGAAATTAGAATAGTAAGTTAGGTATGCTTGTCATTTGCCTAAGTTAATATATCAACTAGTTTGGAGGGTCCAATAATACCTGATGTGGTACACATTTCATACAAGTGTTCAAACATTTTAATTTCAGCTTAAAGAGGAAAACATAAAGCTGCAGGGTGAGCTGATGATAGAAAGACAGTCTAGTAGTGAGAAAAATCAAAAGTCAGTACCAACAGATACATTGTGAAATCTTTGTTGACATTTTATCTCAACAGATATATAATTACATCATTGTTTACCAAAAGTATCATCACATCGCTTGTTAGATCATTACATTCTTCTAGTTTAGTTGTAGATACCCTTTCGAATTGTTTTAGTGTTAAAATTTGATTTTTTTTTCAACCAATAAATTCATAGATAAAAAGCAAAAACACGAGTTTGATTTCTATTGGCCAGACTTCTGCAGCTGAAAATAGATTTAGAGCGTCAGAAAAAGAAAGAACTAGAAGAAACAGCTGTTCTGGAACGTGCTGTGCAGCAAGTGGAAGAAAATCTGGTCACAACCACTGTAAGTCTTGCCATATTGGACCTGTTCTAGATCTTTCATTTATTGGAATACATACTTTTATAACAAAATAATTCCAAACCAAATTTACAATTGCCAAAACAGCTGAATTTTTCACCACACGTCCTGATTATCAAATGCCATAAGTCCTGATTATCTAATGCTTCAAGTCCTGATTGCATATTTTTCCTGATAATACTTTGTCCATGTTATACTTGCAGAATTGTGCAGTTCAGGCAGAATCTACTGTAGCAATGCTGAAAAAAGAGATCAAAGTGTTGAATGTGAGTTTGACACTAAAATGTTTACTGCTTCATTTATATTTATCAACATCTAAGCTAAAAAGCACTAATAGTTTTATTAAAGCTGTTATTAAAGTTGTATTGTGTAAAGATATCTCCATGTACAAGATGTATTGTGTAAAGATATCTCCATGTACAAGATGTATTGTGTAAAGATATCCCCATGTACAAGATGTATTGTGTAAAGATATCCCCATTTACAAGATGTATTGTGTAAGGATATCTCCATGTACAAGATGTATTGTGTAAAGATATCCCCATATACAAGATGTATTGTGTAAAGATATCCCCATGTACAAGATGTATTGTGTAAAGATATCCCCATGTACAAGATGTATTGTGTAAAGATATCCCCATGTACATGATATATTGTGTAAAGATATCTCTGTGTACAAGATGTATTGTGTAAAGATATCCCCATGTACAAGATGTGTAAAGATATCCCCATGTACAAGATGTATTGTGTAAAGATATCCCCATGTACAAGATGTATTATGTAAAGATATCTCTGTGTACAAGATGTATTGTGTAAAGATATCCCCATGTACATGATGTATTGTGTAAAGATATCCCCATGTACAAGATGTGTTGTGTAAAGATATCCCCATGTACAAGATGTGTAAAGATATCCCCATGTACAAGATGTATTGTGTAAAGATATCTCCATGTACAAGATGTATTGTGTAAAGATATCCCCATGTACAAGATGTATTGTGTAAAGATATCTCTGTGTACAAGATGTGTAAAGATATCCCCATGTACAAGATGTATTGTGTAAAGATATCCCCATGTACATGATGTATTGTGTAAAGATATCCCATGTACAAGATGTGTAAAGATATCCCCATGTACAAGATGTATTGTGTAAAGATATCTCTGTGTACAAGATGTATTGTGTAAAGATATCCCCATGTACAAGATGTATTGTGTAAAGATATCTCCATGTACAAGATGTGTTGTGTAAAGATATCCCCGTGTACATGATATATTGTGTAAAGATATCCCCATGTACAAGATGTGTAAAGATATCCCCATGTACAAGATGTATTGTGTAAAGATATCCCCATGTACAACATGTATTGTGTAAAGATATCCCCATGTACATGATGTATTGTGTAAAGATATCCCCATGTACAAGATGTATTGTGTAAAGATATCTCCATGTACAAGATGTTTTGTGTAAAGATATCCCCATGTACAAGATGTAGTATTGCATAAAGATATCTCTGTGTACAAGATGCATTGTGTAAAGATATCCCATGTACAAGATGTATTGTGTAAAGATATCCCCATGTGCAACATGTAATGTGTAAAGATATCCCCATGTACAAGATGTGTAAAGATATCCCCATGTACAAGATGTAGTATTGTGTAAAGATATCTGTGTACAAGATGTGTAAAGATATCCCCATGTAAAGTTGTGCCCTCTGACCTTTAGAGCCAGATCAAAAGTTTGCTGCTGGAGAACGAAGCTTACAAGTCAGGAGACGGCGGTCTGTCAGATATCAGAGAGAGGACCAAGTACACAGCTGACCAGCTACACACAGCTGCAGCTGGGGCAGAAAAAAACATCAAGTGAGTCCCAGCTTGCTTTCTAATGGAATCTCCTTCTAGATGTCAACCTTTCATGTAGCCCCACTTTCCTCCTGGTACATTCTCTCATCAGCCACCATTTTGTTTCTTCCTCAGAGAACTTCTGACAGGGGTAGATAAGCTCAGGCTGCTGTCTCAAGTTTTGGCATCTTTAGAAAAAGTATCAGAGGTGAAACCAGACAGTCCAGAACATGACACCAAACCCTCATGAGAGCACTCAGCTCTCTTGGACTTGCTTTATTTATTTACAATTCTTTTAGTGTATTATGGATTTTTACATTTCTAGTTTTTATCATGTTACGTACTACATATGCAATGTGGTATTGTCAATCTAATATTTACTGTTCCATATGTTTATTTCCTGCATAAAATTGTCAGAATGTCTTTCAATATTTGTGATTAAACTGGTGTATTGCACACCTATGGTACATTACAAGAAACTTTTTTTTCTTATTTTTAACTGTACAATGTTAGGAAATTTTGTCAATCCATAGCAATCATCAGTTTTCTATTCTCTTGCATATTGACTAATTAGGGTACCTATTCCGCGTCAGCTACCTCTGAAGGAAGGAGATTTAAGTACACTACTGATGATAACAATAAATTTTCTTTGTGTCATTTTTATTAAAACTTTTCAATATTCTTTCAAATATGGAAAACATTTTAAAGTTGGGTTTTACTTTTTATATTCAAGTGCTTGTGGAACTCTTATGGCCAGTTGGTCAGGGTAGAACTAATGGCTTACACTAATGGCCACTGGTCAGGGTAGAACTAATGGCTTACACTAATGGCCACTGGTCAGTGTAGAACTAATGGCTTACACTAATGGCCACTGGTCAGTGTAGAACTAATGGCTTACACTTAATGGCCACTGGTCAGGGTAGAACTAATGGCCTCTGGTCAGGGTAGAACTAATGGCCAATGGTCAGGGTAGAACTAATGGCTTACACTTAATGGCCACTGGTCAGGGTAGAACTAATGGCTTACACTTAATGGCCACTGGTCAGGGTAGAACTAATGGCTTACAGTAATGGCCACTAGACAGGGTAGAACTAATGGCTTACACTTAATGGCCACTGGTCAGGGTAGAACTAATGGCCACTGGTCAGGTTAGAACTAATGGCTTACACTTAATGGTACTGGTCAGGTTAGAACTAATGGCCAATGGTCAGGGTAGAACTAATGGCTTACACTTAATGGCCACTGGTCAGGGTAGAACTAATGGCTTACACTTAATGGCCACTGGTCAGGGTAGAACTAATGGCTTACACTAATGGCCACTGGACAGGGTAGAACTAATGGCTTACACTTAATGGCCACTGGTCAGGGTAGAACTAATGGCCACTGGTCAGGTTAGAACTAATGGCTTACACAATGGTACTGGTCAGGTTAGAACTAATGGCCACTGGTCAGGGTAGAACTAATGGCCACTGGTCAGGGTAGAACTAATGGCTTACACTAATGGTCAGGTTAGAACTAATGGCCACTGGTCAGGTTAGAACTAATGGCCACTGGTCAGGGTAGAACTAATGGCTTACACTAATGGCCACTGGTCAGGGTAGAACTGATGGCTTACACTAATGGCCACTGGGTAGGGTAGAACTAATGGCCACTGGTCAGGTTAGAACTAATGGCCACTGGTCAGGGTAGAACTAATGGCCACTGGTCAGTGTAGAACTAATGGCCACTGGTCAGGGTAGAACTAATGGCCACTGGTCAGGGTAGAACTAATGGCTTACACTTAATGGCCAATGGTCAGGTTAGAACTAATGGCCACTGGTCAGGGTAGAACTAATGGATTACACTAATGGCCACTGGTCAGGTTAGAACTAATGGCCACTGGTCAGGTTAGAACTAATGGCTTACACTAATGGCCAATGGTCAGTGTAGAACTAATGGCTTACACTAATGGCCAATGGTCAGTGTAGAACTAATGGCTTACACTAATGGCCACTGGTCAGGTTAGAACTAATGGCCACTGGTCAGGTTAGAACTAATGGCCACTGGTCAGGGTAGAACTAATGGCCACTGGTCAGTGTAGAACTAATGGCCACTGGTCAGGGTAGAACTAATGGCCACTGGTCAGGGTAGAACTAATGGCTTACACTTAATGGCCAATGGTCAGGTTAGAACTAATGGCCACTGGTCAGGGTAGAACTAATGGATTACACTAATGGCCACTGGTCAGGTTAGAACTAATGGCCACTGGTCAGGTTAGAACTAATGGCTTACACTAATGGCCAATGGTCAGTGTAGAACTAATGGCTTACACTAATGGCCAATGGTCAGTGTAGAACTAATGGCTTACACTAATGGCCACTGGTCAGGTTAGAACTAATGGCCACTGGTCAGGTTAGAACTAATGGCCACTGGTCAGGGTAGAACTAATGGCCACTGGTCAGGGTAGAACTAATGGCTTACACTAATGGCCACTGGTCAGATTAGAACTAATGGCTTACACTAATGGCCAATGGTCAGGGTAGAACTAATGGCTTACACTAATGGCCACTGGTCAGGGTAGAACTAATGGCCACTGGTCAGTGTAGAACTAATGGCCACTGGTCAGGGTAGAACTAATGGCTTACACTAATGGCCACTGGTCAGTGTAGAACTAATGGCTTACACTAATGGCCACTGGTCAGGTTAGAACTAATGGCCACTGGTCAGTGTAGAACTAATGGCCACTGGTCAGGGTAGAACTAATGGCTTACACTTAATGGCCACTGGTCAGGGTAGAACTAATGGCTTACAGTAATGGCCACTAGACAGGGTAGAACTAATGGCTTACACTTAATGGCCACTGGTCAGGGTAGAACTAATGGCCACTGGTCAGGTTAGAACTAATGGCTTACACTTAATGGTACTGGTCAGGTTAGAACTAATGGCCAATGGTCAGGGTAGAACTAATGGCTTACACTTAATGGCCACTGGTCAGGGTAGAACTAATGGCTTACACTTAATGGCCACTGGTCAGGGTAGAACTAATGGCTTACACTAATGGCCACTGGACAGGGTAGAACTAATGGCTTACACTTAATGGCCACTGGTCAGGGTAGAACTAATGGCCACTGGTCAGGTTAGAACTAATGGCTTACACAATGGTACTGGTCAGGTTAGAACTAATGGCCACTGGTCAGGGTAGAACTAATGGCCACTGGTCAGGGTAGAACTAATGGCTTACACTAATGGTCAGGTTAGAACTAATGGCCACTGGTCAGGTTAGAACTAATGGCCACTGGTCAGGGTAGAACTAATGGCTTACACTAATGGCCACTGGTCAGGGTAGAACTGATGGCTTACACTAATGGCCACTGGGTAGGGTAGAACTAATGGCCACTGGTCAGGTTAGAACTAATGGCCACTGGTCAGGGTAGAACTAATGGCCACTGGTCAGTGTAGAACTAATGGCCACTGGTCAGGGTAGAACTAATGGCCACTGGTCAGGGTAGAACTAATGGCTTACACTTAATGGCCAATGGTCAGGTTAGAACTAATGGCCACTGGTCAGGGTAGAACTAATGGATTACACTAATGGCCACTGGTCAGGTTAGAACTAATGGCCACTGGTCAGGTTAGAACTAATGGCTTACACTAATGGCCAATGGTCAGTGTAGAACTAATGGCTTACACTAATGGCCACTGGTCAGGGTAGAACTGATGGCTTACACTAATGGCCACTGGGTAGGGTAGAACTAATGGCCACTGGTCAGGTTAGAACTAATGGCCACTGGTCAGGGTAGAACTAATGGCCACTGGTCAGTGTAGAACTAATGGCCACTGGTCAGGGTAGAACTAATGGCCACTGGTCAGGGTAGAACTAATGGCTTACACTTAATGGCCAATGGTCAGGTTAGAACTAATGGCCACTGGTCAGGGTAGAACTAATGGATTACACTAATGGCCACTGGTCAGGTTAGAACTAATGGCCACTGGTCAGGTTAGAACTAATGGCTTACACTAATGGCCAATGGTCAGTGTAGAACTAATGGCTTACACTAATGGCCAATGGTCAGTGTAGAACTAATGGCTTACACTAATGGCCACTGGTCAGGTTAGAACTAATGGCCACTGGTCAGGTTAGAACTAATGGCCACTGGTCAGGGTAGAACTAATGGCCACTGGTCAGTGTAGAACTAATGGCCACTGGTCAGGGTAGAACTAATGGCCACTGGTCAGGGTAGAACTAATGGCTTACACTTAATGGCCAATGGTCAGGTTAGAACTAATGGCCACTGGTCAGGGTAGAACTAATGGATTACACTAATGGCCACTGGTCAGGTTAGAACTAATGGCCACTGGTCAGGTTAGAACTAATGGCTTACACTAATGGCCAATGGTCAGTGTAGAACTAATGGCTTACACTAATGGCCAATGGTCAGTGTAGAACTAATGGCTTACACTAATGGCCACTGGTCAGGTTAGAACTAATGGCCACTGGTCAGGTTAGAACTAATGGCCACTGGTCAGGGTAGAACTAATGGCCACTGGTCAGGGTAGAACTAATGGCTTACACTAATGGCCACTGGTCAGATTAGAACTAATGGCTTACACTAATGGCCAATGGTCAGGGTAGAACTAATGGCTTACACTAATGGCCACTGGTCAGGGTAGAACTAATGGCCACTGGTCAGTGTAGAACTAATGGCCACTGGTCAGGGTAGAACTAATGGCTTACACTAATGGCCACTGGTCAGTGTAGAACTAATGGCTTACACTAATGGCCACTGGTCAGGTTAGAACTAATGGCCACTGGTCAGTGTAGAACTAATGGCCACTGGTCAGGGTAGAACTAATGGCTTACACTTAATGGCCACTGGTCAGGGTAGAACTAATGGCTTACAGTAATGGCCACTAGACAGGGTAGAACTAATGGCTTACACTTAATGGCCACTGGTCAGGGTAGAACTAATGGCCACTGGTCAGGTTAGAACTAATGGCTTACACTTAATGGTACTGGTCAGGTTAGAACTAATGGCCAATGGTCAGGGTAGAACTAATGGCTTACACTTAATGGCCACTGGTCAGGGTAGAACTAATGGCTTACACTTAATGGCCACTGGTCAGGGTAGAACTAATGGCTTACACTAATGGCCACTGGACAGGGTAGAACTAATGGCTTACACTTAATGGCCACTGGTCAGGGTAGAACTAATGGCCACTGGTCAGGTTAGAACTAATGGCTTACACAATGGTACTGGTCAGGTTAGAACTAATGGCCACTGGTCAGGGTAGAACTAATGGCCACTGGTCAGGGTAGAACTAATGGCTTACACTAATGGTCAGGTTAGAACTAATGGCCACTGGTCAGGTTAGAACTAATGGCCACTGGTCAGGTTAGAACTAATGGCTTACACTAATGGCCACTGGTCAGGGTAGAACTGATGGCTTACACTAATGGCCACTGGGTAGGGTAGAACTAATGGCCACTGGTCAGGTTAGAACTAATGGCCACTGGTCAGGGTAGAACTAATGGCCACTGGTCAGTGTAGAACTAATGGCCACTGGTCAGGGTAGAACTAATGGCCACTGGTCAGGGTAGAACTAATGGCTTACACTTAATGGCCAATGGTCAGGTTAGAACTAATGGCCACTGGTCAGGGTAGAACTAATGGATTACACTAATGGCCACTGGTCAGGTTAGAACTAATGGCCACTGGTCAGGTTAGAACTAATGGCTTACACTAATGGCCAATGGTCAGTGTAGAACTAATGGCTTACACTAATGGCCAATGGTCAGTGTAGAACTAATGGCTTACACTAATGGCCACTGGTCAGGTTAGAACTAATGGCCACTGGTCAGGTTAGAACTAATGGCCACTGGTCAGGGTAGAACTAATGGCCACTGGTCAGTGTAGAACTAATGGCCACTGGTCAGGGTAGAACTAATGGCCATTGGTCAGGGTAGAACTAATGGCTTACACTTAATGGCCAATGGTCAGGTTAGAACTAATGGCCACTGGTCAGGGTAGAACTAATGGATTACACTAATGGCCACTGGTCAGGTTAGAACTAATGGCCACTGGTCAGGTTAGAACTAATGGCTTACACTAATGGCCAATGGTCAGTGTAGAACTAATGGCTTACACTAATGGCCAATGGTCAGTGTAGAACTAATGGCTTACACTAATGGCCACTGGTCAGGTTAGAACTAATGGCCACTGGTCAGGTTAGAACTAATGGCCACTGGTCAGGGTAGAACTAATGGCCACTGGTCAGGGTAGAACTAATGGCTTACACTAATGGCCACTGGTCAGATTAGAACTAATGGCTTACACTAATGGCCAATGGTCAGGGTAGAACTAATGGCTTACACTAATGGCCACTGGTCAGGGTAGAACTAATGGCCACTGGTCAGTGTAGAACTAATGGCCACTGGTCAGGGTAGAACTAATGGCTTACACTAATGGCCACTGGTCAGTGTAGAACTAATGGCTTACACTAATGGCCACTGGTCAGGTTAGAACTAATGGCCACTGGTCAGTGTAGAACTAATGGCCACTGGTCAGGGTAGAACTAATGGCCACTGGTCAGGGTAGAACTAATGGCTTACACTTAATGGCCAATGGTCAGGTTAGAACTAATGGCCACTGGTCAGGGTAGAACTAATGGATTACACTAATGGCCACTGGTCAGGTTAGAACTAATGGCCACTGGTCAGGTTAGAACTAATGGCTTACACTAATGGCCAATGGTCAGTGTAGAACTAATGGCTTACACTAATGGCCAATGGTCAGTGTAGAACTAATGGCTTACACTAATGGCCACTGGTCAGGTTAGAACTAATGGCCACTGGTCAGGTTAGAACTAATGGCCACTGGTCAGGGTAGAACTAATGGCCACTGGTCAGGGTAGAACTAATGGCTTACACTAATGGCCACTGGTCAGATTAGAACTAATGGCTTACACTAATGGCCAATGGTCAGGGTAGAACTAATGGCTTACACTAATGGCCACTGGTCAGGGTAGAACTAATGGCCACTGGTCAGTGTAGAACTAATGGCCACTGGTCAGGGTAGAACTAATGGCTTACACTAATGGCCACTGGTCAGTGTAGAACTAATGGCTTACACTAATGGCCACTGGTCAGGTTAGAACTAATGGCCACTGGTCAGTGTAGAACTAATGGCCACTGGTCAGGGTAGAACTAATGGCTTACACTTAATGGCCACTGGTCAGGGTAGAACTAATGGCCTCTGGTCAGGGTAGAACTAATGGCTTACACCAGGGGTCTCCAAACGTTTCAGTCCGAGGGCCGCATCAACTATCAATTTTCAGTTCGGGGCCAGTTTCTTCCAGGCATGTCGTGATTTTTCTGGGCAAAGTTCCTCAGCCATCACCAACAAACGTTTTTTCCGTGGACAAAAAGATCTCCGCGGGCCGGATGAGAGGACATCGCGGGCCGCATCCGGCCCGCGGGCCGTAGTTTGGAGACCCCTGGCTTACACGAATGGCCACTGGTCAGGTTAGAACTAATGGCTTACACTAATGGCCACTGGTCAGGGTAGAACTAATGGCCACTGGTCAGTGTAGAACTAATGGCCACTGGTCAGGGTAGAACAAATGGCTTACACTAATGGCCACTTCGTAATAGATCCGTTGAAAAACCCACTTTTGTAGTTATTTTAACTCAAAACTTTGCCGATAAATTTCTAAATATAAAATTACACTTAAAAAACAACCACGTAGTAGTTATGCCATGTTTATTGTTTATGTAGGCCTATATTTTCAGTGACAAAATGTAAACAACCAAATAGTTTTTTACTTTTTAAAATATTTTGTTTAGTTCCCGAATTACTAATAACACTAAATATATCCACCCTTTAGTAAGTACAACAAAAACCTAACAGTCACATTGTTATAACCATATTGATTTTAATAATAACGCAAATGATTCTTAAAATAGTTAATGGCCTTTCTGACAATTTCGAGACTACGAGCCGACCCGCGGCGTATCATACGCCGCTATTTTAGTTGTTTTATTTTCTACTTTGAGTAATTCATAATTTGTGAATTCGACAGTACCACTGCTGTCACTGAAAATATTTGCTTTAAAACACTATCAGTAAGTCGTTTAGGACCATAACCACCCCCTCCTTTCCCCCAACCCCTAACCCCCCCTACCCCGTGAAAGCAGCCTCCTCTTAGCTACCTCCCCCTTAGTTTAAAATCGTTTCAAACTAAATTATCTGCCCCTAATAGCCGTCACTAAACCCGGCTCTACGATTGTAAACATTTAGCGTGAACCACAGCTCACCAGACTTCCTAGAGAGGAAGAGAGGGGACTGCAAGTCGCGCTTACAGCTTGTTTTCTAACGTCTCCAAGAAGAGAATTATATATACAGATTCTCGGTTGGGTTCATTTACTTTTTAAAAATAAATAGGCCTAATTGTCTTCTTTTTAAAGTAGGCCTACGTTTACTGATTTTCCGCTCTATTACACACAGTTTTTTCAGGCATCCCTTTGCATTTTACGCGTCATCGAGTCGGAAAAACTAAATTTTGCAATCTTGTTTATGTGGATGGTTGTCTGTGAACACGATGACTTAAGTACCGTTACAACTAGGTTGATGAAATTTCATAGATAAGCATTACATCAAATTTGTAGTTACATATCAACATTTCAGCTATTTCCGGTAACCGGAAGTGGAATTTATTAAAGTAAATACAGAGAGGCTGAGACTTTGAGCTTTGTTTATAAAAGGGAAGCGGTTGACGAGCAGGCTAGTAAGTAACGTGATTACACGTGTATTTCTAGAGAGGCTACTCTAGACATACTCTAGACTACAGAGGCTCTACTCAAGACATACTCTAGAGGCTCTACGCAAGTCATACTCTAGAGAGGCTCTACTCAAGACATACTCTAGAGAGGCTCTACTCAAGACATACTCTAGAGAGGATCCAGACCTAGTATAGTCGCGGAGAACTGCGCATTCAACAGGGAAATCCATTAGAAACCTAAGTGCACAAAGATTGGCATCAGTTTATGGATGGTCTCATAGTTCCAGAGTTTTGGTCTGCGGTAGGAATCGTTTCACTATTGTCTATGTGTGGTCATAGGTCAATCTTTACTTGTTCTCCCTATGTAGCTTTACATCAGTAACAACATACTGAATGCTTTATTCTTCTATAACAAACATATAGGCTACTGCATGTCATATTGTTCTACAATAATGACATGTTGCTACTGCATGTCATATTGTTTTATAATAATGACATGTTGCTGTTCTATCTAGATCTATAGCAAGCTACATATTCCCTACGTGTCCTTTATAAAAAGATTTATAACCCGAGGACTTAACTCTAAAGCTTTAGCTGATGTAGGACTACTTAGCTGTGTAGCTACCAAATTAGACTGGTGCTGGTACCAAGGTTTTGGTCCTATTGAACCTACATGTGTAGAATGTCTTAACATCGATACACTAACCGTGGCCTTATCGTTGGATCTAGCCAACACCATCACCTTAACCATAGCCGTGACACTATGAAAGATATCGGTACAACTATCCTAGATACTGTAGCCTACTGGTGTCAAGACGACCTTGTACATCAGCAGAAGCCGGGGAAAATATTATTGTAACAGACAAATAAACGTAGATTGGACAAGGGAAAACCCTAACAATTAGCTATACCAGCACAACACACTTGTGGCCCCGCGGAAGAAAGCCAGTCATTTACATACATAAGTAGCATTCTCTGCTACATGCGGATGTTAAAGCGAGTACAGGCAAAGCAAAAGCTGCCTTCACACAATGAGGAAGATCTGGCTCCCAGTGAGCTCTCAGTGACTCTCAAGGTGCGCCTTCTAAACCCCAAGGTATAATCAATGTTGTTGTATGGGGCGGAGACTTGGAGGACGACAAAGACAACCATTGATAAAGTCCAGATCTCTATAAACAGCAGCTTCAGAAAAATGCTCAGGATCCGCTGGCCCAACACCACCAGCAATACAAAGATATGGGAGAACTGTCTGCTGATGAAACTAGGAAAAGATGAGGATTATTAGGGCAGACATTGCGCAGACCGCTAACAAGTATCTCTAAACAGTCCTTGCGGTGGAACCAACAATGAGGTCCACCAAAAAGCACACGGAGACGGGACATTGTGGCTGAAACCACAAAGAAGGGCTTCATCATTCTGGAACCATGTTGTGTATTTCAGCCGGATAGATGACTGGAGATCTTTGGTTGGCGGCCCATACCCCAGCAGGACAGATGACTGGAGATCTTTGGTTGGCGGCCCATACCCCAGCAGGACAGAGGACTGGAGATCTTTGGTTGGCGGCCCATACCCCAGCAGGACAGATGACTGGAGATCTTAGGTTGGCGTCCCATACCCCAGCAGGACAGAGGACTGGAGATCTTTGGTTGGCGGCCCATACCCCAGCAGGACAGAGGACTGGAGATCTTTGGTTGGCGGCCCATACCTCAGCAGGACAGAGGACTGGAGATCTTTGGTTGGCGGCCCATACCCCAGTAGGGGTGACGGGCAGTGACGTGATGATACAGTTGTCACGCCATCTTCTCCTCATATGAGTTTACTTTTTTTTTGTTAGATGTGTATCGCAATCAATCCGTTAATTCTTTCACCGAATTTTTCATTACCATTGTAAATAAAAAATATTTTTAAAAAAATTTGAAAGCCTCTAACGCAGCAAGTATTTATTTATCTAAACACTTTGATATGTTGGCATTGAAGCGAACTAATTCAAATTTCTTTGACTCTATTAGCAGACCCACTCTGAAGTTGATCAACACCGGTTGACACCTGATGTCCTGAACACTTGAAATCATGCAGAACGGGACAAGTGGCCCAGCAGGTCGACAACAAACTGATCCCTAGGTGTATTTCTACTTGAAGCCAGACAGCCTGATCCCTAGGTGTATTTCTACTTGAAGCCAGACGCTCTTTGAAAAGATGGGTCCTAAAAAATCTCAAGAAGATTCGGGTGATTCAATTAACTTACATGAATAGCTAATAATTTTTATGTACTTTATAACACGCTCTTTCCATTGTTGACATTCACGGTTTTTTAAATAGGGTGTACGTGGCGTGTTGTAGGGGGGGGGGGGGGGGTTGAGGGGGTTGATTGTGGAAGTAGGGAGAAGAGACGTAAGAAATGTGACGGCAAATGTTTTGGAAAGTATATTTTATAAATAAAACATGGCTGTCAAATACTTGGAAGTACTTTTCAAATGTAGAGGCCAAAAAAATTATTAATCATTTATTACATATTAGGCAATATATATATATATATATATATATATATATATATATATATATATATATATATATATATATATATATATATATATATATATATATATACATGAAAATATATATATATATATATATATATATATATATATATATATATATATATATATATATATATATATATATATATATATACATGAAAATATAAGGCCCTATGTCATCAAGCGAACCCATTAGGCCATCAGGCTAGAAAATTATGTCATATGTCATTTGGTTCTGTCATCAAACTAACACACCTTTACCATACCTCTCAGCACAAAAGTTTACCAAGATTTTGACCCGAGCAATCATCAGGATCTCCCAGTCCATCAACAAATACTACCAGATTTTTCATTTCGTCTCACTAGTGGGGGTCATCGTAGCCTTCAGGTGAGATTCACATTTTTCATTAGTTTGGGTCATTGTGGCCTTCAGGTGAGATTCACATTTTTTATTAGTTTGGGTCATTGTAGCCTTCAGGTGAGATTCACATTTTTCATTACTTTGGGTCATTGTAGCCTTCAGGTGAGATTCACATTTTACATTTGTTTGGGTCATTGTAGCCTTCAGGTGAGATTCACATTTTTTATTAGTTTGGGTCATTGTAGCCTTCAGGTGTGATTAACATTTTTTATTAGTTTGGGTCATTGTAGCATTCAGGTGAGATTCACATTTTTTTTATTAGTTTGGGTCATTGTAGCCTTCAGGTGAGATTCACATTTTTAAAATTAGTTTGGGTCATTGTAGCCTTCAGGTGAGATTCAATTTTTTAAATTAGTTTGGGTCATTGTAGCCTCCAGGCGAGATTCACATTTTTCATTAGTTTTGGTCATTGTAGCCTTCAGGTGAGATTCACATTTTTCATTAGTTTGGGTCATTGTAGCCTTCAGGTGAGATTCACATTTTTAGTTAGTTTGGGTCATTGTACCCTTCGGGTGAGATTCACATTTTTACAGCTAGGTTGATGAAAATTTCACATTTTTACAGCTAGGTTGATGAAATTTCATATATAAGTATTTTATCAAAATCGTAGAACCGTATCAACTTTTGAGCGATTTCCAATAACCTGAAGTGGTACTTTTTTTTACTTTGAATTTTTCAAAAGCCTTTAACTTGAGTAGTATTTCAGATAGATAAATTAAATTTCACATGTAAGTAAAATATCCAATTCTCTACCTTCTTTCAAATTTTGACTAATTTCCGTTGACCGGAAGTACTTATTTACGCTATTTCCGATTTCTCAAAAAACTAATGTAAATTTATTAAGTACTAATAAGTACTAATAATATTTCGCACTATTATGCACATTTTATTTGGCGTTCACTGGTGTGCAATTCTTTTTTCTACGAGATTTTATTCTATTTTTAAAAGTTTAAGTATTTAAAATGAATTAAAATTAAAATTCATGTCTATATCCCGAGTTCCCATCCCCTGTTTTTTAATATAAGAATATTCGAGAAAGTTTAGGGGAGATCACTCCCGGTTTATTTTTACACGAAATCAGTTTATTCTTTCAATACACGTTTGTTTCGTTTTTTATTAATCCGATTGGAAACGTTTAATGTATGATATTGCTACAATACAAAGATTTAAAAAGAAACTTATGGCGTGACTACTTGTTTTCAGCGTCATTGGAGGCTTTGTATTCGAACAGATTGAGTCACCACCAGAAAACAGAGTCATTGATAATATCATGAGACAACGTAGCTCGGTAGGTTAACCAATCATTAATCTACCATGTTTTTACATTGCCGCTCTTTAACACTTCATATATATATATATATATATATATATATATATATATATATATATATATATATATATATATATATATATATATATATATATATATATATATATACATATATATATATATATATATATATATATATATATATATATATATATATATATATATATATACACCCTGTTTTTTTAACCTAATAATTGATTGACTGACGACACAATCTACATATAATCTATATATAAGTGAGTCGGGTAGACTATCCGTACATACATGCTCTCTACTGACAGACACTGGACCAGCTGGAGAATAAGATTGTCAGGAGAGAGACGGTCTCCGATGTGACGCTGTTTCTACAGCTCTACGAGGGACATTACATCGGCGCCATACGAAACGGCACGGTCATCGAGAACGGCAAGGCCAGTCGCTTGTGGACCTTCCGGGGATCTGTGTATTACTGCGTCACCACATTCACCTTGCTTGGTACAGTGACGACGGTGTCCATTAATCCAATGTGTAACCCATTGAATCTAGTAATCCACAGTGTCCATTAATCCAGTGTGTACATTAATCCAGTGTGTACAGTAATCCAGTATTTCCATTAATCCAGTATATGCAATCATCCAGTATGTCCTTTAATCCACTATGCACATTCTAGTATGTCCAGTAATCCCATGTGTCCAGTAATCCCATATGTCCAGTAATCCCGTGTGTCCAGTAATCCCATGTGTCCAGTAATCCCGTGTGTCCAGTAATCCCGTGTGTCCAGTAATCCCGTGTGTCCAGTAATCCCGTGTGTCCAGTAATCCCGTGTGTCCAGTAATCCCGTGTGTCCAGTAATCCCGTGTGTCCAGTAATCCCGTGTGTCCAGTAATCCCGTGTGTCCAGTAATCCCGTGTGTCCAGTAATCCCGTGTGTCCAGTAATCCCGTGTGTCCAGTAATCCCGTGTGTCCAGTAATCCCGTGTGTCCAGTAATCCCGTGTGTCCAGTAATCCCGTGTGTCCAGTAATCCCGTATGTCCAATAATCCCGTGTGTCCAGTAATCCCGTGTGTCCAGTAATCCCATGTGTCCAGTAATCCCGTGTGTTCAGTGTGTCCAGTAATCCCGTGTGTCCAGTAATCTCGTGTGTCTAGTAATCCCGTGTGTCCAGTAATCCCGTGTGTCCAGTAATCCCGTGTGTCCAGTAATCCCGTGTGTCCAGTAATCCCGTGTGTCCAGTAATCCCGTGTGTCCAGTAATCCCGTGTGTCCAGTAATCCAGTGTGTCCAGTGTGTCCAGTAATGCCGTGTGTCCAGTAATCCAGTGTGTCCAGTGTGTCCAGTAATGCCGTGTGTCCAGTAATGCCGTGTGTCCAGTAATCCCGTGTGTCCAGTAATGCCGTGTGTCCAGTAATCCCGTGTGTCCAGTAATCCCTTGTGTCCAGTGTGTCCAGTAATCCCGTGTGTCCAGTAATCCAGTGTGTCCAGTAATGCCGTGTGTCCAGTAATGCCGTGTGTCCAGTAATCCCGTGTGTCCAGTAATGCCGTGTGTCCAGTAATCCCGTGTGTCCAGTAATCCCTTGTGTCCAGTAATGCCGTGTGTCCAGTAATCCCGTGTGTCTAGTAATCCCGTGTGTCCAGTAATCCCGTGTGTCCAGTGTGTCCAGTAATGTGTCCCCTCTGTGCAGGCTATGGTAACCTGGCCCCTAAGAGTAACCTGGGACGTGTCATCGCCATCATCTACAGCGGCTTCTGTGTCCCTATCTGCTCGCTCATCATCTCCCATTTTGGTGACATCATTCTACGCCTCGTCGATACCACCTGGAAGAAAATGTCCAGGTATGGAATATTTGAGTAACATCATTGTTCGGGTGTTGTAGACGGGCGACAAGTCTGGGAATCTTGACACAAACTTCAACAATTTCAAGCTTTGTTCCCATGTTGTTAGATTGATTGCTCTGGCATAGTTTGTAAATGTGAGGTAATTGTCTTTTATTTTTATCTTTTTCTAGCCACAAACAGGGTACAGATGCACAAAAGACCAATGAGAACATTAGCTGCCTCCCATGGCTTAGTGACAATGGTTACTCGAAGCAAGTCATCATATTCTCTGATAAACCCCACCCAATTGTATATGGTGATACACCCCACACATTAGTACATGGTGATACACCCCACACATTAGTACATGGTGATACACCCCACACATTAGTACATGGTGATACACCCCACACATTGGTGCATGGTGATACACCCCACACATTAGTACATGGTGATACACCCCACACATTAGTACATGGTGATACACTCCACACATTGGTACATGGTGATACACCCCACACACTGGTACATGGTGATACACTCCACACATTGGTACATGGTGATACACCCCACACACTGGTACATGGTGATACACCCCACACACTGGTACATGGTGATACACCCCACACATTGGTACATGGTGATACACCCCACACATTGGTACATGGTGATACTACCCACTCATTGGTACATGGTGATACTACCCACTCATTGGTACATGGTGATACACCCCACACACTGGTACACGGTGATACACCCCACACATTGGTACATGGTGATACACCCCACACACTGGTACATGATGATACACTCCACACATTGGTACATGGTGATACACCCCACACACTGGTACATGGTGATACACCCCACACACTGGTACATGGTGATAGACCCCACACATTGGTACATGGTGATACACCCCACACATTGGTACATGGTGATACTACCCACTCATTGGTACATGGTGATACTACCCACTCATTGGTACATGGTGATACACCCCACACACTGGTACACGGTGATACACCCCACACATTGGTACATGGTGATACACCCCACACACTGGTACATGATGATACACTCCACACATTGGTACATGGTGATACACCCCACACACTGGTACATGGTGATACACCCCACACATTGGTACATGGTGATACACCCCACACATTGGTACATGGTGATACACCCCACACATTGGTACATGGTGATACACCCCACACACTGGTACATGGTGATACACCCCACACATTGGTACATGGTGATACACCCCACACATTGGTACATGGTGATACACCCCACACATTGGTACATGGTGATACACCCCACACATTGGTACATGGTGATACTACCCACTCATTGGTACATGGTGATACACCCCACACACTGGTACACGGTGATACACCCCACACATTGGTACATGGTGATACACCCCACACACTGGTACATGATGATACACTCCACACATTGGTACATGGTGATACACCCCACACACTGGTACATGGTGATACACCCCACACATTGGTACATGGTGATACACCCCACACAAAACCCACCAGCATCACGACAACTGGCACCAGTCATCCCATGTTGCCGACCTCGGAAACTTTCGATTGGAATCTTCCTTTGCCTGATGATGTCAGAACATTACGAGTTAAATCTCAATCTACTAACCTTTTGATATGGACTAACCAGTCGGAGATTGTAACTTATCTCAAACAACGTTTACATTCAACCATAGAGTTGGAAGAAACTGATTTGCTACGGGCGCTGATGAAGGCTAGTTGCATGACTTATTTGACACGAGTTCTGATGAAGGAAGATAGAGTTGAACATAGATGCTCTCCGATAGCTAACATTGGTTGTGAGAACGTTGTTAGTACTGCTGGGAGTAAGAGCAAGGTGGTTGATTTGATTTCAAAACAAATATTGATGATTCATTTTAACAAACTTAAGAAAATAGAATTTATGGGCGACTCTAAAAGAAGAGCAATTGACAATACTAATGGTTCTAAGGAGGAAGAAAATGAAAGTAGGACGTGTCCTAAGAAAGAAGAAAATGAAAGTAGGACGTGTCCTAAGAAAGAAGAAAATGAAAGTAGGACGTGTCCTAAGAAAGAAGAAAATGAAAGTAGGACGTGTCCTAAGAAAGAAGAAAATGAAAGTAGGACGTGTCCTAAGAAAGAAGAAAATGAAAGTTTGACTTATCCTAAGAAAGAAGAAAATGAAAGTAGGACGTGTCCTAAGAAAGAAGAAAATGAAAGTAGGACGTGTCCTAAGAAAGAAGAAAATGAAAGTAGGACGTGTCCTAAGAAAGAAGAAAATGAAAGTTTGACTTATCCTAAGAAAGAAGAAAATGAAAGTAGGACGTGTCCTAAGAAAGAAGAAAATGAAAGTAGGACGTGTCCTAAGAAAGAAGAAAATGAAAGTTTGACTTATCCTAAGAAAGAAGAAAATGAAAGTAGGACGTGTCCTAAGGAAGAAAAGAATGAAAATATCAAACAACGTTGCAAAAACAACTTCGGAAATTCTGGAACGTGGACTAGAGTACCAATCGTAAAACGACCAACCTACAATAAGAAGTTAATGAAGTACTGTCTATGCTCTCCGTTCAAATGGTTTTTTGTCGGCATGTGTGTACTGGATAAGCTGAAAGCTATGCGGCTCCAGCATGTGAGGTCTAAGGAAAAGAACAGGAACAACAACCAGGAGTATTTGTTTACATCTGTGGGATCAGACAGCGAGAGCGTCGACTCCAGGAAAGCTGAGGCTGAGAAAGACGCACCCGACGCCGTAGACGAGTCGTCTCCAGTTCCTATCCTAATGACCCTAAGCAGTTCATTTGTCTTTGTCGGTCTGGGATCTGTCTTTGTATCGCACGTGTCACTTCACCTTAGCTTCTTTGATTCCTTCTGGTTCATCTTTATCTCCATGCTGACCATCGGCTATGGGGATGTCGTGCCATCCGATCAGGAGCTTTTTATTTTCATACTCGGCTACATTTTTATTGGCTTGAGCATCTTGAGCAACGTCATCAACGAGAGTTCCCAGTTCTTTAGCTCCAGCGTCTCCAAGACCAAAAGCATAGGACAAGACGCGTTCATCATCGTCTCGGCGAAGAAAGAGATCGTCACGCGACTGGAGACCGGCGACCGTGCGCGCCGGCGTTGGCGTCTGGTGCGGGACCGCATCAAGAAACGCCGCATCCCGAGAAAGCTGATCGAGGAGTCGCGGAAGTACAAGACGACGCTCTTGGCCGAGGAGAGAGAAAACGTCCGGCTGGCCTACAAGATCTACTTCTCCGACACAAAAAGGATTCCGATCATTCTGGAACAAGCCAAATCTTCCTACGGGATTTTCCCCACCAAAGCCCGCCCCCAGCGAGAACACGGGGAGCTGATGAAATTTACTCCCCCTACCAAACTGTCACTATGGCGACGGATTGTCCGAGCAGTGACCGGGTTTGTCCGGCGAACTGTGCAGTTTGTGGCTAATTTAGTCAAACGGAAAAAAGTCGTCGAGCCAGAAAAAAAGCCTTTCCATTTTGCCTGAATACATTCATCTATTGTTAGGACTCAACATAACATTGCAATACAAATAAAACACGTCAACACATTTTGTTGGAGTTGTATTTTTTAAAAAGTTGTATGTTTTGTTTTCCTCTAGGGTATTTGATTTTAGTAGTTGGTTAATTAGACTTTATTAGACGGTTGCTTGTTCAGTTAATGTTATATTTTATATTAGATTTGTAGATTCATTGCTTGTTTTGTTAAAACAATCCTATTGATTTACAGAGTACCACATCCATCACGTAAATCAAGGCAGTCACTCAATCATGGTATCCATATGGGAATGTCTGGTGGTCACACACTATGTTAGAAATTATGTTTCTCACACACTACGTTACATATGTTTGTATTTATAATTTTATAAAACTATTATATATATATATATATATATATATATATATATATATATATATATATATATATATATATATATATATATATATATTTATATATATATATATATGTTTTCAAAAGCCTCCCACGGCAAAATGCTTTAGACGCCAATGGATGTAAAATTCAAATTGGCAAATCTATTAATAGCGCTTGCAGCTTTATGAATATTAAATGATTTACATGTTTGTAATTAAGATCTGTAGATCTGTACTTGTTACTTCTTGAACCAATAGGGACACATATATTGATTTGGTTTGAATGAGTCTTTGGTCGGCTGGTTCACACCCATTGATAAAACCACTAGGCGCAAACTTAAAATGTCTTTGAAGTTTTTTTGTCTATTGTATGAGCGCAAATATCCGAGCATACACAGAAGAACAAGGGGCCAACAGCGTCTGTTGATCAGCTGTTAGTGAAAGAATCTGTACAAGTACTTTAGCCCAGATCTTTTAAAATGTGTTACAGGGTACACAAATATGCTAGCTCGTTTTACGGTCTCTTAATTCTCAACCTCTGGTAGTCCTTACGTACTTTATGTCTGACGCTGTCTTTAGATGAGACCACTCACCTTAGTTGACCATTATAGGGAAACCACTCTATCGAGACCGCAAACTTTAGTTGAGACCACGCTAGTGAGACCACTCTAGTGAGACCACTCTAGTGAGACCACAATAGTGAGACCACTCTAGTGAGACCACTCTAGTGAGACCACAATAGTGAGACCACTCTAGTGAGACCACAATAGTGAGACCACTCTCGCGAGACCACAATAGTGAGACCACTCTAGTGAGACCACTCTAGTGAGACCACAATAGTGAGACCACTCTAGTGAGACCACAATAGTGAGACCACTCTAGTGAGACCACTCTAGTGAGACCACAATAGTGAGACCACTCTAGTGAGACCACAATAGTGAGACCACAATAGTGAGACCACTCTAGTGAGACCACGCTAGTGAGACCACTCTAGTGAGACCACTCTAGTGAGACCACTCTAGTGAGACCACAATAGTGAGACCACTCTAGTGAGACCACTCTAGTGAGACCACAATAGTGAGACCACAATAGTGAGACCACTCTAGTGAGACCACGCTAGTGAGACCACTCTAGTGAGACCACTCTAGTGAGACCACTCTAGTGAGACCACAATAGTGAGACCACTCTAGTGAGACCACTCTAGTGAGACTACTCTAGTGAGACCACTCTAGTGAGACTACTCTAGTGAGACCACTCTAGTGAGACCACTCTAGTGAGACCACTCTAGTGAGACCACTCTAGTGAGACTACTCTAGTGAGACCACAATAGTGAGACCACTCTAGTGAGACCACTCTAGTGAGACCACTCTAGTGAGACCACAATAGTGAGACCACTCTAGTGAGACCACTCTAGTGAGACCACAATAGTGAGACCACTCTAGTGAGACCACTCTAGTGAGACCACAATAGTGAGACCACTCTAGTGAGACCACAATAGTGAGACGACAATAGTGAGACCACAAACTTTAGTTGAGACCACTCTAATGAGACCACTCTAATGAGACCACTCTAGTGAGACCACTCTCTTGAGACCACTATAGTGAGACCACTCTAGTGAGACCACTCTAGTGAGACTGAGCTTCCCTCTCGCATTTCTTAAGATTCGTCGACCTAAATCTAATAAATATTATAATGTAATTTATTTCACATTCATTGCTTTGTGTATGCGACATGGTTTCTAATTATAGCAACATGAATGGCTGCCCTATAGCAACAGACGCGACTCCTGCAGACGACTGTTGATTATTTTGTCGTCTCGTCTGTATGAACTCTTTCAAGTTTCTACACATAATAATACGGGTATGTTCAACAATTAACAGGAATTGATTAAATTCTTTGTTTGAATACACCGCCTTGGGCAAAGTGGCAATTCGACAATAATCGAATCATTGATTTTTCTCCCAAGACAATTTGTCAACAAAAAAAAAATAAAAAAATAAAAATAAAAAAAAGGAATCGACCTTGTTAGCTAACGGACAAAACAGTGAAATATATTGTGTTTGTTTTTCTCCGTAATTTGGTCAGAGGGAACGTCAGAGGGAGTCCGTTCAAATACGTCATAAGGCAGCCCCCTTCAAATACGTCATAAAGCAGCCCCTTGAAATACGTCATAAGACAGCCCATTTAAAAACGTCTTAAGCCCTTCGCCGTTGTAATTAACTGGAATCAATTTAGTCAGCAGGGGGTGTCAAGTGTCACGCTGACCTCTCAAATGGCATCGACTAGACAGAATTTGAAAACAACCGTCCAGGTACAAAAGACCGAACCAGAGCATGACCTAGACCTTCAGGATCCAATTACTGGATTAAGCGCTGTGCACATTTTTTTCTTTCAAGGGAGAAAAAGTATCACAAATGGAACATCGCGGGCTCCGTAGATTCAATCGACCGTGAACATCTTTTGTACAGTTCGTTGTGTTTACAGAGGCGTGACGCTATGGGTGTGGTCACCTAGAACTGTGAGAAAAGTGTGGCAGACGTAAAGATGGGGATTAAGCTTTAGGCAGTAGCAGGTTAAACAATCGAGCCGACGCTTGTAATTTTTTTCCTGCTCTCTGCTGGTGCGTATCGCTAGCTGGGTGTTTGATTTCCTACAGCCCTTCAAATCATCAGCGCCACCTTCAGGTGAGTACTTTCTCTCATTGTGTCCGGTATAATGTTTTGCTCTTGTTGATGCAGACTAGCGGAAAAAAAAAACATCAACTTATCCTAGTTTCTTCCACTTAGTTTACCTTTTTTTTTTATAAAATCATTTTTATTGACAATGTAACAATTCAAACAGTGAACTTAACCTTTCTCTCACTAGCCCGTACACAAGTTAACTTGCTGATACATGGCTGATACCTTCAGTCATGACACTGTCAACTCAGTGACACCAAATCTCAAAGCACTTTTGTATAAACATCCTACAAAAAAAAAAACAACTAAATTATAATCCATCTTTAAAAATGTATGTTATGCACTCACTTATCCTGTGCAGAATAAGCTGATCAAAAGCAAACGATCACTATTCTTGGCCAGTTCTAACACATTACTTTAACTTTGAAATAAACCTGGAGTGATCTCCCCTAAACTTTCTCGAATATTCTTATATAAAACAACGGGGATGGCAGCTCGGTAAATAGAATTGATTTTTAATTCATTTTTACTTACTTAAACTTTTTAGAATAGAATAGAATCTCGTAGGAAAAAGAATTGCGCACCAAGCGAACGCCAAAGCAATCTGTGTATAATAGTGCAGATTATTATTAGTACTTTATAAATTCACATGTGTTTTTTGAGAACTTGGAAATAGCGTAAATTACTGCTTCCGGTCAGCTGAAATTACTCAAAATTTGACAGAAGACAGAGAATTAGATATTTTACTTACGTGTGAAATTTCATTTATCCATCTGAAATAGTATTCGAGGTTATAGGCTTTTGAAAAATTGAAAGTAGAAAGTTCCAGTTCCGGTTATCGGAAATCACTCAAAAGTTGATACGGATCTAGGATTTTGATATAATTTCATCAACCTAGCTGTAACGGTACTCAAGTTATCGTGTTTACAGACACACACGCAGACAAAAAGACACACACACATACACAGACATACGGACAAGATTGCAAAACTATGTTTTTCCAACTTAGGGAGGTGTAAAACCTCGAGATTTGCAAAAATCTCGATTTTTTGTGTGTGTGCATGATTACAAGATTTTCTCTATACTTCGTATATACGAGAAAGTAAAAAGGGTCTTTGATGCACAATGTTCTAGACAATGCATACAATCTATTAGTTCTTCTACACAGGTTTCTGAAGTTTGACTTTTGCTATCCACACGCGCACTACAGCTGTCCAGGTTTTCCTTTAATTTACTGCATTCTTCCTTTTCAGCGCATGATTTCCTAAAATCTTCCTTTTCAGCGCATGATTTCCTAAGATCTTCCTTTTCAGCGCATGATTTCCTAAAATCTTCCTTTTCAGCGCATGATTTCCTAAGATCTTCCTTTTCAGCGCATGATTTCCTAAGATCTTCCTTTTCAGCGCATGATTTCCTAAGATCTTCCTTTTCAGCGCATGATTTCCTAAGATCTTCCTTTTCAGCGCATGATTTCCTAAGATCTTCCTTTTCAGCGCATGATTTCCTAAGATCTTCCTTTTCAGCGCATGATTTCCTAAGATCTTCCTTTTCAGCGCATGATTTCCTAAGATCTTTTAAAGAATCAACGAGCTCCTCTGGTTCCTCTTCTTTAGGATTGGAAGCAGCGAAAACCTCATCAACAAGTCCCATTTTGTTTAGCTTCCACTTAGTGTTCCAGGCTTGTGATATTTCTGACTTGTTTTTTTTTTAAATCTATTTTCAAAATCAATATGAGCTTTGTTGAAAAAATTAATATTAATGAATTTAATTTATGACCATTAGAATGTAGCAAGTATTTTACTAAAACATTTCTGTTCAGTTTGTACAACTTTTCTTGGCGAATGTTCTGATATACACCTGAATCCAGTAGGGTTGGATATTTGTGTTTTCTTAAATTTTATTTTTTCCAGAAAGTCAACATTAATGTACAAAACATACTTAACATTTGTTATTGGTTTTTATAATACCAGCGTGTAGCCTAATTTGCATATATACTCCTTTACCGCAGCCCACAATTCTCATGTTACATATCGTTGAGATTTTATCGTCTGGCTGTCAGAAAACTAAACCTAGCAACCAAAGAGAGCGCTTGTAATACGAGCTTTTGGTAGGGCAGTCGTTACAATAAAGAACTGATATATCTTTCACAGCTTAGATATTGTGAACAGACTAGGATATAGAACATGAACTGCTTTTAATGAATTTATATTTTGCCAATGGGGAACACAAATACTGGAGATACTCCCCACCCCACCTGGTATTAACGCTGGGGAAAGTCCAGAAACCACCACCTGCACAGTATGGAAAACTGGAACTTGTTTGAAGGATTTTTATTTATCAACTGTAGTAACGTGTGTTACTGCACTCGAAATACTTCAGTAACTGTGCACATTCCCTTCAAGTCTTGGTACGCACAGTCTATGCAAGCAGTAGAAAAAAGGCTCCATACAGACACACACACACACACATTATATATATATATATATATATATATATATATATATATATATATATATATATATATATATATATATATATATATATATATATATATATATATATATATATATATATATATATATATATATATATATATATATATATAATGTGTGTGTGTGTGTGTGTCCATCTGATGCCTCTCGCTCTGTCTGTAGATTGTGTCGCCAGCCAATCAATTAATAGGTTAGAAAAACAGGGGGACAAGACGCACCCTTGTTTGACTCCTGTCTTACCCATGAATGGCTTTCGAATACTCTCAAAATAGCCAATATTTTGTAAACAATTTTTTTTGGTCCTTAGAATCCTCCCCTATTAAAATGACCAAAATAGGTCCTATGTAATGGCCATAATAGGACCTACATGAAGGGTCTTGCCCTGTGTTAGACTAAAAAACAACTTTACCCCCCCCCCCCCCCCACACACACACCCACCTTTTCTTTTTGTGTCCATACTACTTAAAAAGAGCGATAAGTAAATGAAAAATGTTGAATTCATTCTCGTGTCAAGTAATTAGTGCCGGGAACTAACGCTGTACTTGAAGTCTACCGTCAACACTTCATGTACACATACAGAGCTCTTCAAAATCTAACTGTAAGGTCATTTATAATATCATTCAATGTGGACAAAGTGACATTATTGCTACATGAACAGTACATCGGTGACAAACGTATTTTCATTGATTTATCGAACTCAAGTACTTGATTACTGTATTAGAATGTTGAAGCAAAAGTGCGTGTTTAAGTAACAGAAGAATTCTATCAAATACCGTAAAATGCCTTGTTGTGGCACGGTCTTTGAAGACTAAATAAAATATTTCACAGTAACTGTCAAATATTATTGTTAATGTTATCAAGCCTATAAATGGTATCAAGCCTATAAATGGTATCAAGCCTATAAATGGTATCCAGCCCATTAATGGTATCGAGCCCATTAGTGTTATGAAGCGCAACACATAATGGTATCAAGCCTATAAATGGTATCGAGCCCATTAATGGTATCGAGCCCATTAGTGTTATGAAGCGCAACACATAATGGTATCAAGCCTATAAATGGTATCGAGCCCATTAATGGTATCGAACCCATTAGTGTTATCAAGCGCAACACATAATGGTATCAAGCCTATAAATGGTATCAAGCCTATAAATGGTATCGAGCCCATTAATGGTATCGAGCCCATTAGTGTTATCAAGCGCAACACATAATGGTATCAAGCCTATAAATGGTATCAAGCCTATAAATGGTATCGAGCCCATTAATGGTATCGAGCCCATTAGTGTTATCAAGCCTATAAATGGTATCGCGCCCATTAATGGTATCGAGCCCATTAGTGTTATCAAGCGCAACACATAATGGTATCAAGCCTATAAATGGTATCAAGCCTATAAATGGTATCGAGCCCATTAATGGTATCGAGCCCATTAGTGTTATCAAGCGCAACACATAATGGTATCAAGCCTATAAATGGTATCAAGCCTATAAATGGTATCGAGCCCATTAATGGTATCGAGCCCATTAGTGTTATCAAGCGCAACACAAATTTTGTATCAAAAGTTGCGATCTGTAGGATCAAACCTTTGCAGAAAAAAAAAAAAAAATACAACCCGTTGCCTTAAGGGTGTAAAAACATGTTTATTACTTGTCAAACAATTTCGATGTTGCAGAGCTACCAAAAACCCCTGGGTATATTTAGGATGGACTTGCTGTATGTGATGACCCTTGTGGCCGCATGTGTGACCATGGGGTCAGCTCTGACTGAACGGGTCCCGTACAAGGACGGTACATCCAAGACATCCTTCACGACCGAGGAGATCACAAATTTGGTGTACATTCACAACGCCTACAGGAGCGTCGTACAACCAACGGCCGGCTTCATGGCGGAAGTGGTCAGTTGTAACATGTGCGTGTGTGTGTGTGGGGGGGGGTCATGGCGGAAGTGGTCAGTTTATCCCTCTTAGCCAGTTGTAACGTGTGTGTGTGTGTGTGGCGGGGGGTCATTACGGAAGTGGTCAGTTTATCCCTCTTAGCCAGTTGTAACATGTGTGTGTGTGGGGGGGGGGGGGGTCATGGCGGAAGTGGTCAGTTTATCTCTCTTAGCCAGTTGTAACATGTGTGTGTGTGTGGGGGGGGGGTCATGGCGGAAGTGGTCAGTTTATCCCTCTTAGCCAGTTGTAACATGTGTGTGTGTGTGGGGGGGGGGGGTCATGGCGGAAGTGGTCAGTTTATCCCTCTTAGCCAGTTGTAACATGTGTGTGTGTGTGTGGGGGGGGGGTCATGGCGGAAGTGGTCAGTTTATCCCTCTTAGCCAGTTGTAACATGTGTGTGTTTGGGGGGCGGGTCATGGCGGAAGTGGTCAGTTTATCCCTCTTAGCCAGTTGTAACATGTGTGTGTGTGTGTGTGGGGGGGGGGGGGTCATGGCGGAAGTGGTCAGTTTATCCCTCTTAGCCAGTTGTAACAACGCGAGTGGGATTTTATTAACACGTTTTTATTAACTCAGCTTCGCGTTTTTTTGCTGTTAAAATTGACAACGAAAATTAGCCCACTTCTGATTGCTCTAGAGATCTGAAATTCTGCATGCAGGCTATTTTCGCCTAACAATTGCCCCATAGACCGTCAGGTTTGAAAGAGAAACTTTTCACTTGGTGTGCAATTCTTTTTTTTTATTACCACGTTTTTTTAAAATGTTTTACAGTGTAATGCTTAAGGTGGGTGGAGAATCGACAGTTAATCTGTTCGAGGAGGGATGGACGGTGGGCCAACTACCTAAAAGCATTCAAAAACCTTTTGATCCTTTTTATTTTGATAAAAAATCCTCTAAATTTTTATGTATTTAAAAACACTTAGTCAAGTCATACTTAATCAAGTCATTAGATAAAGTAGAAAATAAACTATATAAAAAACTTGTTTAAAAACCACGTTTTTCATGTGTAGCAACGGACTAAAAAGGAGAAAATAAAATACTTAAAAAAAACTTTAAAAAAAACCACGTTTTTCTTGTGGACTAAAAAGTAGAAAATAAATTTTTCTTCCGACCCTAGGGGATCTACCAATGACTGCTCGTAGATTTTGTGCTTCCTCGAGCTGTGCAGGTTCTTGTGATGACTGTTCATACATTTGATGACAAAAAACGTGGGTCGGGCAGATTTATGATTAAAGCGAAAACGTACACACGTTTTTTGTCATCAAATGTATTAACGGTCATCACAAAAACCTGCACAGCTCGAGGAAGCACAAAATCTACGAGGAGTCATTGGTAGATCCCCTAGGGTCGGAGGAAAAATTTATTTTCTACTTTTTAGTCCACAAGAAAAACGTGGTTTTTTAAAAAGTTTTTTTTAAGTATTTTTTTTAAAACTCATTTTAAAAATGACCACATGTAAAATATAGCGTAATAAAATCTATATATATAATTCTCCTCTTCGAGCCGTTAGAAAACAAGCTGCAAACGCTCTCCCTACCTCCCCACCCCTACATGGTTTTAGTGAGCTGTGTTCACTCTAAATGTTTACAAGCAGAGCCAACGATTTTAAACGTAGGAGGGGGGGAGAGGGGGGGGGGGGAAGGAAGGGGGGGGGGTTATGGTCCTTAACGAGCTACTTATAGTGTTTTAAAGAAATATTTTCAGTGTCAGTGTTGGTACTGTCGAATTCACAAATTATGAATTATTGAAAATTAGAAACAACTAAATAGCGGCGTATGTTATGCCGCGGGCCGGCTCGTAAATTTAATAATAGCGATGAAAATAGTACTTTACATAAGTAAAGTTCCCTTTTAAAACCTGATGGTCTATGGGGCAAGTGAATTAGAGTTCACTTGTTTCTGTGACCTCGGCATATGAAGAGATAGTGTGGTCAGCACTATGCCCAACCGCATTTACTTTCCCTAACGTGAGTTAAGTACCCATCAGAGTTGGGTAGACGACTGTCTACTGACTTGAACCCGGATTCGAACTCGAGACTTACGGGGTGGCAGTCCATCTCTCAACCGCTAGACCACTCCGTAGTACTTTACAAATGAAACTTCAATTAATTCTTTAAAAATTAATTAGTTAAATCAAATTTGATGTCAGATTGCACGTCAACTGGTCGGCCTGTAGTACACTCGCCGTGGCAGCCCTAGATCCGCCATTGTCAACACATACAGCACATTGTATGATGTCGAACCAATTGTCAACACATACAGCACATTGTATGATGTCGAACCAATTGTCAACACATACAGCACATTGTATGATGTCGAACCAATTGTCAACACATACAGCACATTGTATGATGTCGAACCAATTGTCAACACATACAGCACATTGTATGATGTCGAACCAATTGTCAACACATACAGCACATTGTATGATGTCGAACCAATTGTCAACACATACAGCACATTGTATGATGTCGAACCAATTGTCAACACATACAGCACATTGTATGATGTCGAACCAATTGTCAACACATACAGCACATTGTATGATGTCGAACCAATTGTCAACACATACAGCACATTGTATGATGTCGAACCAATTGTCAACACATACAGCACATTGTATGATGTCGAACCAATTGTCAACACATACAGCACATTGTATGATGTCGAACCAATTGTCAACACATACAGCACATTGTATGATGTCGAACCAATTGTCAACACATACAGCACATTGTATGATGTCGAACCAATTGTCAACACATACAGCACATTGTATGATGTCGAACCAATTGTCAACACATACAGCACATTGTATGATGTCGAACCAATTGTCAACACATACAGCACATTGTATGATGTCGAACCAATTGTCAACACATACAGCACATTGTATGATGTCGAACCAATTGTCAACACATACAGCACATTGTATGATGTCGAACCAATTGTCAACACATACAGCACATTGTATGATGTCGAACCAATTGTCAACACATACAGCACATTGTATGATGTCGAACCAATTGTCAACACATACAGCACATTGTATGATGTCGAACCAATTGTCAACACATACAGCACATTGTATGATGTCGAACCAATTGTCAACACATACAGCACATTGTATGATGTCGAACCAATTGTCAACACATACAGCACATTGTATGATGTCGAACCAATTGTCAACACATACAGCACATTGTATGATGTCGAACCAATTGTCAACACATACAGCACATTGTATGATGTCGAACCAATTGTCAACACATACAGCACATTGTATGATGTCGAACCAATTGTCAACACATACAGCACATTGTATGATGTCGAACCAATTGTCAACACATACAGCACATTGTATGATGTCGAACCAATTGTCAACACATACAGCACATTGTATGATGTCGAACCAATTGTCAACACATACAGCACATTGTATGATGTCGAACCAATTGTCAACACATACAGCACATTGTATGATGTCGAACCAATTGTCAACACATACAGCACATTGTATGATGTCGAACCAATTGTCAACACATACAGCACATTGTATGATGTCGAACCAATTGTCAACACATACAGCACATTGTATGATGTCGAACCAATTGTCAACACATACAGCACATTGTATGATGTCGAACCAATTGTCAACACATACAGCACATTGTATGATGTCGAACCAATGTCGTACCTGCATTAAAATGTTGTACCTGATGCATATTTTGTCGTGCAGGAATGGGACGCAGACATAGCGGCTCTGGCACAAGAATGGGCCAACAACTGCTCAGGGGCTCACCGGCCCAACCCCTCAGTCGGCAACTGGACAGGGATGGGAGAGGCTCTCTACACTTTCTTCGGTATTTATGTTTGATAAAGTAGATTGTTGTGGTACTTTCTGTTTTATAAAGTAGAATCGTTGAGGTATGAGTTTGATAAAGTAGTATCGTTGTGGTACTTTATGTTTGAGTTTGATAAAGTAGATTTCTGTGGTACTTTATGTTTGAGTTTGATAAAGTAAAATCGTTGTGGTACTTTATGTTTGAGTTTGATAAAGTAGAATTGTTCTGGTACTTTCTGTTTATCGATGACCCCAATGTAGGCCTACCTGTCAAATGCTTTAACATCATAACTATTTGCTTTTAACAGTATAATATCGCTCTGTCACATACAGTTTTATTGATACACGCTAGTGAATATCGACTTAAGAATTTGTAAGCAAAAAAAGACTGCAGTAGTCAAATTTTCTGAGCAAATGACCAGCATAAGAAATGTAATCTTGAGCAGCAATAGCTGAGCGGGAATATCAAAGTAGAAATAGTTGACCAACATGCATTGGGGGTAGTCCATATCAAAGTAGAAATATTTGACCAACATACATTGGAGGTAGTCCATATCAAAGTAGAAATATTTGACCAACATACATTGGGGGTAGTCCATAAACGACGCTGCAATGGGAGGAAGGGGTTCGGACTTTGGCGACGATATGTGACTAGCTAGAGAGGAGGGAGGGGTTCAGGAAGGTGACTCTTTTGGGTAAGGGGGGGGGGTGGTGGGAAGGTCAGGAAGCTAGAGAACATACTTTTAGAGGGGGGGGGGGGGGGTAGAGAACATACATTTGGGAGGGGGGGTTAGGCTGAAGTCTGATGTCATTTTGGGAGGGGGAATTGCGCTTTGTGACGAATCGATTAACACAAAGATGAGCCATACGAATCGAATTAACACCTAGATGAGCCATGCAAGCTAATCTTAGTATCAAATGTTATTCTACTAATAAAGTGTAACCAATGACTTGCGTTCACCTGTACTGAATCAATTACTTTTTTTTAATGAATTAATGAATTCGTGAATGTGGAGATAATGATCACAATACGTTTGTTAATATGTAGATAAATATTACATTCAATGTGTAGATTCTACGATTGTGTATTTTTTCATCTCGCCACTGTACAGGTAATAGTTACAATGAATTGGTCGCCGTTGAAGCATTTTACAACGAGTCACGAGACTACAACTATGATACTGGGGTGTGCACCGCAGGGAAAGTTTGTGGACACTACTTTACGGTAAGTCTCTGTAATACGTCTGTACATTAGGTCTCTACAGTAGGTCAGTACAGTAGGTCTCTACATTAGGTCTGTACATTAGGTCAGTACATTAGGTCAGTACATTAGGTCTGTACATTAGGTCTGTACATTAGGTCTGTACAGTAGGTCTGTACAGTAGGTCAGTACAGTAGGTCAGTACATTAGGTCAGTACATTAGGTCAGTACATTAGGTCAGTATAGTAGGTCTGTACAGTAGGTCTCTACATTAGGTCAGTACATTAGGTCAGTACATTAGG